CTATATATATATATTTGTACAAATTATATGGATTTCAGGAAATGTGAAGAGAGAAAAAAAAAAGAACATGAAACTAATCTTCCACTTCACATCTTGTCTTCGTCACACTTCCGATGCGATTACACAAAATTTCTTGGGAATTATCATTAAATACTTTCTTCACTTTTGTGTTGAAAAATTATTTTCACATCAAGATTTATGTAATTTGCATGACACATCGTTTGTATTTAATAAAAAAAAATTTTTTTTAAATTCTTTTTCAACAAAATCGAATTATATAAAATATTTCGTTCCAGGTTCTTGCTTCTCAATGAAGGTAAATATAAACAATACCCTATGCGAACAAATGAGAGGAAATATATTTTCGAATGATATTTAAAGCTCTTTTGTTGAAAAAAAGAGGGTCATTAGAATAAATTTTTTTTTTTTTTTTTTTTTTGAACATCCGTTTCGAAAAATTAAATCACACACTTGAAATTAGATCATTTCTCTTTAAAATTTATGAGTTTCAAAATTGGCCTATTTCCTTATGCATAAAATTATATACAAGGAATTTGAAGAAAAAAAAAGGCCTAAAAAATTTTTCAGTGTTCCAAAAAGATATTAAGACAAGCTCCAATATATAAAGAATCAAACTCTTTTTTTTTTTTTTTATTCTAAAACAAAACAATGGATTGCAACATAATTTTCACATTGAATTCCAAAACGAAAAGCTACCTTTGCATACTAAATAGTTTTTATATATTCATATAGCAACATTATTAATCTTTTTGACTTTTAGATTCTATTACTATTATGAATAAAATTTTGCAAAAATTAAACGAATCTTTAAATAAAAGATTTTATAATCTAAATGATAAAAATTATTATTAAAATAGTAAAATCCACATTTTTTTATATTATAAACAACGAGAACAAGAATAAAATTTGCTGAGCCTAGATTTTTTTTGTTAAGAACGTAATTTTATCTTGCAATAATTCCTACACTCGTAAAAATAAAATTCTCTCAAAACGAATGAAAATTGAATATCGACACTTGATAATTTTATTCTATAAATGTAACTATTCCGAATGAAGTATACTTGAAATAACGTTCGTTTTTTTTTCCTTTTTTTTTTTTTTTTCTTTGATCGATCGACACGCAGTAATATGTCCGAGTTGAAGTGCAATGCTCTTACGATCGCGCATTGAATTAAACATTTAACATGTAAGAACTTTGAAAAGAACACGTGGTATAAGTTACGCAATTTAAATGTACTGAAAATTGCACATTAAACATACACAAATATAAATACAAGGATATATCTAGAGAAAAGAGTACTATATGCATCCGCATTTTTATGGCTTACAATTTTTCGTAAAAGTGCTGCTTTCAAATTATTAGCGTGCGTGCAGCATATATATATATATATATATATAGAGAAAATATATAATTGTATCCCGAGGGATTTTTGATGCTTACTTGATAATATACATTACAATGCAAAATCTTTTTTTCTAGAGAGAACGTCAGTACGGTAATGTCCTCGGATATGAAAAACGCATTAGGACGCAACATTTTAGTATTTGTATATATATATATATTAGTCTCAACAGTGCATCATCGAATCTTTCACGCGATAAAATTATTACAGTTTATTTTTGTCGTAACGATATCAGACATTATTGTCTTATCTTATATGAGAGAACCCTTATCTCTCATTATCTCATTTCAGAAGATATATTATTAAAGTATAAATTGCTAAAGGAACCTCTTTATAATTGCCCACTAATGGATTCTGCCATTTACAACTAGTTTCTTCTTCCTTTTATTATTAAATTAATTATAATGTATCTTATAATGGGGTGGAGTATATACAAATGATCAAATTCCCCCTTCACACGGAAAGAAATACTTTATTACTCTTTATTAAAACACGTCATGATTTAGGGAGAGAGAAAAAAATGAGTGTAAATATTATATATCGGGTCAAAAAAATGTTATTTAACATTTGGAATTTTTTGTAGAATTTTTGTGAAGTAAAAATAGTTTTTTTTTACTAATTTGAATTATTTACTTTTCACTGAAAGTTAGAGAGAGAGAGAGGACATTTATAATGATTCGTTTGAATTTTGAGCATTTTCACTTTGTGGCGCTAATTGTGTACATCTCGTTAGACTGGAATTTTTAGATGAGATATTTTTAAAACTTTTTTCACTGAAAATAGAAGAAGGGTTTAAAAAGTCTCTGAAGCATATAACTTTCAGAGGCAAATGTATTATTAGCGACAAGTGGTCAATCGTGAAATCCTTGGCACAATGTCAAAGGTGCGTTAAACTTAATTCAGTAGATATATTACTATTATAATGACAAGGAGGTTAGAGTGAGGTTTTATATCATTCTTTCTCTCTTGCTTTTCATAAATTGTGTTCTATAATTTATTTCTGCCAAAATTCAGTGACTAAATAATGACAATGACGTTTGTAAAATATAAACAAAATTTTAACTTCTATTTTAAACAGCAACGATATGAAAAATTTAATTTTTGTTTTTTAATTTAATTTTTGTAAACAAATATTTAGAACAACAAATAGAATATAAAAATAATAGAGGAATACCTTTTTAACGAAATATGACACTAGAAAAAAGAGATAGAGATAATTTTCGTATTACCATAAACAGTTATTTACATATCAGTCAACAAAGTATAAATTTCGCTTCTATGCAAAGTGTTGGGTTTGTTTCTATATACTTCATTTACAAATCAATGCGTGTCACTAGCAATGTTACAAACTCGCGAGAAAAATAAAAAAATATATAAATCGCGGAAAATTTCCCAATTTATAATTATATATACAAATACTAAAAATGTAACACTTTCCATACATTAAAATGCTACTAGTTAGTTAAATAACTTTGTTACGTGGATGCTAATATTCAAGTATAATAAATTATAAATGTTTAAAGAAAAAAAAAAAAAAAAATGCAAGTAAATTAAAAGTTGCATCAGAAATGACATAAATTAATAAAAGTTTTTCCGGAAAATATATACCAACGTTCTCTCTGTAAATTTATTTTTAAAAAAATAGATATTAATTATTTTTTGAATAATTAATTTTCAACATTTTAAATTTGAAAAAATTATATATAGTTAATTATATACTAACCAAAACTAACAATTTAATTTCTTCCCCTAACATAAAATATAAATATTCATATCCTGCGCGATAAACTAAATATATTTGATATAAGATTAAAAACTAAAAACTTGTTTTTCTTTAAATTTTTTCATTATAATTTACTGATTTTCTTATCTCTTGTATAGTTTCTGCTCAATAAGAAAATGCAAAAATAGCTAGTAAATATGTACATTTTAATTTACTTGAAGCAAGTTTTAACTTACTTCTACTAATTGATTGCATTACTTATGTATGCAGGACGGGAGGATTTATTCTAACAATACATCATTACTACAAAAGGAAAGAGTTTGATAAGATTCTGAATCTTGAGAGATAAAAGTTAAATATAAAAATTATTTCAATAAACCAGTATATATAAACTAAACTGTATTTATATGGTTTGAAAAATAATTTTAAATATTCGGATAAAGAAAATTAAAAATAAATATATCAACGCATAACTGAAATCATTTTTATATTTAATTGAAATCTAACAAATTTCAAAAATTTCAAACCTTTCTGAGAAAATTTAGTACATACTTAGTTCGAAAATTCATCTTCACGATGATTAAACAAAGAAAAAAGTTATCACCTATCGACTTTTGAACTCTATATAAGGTCAAGATTTTTTTTTTCCTCACATTTATAAGTGTATTTTATAAATCAAAGTCAGAGATTACATAGAATTTAATCTCGAGAAATTGTTCTTTAGAATAATTTATTTTTAAGAGAAATTTTCAGGATCTTTTCAATTTCATTTTCCCGAGATATTGTTCAAATTATTTCCAAAAAGGAGAATTTTCTCTTAACTTGAATTAGAAATTTTTTTTTTTTTTTTTTTATATCGCAAAAATCTGTAATAAATTTCAAATTTATTTCGACATTTTTAAAGACATTTTATTAGATGGTGTGTCAATGTTGTTCGGAACCCACTAAGCGTTCGCGAACCTCATGAGAATAGAATAAAAAAAAAAAAAAACAACCATAAAACAAAGACTATCGAAGTATCAGGATCAAAGCGCACTTTTAAAAGAGGACGACTGAATCCTGGAGTGAGGAGCCAGAGTTCGTTATTCGGTGACATGAAACTTTACGAGCCATTGTTATAAGATGGCTTCTCCAAGCCAACAATGAAAAACTGAAGAATGCACAACACGAACTTCTTTTCTATCTAAGAAACAATCCTCAAAAACTTTTAAATTTACATAACGAAACTTTCAAGATTTAATCTTTTTCTTTTTTTTTTTAAAAAAAAAAGAACAATAATTAAGAATCAATTTTTTCTATAAAAATAATAATGTATTGAAAATATTTCAATTTCTCTGCGGTCTGAATTCTTTAAATTCACATTTCCCTTATAACAGAATTACTGAATTTGTCAAGCAATTAATTTGTATTTTTACATACTGCTTTGATCGGAGATAAGACAAGATTCATTCACCTTTGGGCAGCGATTTACCGTACCTGATACATTTGAATTTCAGCGATTTTCGATAAGAGACATCGAGCTAAAAATGAACACGTATAGAGAGTGTGGAATAAAGAACGTCTTTTTTTTCTTTCTTTCTTTAAAATTAAATTATGGGAAGTTTCTCTTAACTTTCGGGAAAAATGAGAAAATGTCATAAGAAATCGAAACATAAGTACCTACGTATAAGAAATATAAAAAGAAATGAAAACTTTCGATGGAAAATATTGAGAAAGAAGATTTGAACTTTTTTTTTATTTTTTTTTTTAATATTGCAATTTTAGATCGAGAAAAAGAAGGAGAAAATTATAAAACACGTGTTATGTAAGTACATTGTATAATGGTCAATGTATGTGCATAATATATTAATTCGAGCTTTATTGTAGAGCGACCAGAGGCATTCAGAATTAAGAGACATGCTATATTCGATTTAGAAACCTTTGCAAACTTCCAATCCTCAAGCACTTTAACTTCTGGCATCACCAGTATAGTCACGGCAGGTTTCTATTTATGAAACAAAATGCATATATTTATCCGGTTTTTCTGTATTTCATGCGGCCTTACACGGACAAACAGGTTTCTTTATTTTATGAGAATCTATCGGTCTTTTGTCGCCAGAAAAGTGATAAAAAATATACGCAATATTTATTTGATTAAAGGTTTTTCATTTCGTGAAAATAATAAGTGCATGTCAATATAATTCAAGTGAAATGAAACAAACGAATTTATCAAAGAAAGTTCTTTTTTGATTTGATTATTATAAAAAAGTTTCTAGTGATATTTTGGGGGAAAATTCTTTTTCATATAAAGATTTACATTTTGAAATAGCTCCACGTTATACAGAATAGAGAACATGTGTTCTTCACTGCTTTTGATGATGTAAGCCACTCAGAAATAATTATTAATTATATCACTAAAGATAATCTAGAACCATATTTAATTAATGTTTCATTGAGAACATTTTTTGAATCCTTTAATAATTTTTATGACTAATCAATGCTACAACAATTTCAATTAATAAAATACGGAATGCATGAATATTTCAATTTCCCAATTTAACCGAATTTTGATTTGACTAAATTTTTATAATTTTGATCCGCTAATTTGTAACCAATTCTGAGATTAAAAATTCCGTTAAATATATATTAATTATATCAATTCTGTTTTTATGAAAATATTTGTTTCTTTTTTCTTTCTTTTTTTGTAAATATAAAAATATATAAAAGTTCTGCAAAACTTCCAAAGCAATAAGAATCAAATATAAAATATATGTGTGGGCGGGCAAGAGAATAACAAATTTAAAGCAATTATTGTCATACGTGGGTTCAACTTTTGAGATATTAAGGTAATGGAATTACGCTCCGAAATAATGCTGCAGAGAAATCGTACCATCCCCGTTCTTGCATGCGCAGGTTCAATTAAGGTATTTTTTGTCGAGCGTCTGATGCATCAAGCAAAAGAGTACCAAAGTAATAATGAGCGCGCAGCACGACGTCTTATAAACCATGTGCACTTTTAAGAAATGTGCCACTACTTCTTTTTTTATAAATAGAGGTCTTCCCAAAACTTTCCTGACAAATTATCGCAAATCTCAAAACTTGATTTTCAAATTACTTTTTGATTTATTTCCAACCATTATTTTAAACACTGTTATATGAGGTTTTTTTTTAATTTCAAAATTTTCATATTTAAAACTGACAAAAAGGAATGAAGCGTTATCGAGAATCGAGAAACTAATCGATTTGAATAAAATATGGGTTCAATTTTTGAATTTTATATTTCATATTTTCAACGAGGCGAATGTACGAGGGCTAAAGTGCATTGTGGGGTCGTGTAAGTGCGAAGGAGGGATCCGAGGTCGATGGATTTAATTCGGTCGATTAAGGCCAAAGGCTATGGCAACGATATGTGCGAGCCTTTCGACTCAACCGATTGGATCGAATCAAATCGACTCGATTTGAATGATCGAACCCCACAAACTAAGGTACTAAAAATTTTCAACAATTTTAATTTTCCTCAAAAAAAAAAAAACAAAAATCGTACAAGGAGAATCTCGAACTTATAAATTTCCACTATTCAAAATTATTGATGAAAATATTCACAATCTTTTCGACAAAATCTATAACACAGAAAAATAAAACATTCAATTTGTTTTTACTATTGAAACTCTCAAACATAATAAAATTTCGCCCATATAATTCCCAAAAGAAAATATATCTTGAAGAATAAAATAAAATTATAATGAAAGAGTTAAAAGACCATAAACGCTCCTCACGTTTTATTGAAGAAGACCTTTGACCTAATTCAATTGTCCTTCGACATTTTTTTTTTTTTTTTTTTTTCATTAAAAATTTTTTAAAAGCAAAAACGAAATTCTAAAAAAAATTCTAAAAGTTATAATATAATATATAATAAAAACATATATCGTAAAAATAATTATCGCTAATAAAAATGACAAGATGTTTCACTGTAACATACTTATTAGCAAACATTACTTAATTAACTTACTATGTATTTAATTTACGCGACACTAATTGGTACTTTTGGTGCATGAGACAGTTACAGCTTCATTTCTCAAGACAAATTCACGCATATTTTCCCGATTCACGTTAAAGAGCTCACAAACTGAAGACATCCAACTAAAATGAAGAGAGACTCTCACAAATGGAAAATGAAGAGAAAATTCTTTATAAAGAATTTCTCAAACTATGATATAATAGGAAAATTTGTCTCACAGCTAAAAATACACAAATCTCGTTTTTGATATGAGGAATATTAAAATATATTTGAAGAATAAAATGAAATTTTTGTCGCATTGAAAAATTACAAATCGACAAAAATAAAATACATCGATGAAAAGTTGTTAGACTTCTGTCATAATTTCTTTCAGAAAACGTGCAATTGTATACATATTATATATATATATATATACCGATTCTTAAAATTTTTCGCGTGCAAGCGTAACGCACACGTGCGAGACCCACGAATACACTTGCCAAATCGCTATCAGCTGCCTCCACATAAATCTCCTTGGTGTCATCGGCATTCCTCCACAGAATATAAGCGCTAGCAAGAGATTCACTTGAAAAATCTTATATATACGACAACTGCTCTTGCAAAATGAAGTACAGAATCAAAGGTTATATACCACTATATATATATAGTGAATGTATATAATGACACTTCGCATATACAAACGAGATTTTTTTATTTTCCCAAAATGCAAATTCTAAAACAAATTACTGAAATTATAAAATTCAAGATGGAATTTTAAGCAGTACAGAATAGAATAATATTATTAATTTATGAATTTTGAAATTTTTATCGAAAATACTTATTAGAATTACTGTTAATTATATGTACAATATTATACAATTAACTGTATTGAAAAAAAATTTAATTGGCTTAAATAAAAATTATTTGGTCCAAGTAAATATTTATTTTATTCAAGTAACCGATTATTTGAATCAAATTAATTTTTTTTCAATGTGAACTACGATAAAAATAAAAATTACTATTAATTGAAATCTGCTATTACATCTGCCGTTATACCTGAAATTATTATATATTATAACTATAATACACTGAAAAAAATTGATTTAATTCAACTAGTCGTTTTGTTGATTATTATTAAATAAACATTTACTTAAACCAATTAATTTTTATCTGAATTAAATAAATTGTATTCAAATGATTTCTCAACAATATTTCTGTATTTAAATCAAATATCGTCTAATTGACTCGCAAATAAAAATTATTCGATTCAAGTAAATATTTATTTTATTCAACACCCTGAAAAAAGTAATCTCATATTTAGAGAAAAAATCCTCTTCTAATATCCTCTCAATTTTTCCTCTTAAAAAAAAAAGTATTCCACTTGATTGTGGAATATTTTTATTCTTTGGTGACTTAATAATAAAACAAAACAATTTTTTTGAGGTTCTGATGTCAAAAACATTGAATTAAAGTTAAATAAATAAAGAAATCTATTAATTAATATAAGTAATTAACTATAAATCATTAATTATATTTAATATTTAATTAAAGATATTTAATTTAGTGCATGCACTGAAAGACTTTTTGTTTCAAAAATTAATATAATTTGTTTCAAAATGAGGAAAATTTATTTTTGTACTACTTAGTCGCATGAACGTACTAGTTTCTGACTAGAAAAAACTAAAAATTTGTATGGACCATACTAATTTTTGGTATTATTTGGTTATAAACTAGTACGTTTACACACGGAAAAAATTAATTCAGTATATTTTACAAAACTGTGACGGAGTAGCGGATACAGCTCTTTACGAAACTGAGTTTTGTAAAATGTGATGGATATTTTCGGATAAACTACAGAACTTTCGTTGTTTATGCTGAATATTTCTGGAGTTTATCCTGAATATTTCGTGACATTTTACAACACTCAGTTTCGTAAAGAGCTGTATCCGCTACTCCGTGATAGTTCTGTAAAATCTACTGAATTCATTTTTTCCGTGCACGATTAAATAGTACAAAAATACAGTTATCCTCATTTTGAAACAAATTATATTAATTTTTGAAACAAAAAGTCTTTCAGTGTGATAATAGCTTTTCTTTATCAGTTTATAACCATAATTGTCAAATTATATGCGAGAGGAAAATCCTCTCAAGTGAAGACTATTACTTTTGATACAATATATAAGAGGAAAATATGCATCAAATTAAGAGGAATTCGCTAGAATCAAGATTACTTTTTTTAGAGTGAAGTAACCGATTATTTGAATCAAATTAATTTTTTCATCTAAAATTTTACTATTCAGAATCATCAGCTTTTACCAAAATCATCAAACATTATTTACCAATAAAATTAATCGACTCTACTTTTATTTAAAAATCAAATATAACCACCCATTAAATTGCATTTATTGGATGGATTGAAAATCCTTTATATATATATAATATAGAATGAAGACTCTCCTAGTCAAGGTCAAATATTTCTTTTTTTCAGAGATCTATACACAACTGCGGAGAGCGAGGTTCACGACAAGGTGAGGAATCGAGAATTTTTATGCTGCAAGGTAAAAGAAGAAAGAGGTCATAGTTAAAACATTCGCCATGTGCGTGGGATGGCCAAGGGCCACAAGGCTAAACGTGTCGAAAACCGTGTCGAACGTACAAAAGGAACGCATACTGTGAGACGAACTGGTTGCCTTGTGATACCATGGATCTCGGATTGCGCGCCCCGATGCAAACGGAGTCACGTAGGTGTTACAGGTTACATACCCACGTAACTTTGGTCTCTTGTTATCGCGCTTCATTCCTTTTTTTTTTTTTTTTATTTAAACTTTATTCTTGGACAAACGCGTGCCAAATCCGTCCAACGTTTTGCACCATGACAATTTCGATTAATTATTTTTACCTCTATATATATAAATAATTCGCAAATATCTAATTACACGATTAAAAAAAAAAAAAAAAAAAAAATTGCCTTTTAAAGAGTAACTCTTAAGTTCTCTTTCAACAAGAACAACTAAATTCTGCTTGGAAGTTTTAAAAGAACAAATAATTCTACCTTTCAACTATATAATTAGTCTCAACGATAATTTTCCATATATTTGTATTTCACTCTTAAATATTTCAGACGAGAATTAAAAGTTAAAATCAAAAGTAGTACATGTTTGATTAATTTATAATGTTCGATTTACTAAATATATACCTAAGAAATACAGAAACTGAAATATCGATTCAAAAGTAATTTTTTAACTCTCGACATTAAACGATATTTCTCGATATTTGTATATTTTGAAAAAATTTTCCAACTATTGTGCACAAATTTTCAGACTTCAAATTCATTTGAAATTTTGAAAATATAAGACCCCTTGAAACGAAATCGTTTCATTTTACATGAAATGAAAGGTCTAAACTAAATTTTATAGATAAATTTCTTGATCCACACGAAACTGAATTTGGTGAATGAATTTCCATGACGATTCCAAACGAAACTAAATTCAACTTTTATATCCGTTCAACACTGAATTAAATTCAGCAAACTAATTTTTAGTCAAAAATCTAAATGCATTAGACGAATTTCGTGTCGAGTTGTAACGAAACTATTCAGCAGATGAATCTCGTTTCATAGGTCGCAATAAATCTAATTTGACTATAATCTTAAGTCAAAATCGAAACTAAACTCATCTAATCAATATCTGAAGATAAAGAAAATATTTATTAATTAACAAACAATAAAAATTAAAACAACATTTTCTTAATCACTATCGAGTTATTCCAAAAAACAAAAATGCTCTAAATCAATTTTCAAACACTAATTTACTAAACTCTCAAATTTTAATTCTCACTCATTCAAACAGAAGTTTAAATCAATTCCAGAAATTCCAATTTAATATTTCCTTTTGGCAAGTTCGCGGAGAAATAATCAATGCTAAAATAACTCCAGAAGAAAAGCCTACATATTTTGTCCAAAAATATCGTGGTGATGTTGGGGGTTAATGAACATGCGAGAATATTCAATTAGGTCATCAGAAATTTGTTCAATCTGAAAAAGAAGAAATAAAAGAAGCGATCTAAAGCGAGGAAGAAACAGAAAGAAAGAGAGAACCTTATGTAGAAATTTTCATCGTTCATTATTCATAATAGGAGGGCCAATTTTTTTTTTTTTTTTTGAGTAAATTTCTAACAAGGAGAAAAACATGTACTCAATTTCAGAATGTATATTTAAAAGGGAGAAAAAGAACAAAGAACATTAATTTTCTTTCTTGAAAGGCGTACGGGTATCGTCGGAACCATATCCGTCCCTGGGTCATACGATGGCTCAGCTAACGAGGGGGGGGAACCAAGAGAACATTAAAGAGGGAGTATCAAAAGAGAGAGATAGAATGGTGAATGAGGGGTGTGAGAGGGTTGAAGGGGAGAAAGAGAGAGAGAGAGAGGGAGAGTGAGATCGAGAGAAAGAGAGACCAGGGAGGGGCGAGTTTCAAAAAAGAAACTGCCGGTCGAACTGGAACGACAAGGCAAGGTGAAGGGGGGACACGAGAGCACGCCACTTGAAAACCCCTCGTACGCGTGTTACTATGCTACAGTGGTGCCTTCAACGGTGGCAGCACGAATTATTTTCTGTTCGATGCCGGCTTCGATGTACTCTCCTCAACAAAAGTACGAACCGTACGAAAATTTCATCTCTAGATTCACAATTTTATTGCACTGATAATATAGAAAATCTGAAACAGTCATACGATTAAAAAGAAGATGACAATGATAATAATAATGATGATGATGATGATGATGATAATGATAATAATACTAATAATTCCTCAAATCTTTTTGATGATCTTTCAAAAGACGAATCACTATCTTCAAATTTGACCGAAAATTAAAAATCTCGATATTAATTAATCTAAATCGATACAGGTCGTAAAACCCCGCTAGACCAAAAAATAATAAATATTTAAAAATAATAGTATAAACTACCCCCTGACCCAAGAGATAGATCCGTCACTGAGATTGAAGATTTGCAAAAAAAAAAAAAAATGATAATTTGCAATTTTCGTTATATTTGCACCTCTCATTCTCGGATGTTAAATTATATTTTGAAACAAATTGAAAAAACATATTCCAATAAAAATTTTTTAATCTATTTTTTAAATTCTCATTGCAATTTTTCGAGTTTTCGTATAGTTCAAATTTGGTATACCCAAATATCGCCTGAGTTCCATTTTATTTCCAAAAAAAAGCAATATTTTCATCAAGTAATTCATTGACTAAAATTCAATTCTTGGGGAAAATTTTTTTTTAAATTTCATATTGTAGATTTTTGCTACAATACAAATCATCAAAAGAATAAATTCCACCTATACGAATATGTCAGAACATATATCAATAAAATAAATCAATAATTCCAATCACAAATGAAAAAAAACGTGTTTAGTATTTTTTTTCTTAAAAATAACAAATTATTGAACATGTCAACCTTTTAATGAAATAATTTCTATATACAAGAAACGTCGAATGAAGATCTGAAACATTGTTATAATCTTAATTAGTTGAGAAATGCAAGAGAGATCGATGTCTGGAGCTTCTTATCTAATTTTTTTCTTTCTTTCACATATATATATATATAGACTCCAAGAGAGAAATGATGAATTACGTTTATTAACTCATATCAAACAGATGCAATTTTTGAAAGACAAATGACTTAAAAGTGTTGAAATATCAGATACAATTTTTTCATTGCAATTAATATTGAAGAGACATTTTTATATTCTCAATTCTCCCTGCGAAGGAGAATTTCTTCACCTTTTTTTTCTGTCGATAAACTTTATCTAAAAGATAAAGTTCGATTTTTGAACTTTAAATGAAGAAATTCTGTCTCATCTTGTGAAACAAAATTCTATGTGAAATTTAATGATTGTTTAAACGAAAATTGATTCAATTGTTTCTAGCGATGTAAATAACGATCGATTCTATTTTAAATTGTACTTGAGGAATAATTGGCCTACAATAGTTCAATCTATTAATGTCGTGATTTGCGTTTTAAACAAATAAAAAAGAAAAAACGAAAACATTGAACTGGTAAAGATTTTGCAATTTTTAAAATAAGAAACGAACGAATTTCTTTGGAAAGATAGAAACAAAATCAACTAATACTGTGAAGAAAAGAAATGGATAACCATCAACATTTTTTCAAATAATAGAAATAACTATTAATAATAATGTTTTGAAAATGATCCTATAAGAAAAAATAAATAAAAAATATTGACTTACATAAAAAAAAATACACGTGGTTGTAAAGAAAAAAAAACTTTATTTTTAACCAAGTTTCAATATAAGGATTAAGTTAATACCGAGACAAACAAGATCTAATCTTTGAACTTGGTAAAGTTTTTTTCTAAGATATGAGTATTTTTTAATCGAGATGAAAATTTTTCCTGACATACTTCAATGCCAGTTTCCATTTCAAATATCTGATGGACACTCAATATTAAAACTTTTTTTTTTTTTCATGAACAATATAAAAAATATTAGCATGCTATGAAAGCATTGTATGTCAAACTTCTGATACCCTATCTCAATGGACCTCATGAATAAAACCGTATTTCCGTTGTAAAAAGATCATATCAATCCTATTATGTAGGGTAACTGCATCAGTGAATTGCCATTTAAATTTTGTGCTTACACACGAAACTGATTTTTCTAATAATTGCAAAAGAAGTGAATAAATTACTAATCCAAAAAATTTTGCAAAGTCCCATTAAATTTCTGCAAATTTTTTTTTGTCCGAACAAAATGTATTTTTGATTACGAAAACACAGTTCCAACAAAAAAAAGCAGACATTTTTTCCATAAATAGCAAAAAAGAAAAAAAAATTGGGAAAATAAATTTTTTTTTTGCATATATAATTACGTTCAATTAGCAAAGCAAAATATCATTCTCAATGTAGTCATCAAGACTCGACATATAAATTTGTAAATTCGTCAGTGACTCAACGACTATTCTCCTAAAGGAGAGCTAATGATAAAGTTATAAAAAAAAAAAAAAAAAAAAAAGTTCACTTCGTATAATTTTCAACTTTAAGTGCTGATGAAATTCGTGAAACAGAAATACCGAAAACTGATTTGCAGCATCCTAAATATGTAAATTTGGTAAAGTTGTTAAATTCATTAGTGCAAAGAACTTGAACGTCATAACTGAGAATGCGCCATGTATATTATACATATATGCATGTACCATACACAATACACAAAAGGACATCAACGATAGTCTCGTTAAGGCTAGCGAAAAAATGAAGTTTTTATTTATGTCGCGTCTCATGTCCCACGATATTCCCTTTCCATAAAAAATCGCGTCATTTAGATTACTCGACATCTGGCACGAACGAGATACACGTGACGAGATATGCAACGAACGTAGAAGGCCTTTGTTAGTTAAATATATGATAACGGAGAATATATAGTCAAAATGAAATGCCTCAAATAAATTATTTATCCTTGCGGAAAATATGCATTTAACGAAAGTAATCATAGTTACCACACACAATTATCATTTTATTTTAATCATAAATTCAAATATAAAAATTCAATCATTTCAAAAATAATAAAAACGTCAAGTCTTAGTGAATATAATCGTTAAATAAACGGATATTATATAATCTCATATGAAAGCACTTGCAAACGTAATTTTCTTACAATTCAAATCACAGACTTAGACAATCTTTGAATTAAAAAAAAAAATCGTCGTATAAGTATATTACGTTCTACATTTGAATTAATAAATTCGTCAGTAATTTTTTTTTCAGTTAACTAAAATTTTTTTTACTAAAAACATTAAAAATTAAATTTTCTCTCCTATTCGAGGAATATAAAAAAATTAAACTTAATAATTTATCATCTTCAATTTGGAATTTACGATAATGACAAATTTTCAAAGAAACAATTTTCAAATTCCACACGCGCGTAATTCGGAAGCTATTTGTGTATAAAAATATCTATAACCCCTCGAGAGACAGCAGATGTTACAATAAAGTGAAAAAAAAGAAAAATATATTTAAAAAAAAATGTTCACAATCTAGAGATAAACACGTTTCGATGTAGATAGACGTTTGCAAGTTACTTTCCATGATATTAAATCTTTATCTAATTTCAATGCATGCAAAAGATTGCAACCCAGACAGCAGAAGCATTTATTGCCGTGAATTATTTAGTATCTCGAAAACGTTAATCATGGTATAACGTCAAGCTGTCTGCTTTGCTAAACGATCGACATTCTTGATAAAAAGTATCTCCTTACCTTTACATTTGACGCCAACTTTTCCTGTACCCCAAATATAATCTTCGCCTGTAACAAAAAAAAAGTAACAAAACTATATTAGAGAATGTAGAAAGCATAGAAACAAATATTTAAAGTTTTTTTTTTTTTTTTTACTATAACTCAAATACTAGACTAAAATTTTTATGTATGAAAAAATGTTATCAGTTTTAATAAATCCAATTGTAAAAAGTCGAAAAAATATACCAAAAAAAAGCTTTCAAATCAAAATATAATTAATTTAAATTCAAGATTTTGACAATTCATTATTCAGAAGCACTTATTATTAAAATAATTATTTTTTAACCTAAGCAAACAGGTACCGGTATTCTTTTATTAAAAAAAAAAAATTATGAGTAATCTCCGTTTTTTCTGAAATTACGTCATTTTTCCCAAGACCTTGAGCATCATAAATGATATTTTATTCAAAAATAAATTACTAAAACTTTTAAGGAAAACAATAATTAAACAAATTATAAATCATTTTTAAAATGTAACTTAGTCTACAAAAAAAAAGATAATATGATTTATATCTTGTAAAACTTCAATTTAGTGTTCGAAATATAAAATGCAAAAAAGACAAATAAACAATAAGCAAACAAATTTTTTTTAAATAAACAAAATAACACTAAATTCTTAACATTGTTTTTCTAACTAAACAATTTTCTTTCAAAATACTTTCTTTATTAGGAAGCAAAATTAAATTATTCAAAAACATTAAATGCAAATTTGTGTGAAATTTAAATAAAAAGTAAATTAAATTAATTTTTAAAACCTATTGAGTTTAATTAATTTAATCTAAACCAATTAATTTAATTGCTTAAATTAGGGTTATTTTAAATTAATCTTATGAACTTAAATTATGAAACTTACAGTGAACACAAAGGATAGGGCTAACGAAGTAAATATCTTCCAGGAGGTGGTTAAATTCAGTTCTTCCTGAGCTAGAGGTTTCACCTACAGGAGCTGAAATAACAAAAAAAAAATTGTTTATAATTTCTTTATTAATTTATATTGTAATTATATGTTTAATGTAATGTATAATTAGTACATATTAATTAATTTTCTTATGATTATTCATAATAAGTGTAAAAATTAAAATAAATTTCATTCATAATAATTAAAAGCATAATAAATAAATAAATATTAAAACAGTTTTTTATATAATTGAGAAAAACAAAAATCCATCATAATGTATCACTTTTGATATTTAAATTTCTACAATTAAGCATTTAAAAATCAAACAGAAAAATGAATAATTTAAATATAATTTTTGTTTTCATTGTTTTTATAAAGAAAACATCTACATACCGCTAGGTCCATTGCTGAGTGTTATGTATGACGACTCTTCTTCGATACGGGTGTCTAGGTACGACGCTAGGCTTCCTTTCAGCATTAGGATTAGCTCGAATGTACCTCTTAAAACTGAAATTACAAATAAAAGAATCTTTAAGTAATTTTGAACATAAAGTTTATGATTTAAAATTAAAAAAATGTTCTTTTAATTTAATTATTTTCATAACTGAAAATAAAATACAAATAAAAATTTTACTTAACCATAAATTTGTCATAAGTGAAACAATATTTTACAGTCAAATTTTAAAATTACAATTTAATAAAAATATCTCCATTTAAATATTAACAATCAGATATAAAAACCTTAATCTTTTAATTTCGGACTTTATTTCAAATATTATGATAATTTCTTTCAATTTTAAATATTACAAAATAATATTAAAGTTCAATTTCTATGGATTTGTTTGTTTTAAGAATATAATCATTTCTTTCCAAAATTTATGATTTTAGTTTTCATACACTGTTAAAATAATTTTTAAAACAACAAATTTTTTCAAACTTACCGGGTACAAATTGTTCCTTAATTAGTAGTTGAGTCGTAGAAAATACGTGTAATTATTAGAACTTCTATTGAGTAGAAGCGAAAGATCTCCAAAGTGCAACTAGTTCTTCAGAAACAAAGTAGGTAGAAAATTTCCTTCGAAAAAATATATTTTATATAGGCCTTTTTTGTATTCACTTCGTCTAATGAATGCTCATCACGTAGCATTACATGAATTACATAAAAGTATAAAATTTGTGCATTTTTTCTCTTTAATCACAGTTAGTCTTTCATCTGGCGACTGCAACATTGACTTCTTCTTTTATCCTTGTAATTTCGTTGTCACTTTGCTGATGAACAGTATTTCATATTATTTTGGCACCTTTCGACAAGAATCATTATCATTATTATTATTATTATTATTAAAAAATCTTTTTTATTTGACAAGATTCATGGAAGTCAGTGATTAAAGGCAGTCTATATTTGTTTTCCAAATTATTTTTCATCCAGTACTGAAGATCTAGACTGTTACTATTATAAAATTCTAACAGCATTTGTTATGAAAACTTGATTAATAAAAATGTGTATCAAGTACAAGTATAAAAAGAATGCACAAATAATTTGCAGAAATTGTATCTACACATTCTGAAAATTAATTTGATTTAAACACTTCAATGGTCATTTAATAACTTTTTTTTTTTTGTTTTAAGTTGTGCATTCTGCAATTTTTCTTATAAAATATTCCATGTTTTATAAATATTTCAAAAATTGTCTCGTTGCAAATTTATTTTGCCTTGCTTTCCATCAAGTTTTAAACTGCAGTCCCCAATCGCACTTTGAATGAAGTTCCTGAAAACATAAAAATAATTTCAATTTAATTATTAAAGTCTTTTGAATAAAAAAAAAAAAAAAGATGATCGTAAAACAATTTCGCGTGAAATTGAATATACTATTCAAAAGGCAAATTAATTTTTGTGAAGTCATTTGAATAAAGGCAGACGTAACGCTTGATGAATCCAATTCTTTGTCGCCATTCACCATAAAGAGTCAAAAAGCGTTACGACAGTGATCAAAATGCCCAATGGATTTTAACAAAGGATGTATAGTTTAGAACATTTAATTTAAAAAGAATTTTTTTTTTTTTATTCAATTCATATATATTTCAATACTACTTTTATAACCACAAATATAAAGGTAAATTAATTATACCAACAAAATGACTAATTATTTAATGCTTAAAGAAATATTTCATATTTTTGAATTTAAAAAAAAAAGTCAAAGTTGTTTTTAAAATATTGAAAGTGCACAAAATCTATCATTATTTGACATTTAATTTTCTTAACTATCAATGTGAAATGAATTAATAGAAGAAATTAAAATATTAGAAAAATTTTTAATTCAGTAGTTGGAAGAAATATATTTTTAAAAATATGTTATCTAACATCACATCCTGTACGAAAACAAATAAAAATACATAAACTTCAAGGTTTCATTTAAACATTAATCGTGTTGTATGAGAATATATGTTTGAAGAAAGGAATTGAACTAAATATAAACTTGTACTTTCTTAATACGCAATAACCTAATTGAATGCAAAGGGGTGAAAAATACTTCAAACATAAACAAACTCATGTAAAAGTTATCAAAATATCAAAGTTCATACGAATATCCAAATGTAAAATATTCTACTATTGTTATTTTTTTCAAAAATTAACAATAGAGTAAGACGAAATGTATTTTGTTTTTTAATTTACACCGGCGTTTAAGAACGTTTTACATTTTGATTAAACTGTTTTAAAAATCAAACGGAATAAAATTGACTTATTAACAATATATACATACATTAATAATAATAGTTAATAAATACATTTATTAACAAGTAACTAAACAAAAACTATAATCATAGTATTCCAGACGTAAACAAAACTTTTTGCAATCTTCAAGAATCTTTTTTTCACTATTATTCCCATTTACATAGAGTGGGCAAATTGAAAAAGTATACTTATTAAAACACTGAGAATTTATTAGAATATTTAAAGATAACTTAAAAAAAATAAATCGAATAGAAATATTAGTTTATTATAGTCACATGGCACCGTGTACATACACGATTTCACGCACACAAAGCCAAGCGTACTTGAAAGCCACGCTTGGTTTTGGAGTAAAAAATGTAAAATAAAAATGTACAAAACACTTTTTTGTACGTACCAGATACTTTTATAAAGTTACACAAATACTTCATAATCCTTTTCTGTCCTAATGTCTTTACGGAAATTAATCTAATGACCGTGATCCCAGAAAGTTTGTCACATCCAGAATTGACCAAAATCGCAACACTATGACCGAAATAAATGAGGCACGCTTCTCATCAGTTTATCACAAATAACAAAATGTTATTTGAAATGCTTAAAACTTGGTGAAAATGTTCTTCTGCGTTTTAAATGCGTGCACAATTTGCAGAAAACTTTATAAAAGTAATTATAATCACAGCACCGTTTTCCCGTGTTCATGAAAAACGATTGTTGAAAACGATGAGGAATTGAGGGTTATGGTTATGTACAGGAAAAGTTCCAGAGTGCGCTGCAATCGCTGGAAAATGCCCGCCATTTTTCAAATTACATTTTAAATATATATTTACATTATAAAAGGATATTATTTTTTATGTATAAAAAAAGTATTATGCTAATATAAAATAAAATAAATAATTAAAATTTTTTAAATATGACATAAATAATAATAATAATAATAATAATAATAATATTACTTATATATTATTTATTTTTATTTTATTTGTAAAAAATTAATATTTTTAAAATAATTTTTATTTATTTTCAAGTATTTCTAAAATTGGATTATTAGGACTTGATTTACCTGTAAATATATTGGGACAGAAAAAAATATTTTCGAAAATATTGTAAATAATAATAACGAAAAAAAACTTACATTAACTGTAAGTAAATGATTAAACGTTTTCTCATATAAAGACATTCATTTTATTTTGAAATGATGTAAATTAAATTTAAAACTTAAATTCATACCTTGGGGAAAAATAAAATTATTCTGGTTTTTCAGGGAATGAAACCTTAGGTTTACTAGAGGTTTCAGGATCTGGTTTACTATTTTTATTTGAACGTAGAACTGCACCAGGACTTGGATACGGCCTCATTTGATATAAAGGCCCAGATGCTGTTGTATCTGCACCAGTTTTTGCCTCATTATGACGAGCTAATCCATCAGACCATTTACCCCTAAGAAAAGAATTACAATTTTAAAAAAATTGGATAATTATTATTAATTAAATTGTTTAAAAAAATGTAATTCAATTGAATTTTATAAAAAGCGATAAAAGGGTATAAAAAAAATTACATCCGTACCTAGGTATATCACTGTAAGCTGCAGGATCCATAGGATCTAAAGAACGATCCTTTTTATCTTTTATCTCTTTCCGCGGGACTTTTTTGACTTCACGTCTTTCTCTTGTGTCTTGCTTGCGATCTTTTCTTACTTCTTCGTCAACCTAATTATTAAAAATTGATTATAAATAATATTATTCAACTTTTCTTCTTTGCCAAATAAAAAAATTCCTACTTTAATACTATTATTTGTGAAACAATAAAAAAAATAGTAACTGAATTTCTCGTTTAGAAAATCAGGAATTAGAACCATTTTTTTAAATGTAAATCTTACATCCATTGGCTCTTGATCGCTAGCACTTTCATCACTAGACATATTGTCATCTTGATCAGCAGCTTTTAGATGCAATTCTTCTCTTAATTGAGAAGCAGGTTGTGAAATTTGACATTTAGGATGTCCTGGAGGTAACCAGGTTACTAAATCTGAAGACCAATCCCAGTAATAATGTTGCCCTCTACAAAAAGTAAATCAATTGTTTCTTACAGTCAAATAATTTATTAATATTTGGAAAATTTAAACTTCCATCATTTTGTCTTTAATAATAAGTAAATTACAAGATATACTTACGTTCCCGGATCATAAACAGCCTTCCAAGTTTCCGGTAAAGGATATTTTTGAAGCATACGCATTTGTTTTTTCAAATAATCTTCCGTTGGTTGCAAATGTCCAGCTCCCCAAATTTCTTTACATTTTCTACTACATTCGTGATAAATATTGTACTTATTTGGACAGCCAGGATGTCCCTAAAAATTAAACAACTTACAATTAACCAAACAAAAATGATAAAAATTGTTCAATCTTTGTAATATGTACAAATTAATTTTAAAGAATTGACATAATATTTAAAAGTATTTTTCACATACCATAAATTGTTGTGAAAGATCAATTTGGCTGAGATCATCTTTTGTACTATCGTAATCTTCAGCAATTACTTCTTCATGAACCTTCTTTTTTGGTTCTTTTCTTGCCGTCTCTATAAATTATAAATAATTAAAAAATATACGTTTTCGGAATTGTCAAATTGTAATTTCGATTTAAAAAATCTTTTAAATAATATTAAACTTAACCTAAAAATCAGCAATGAATAAACAATTTTGAAAGTTAAACTTTTTTTAAATAATGATTGTAAAAATATATTTTTTATAAAAAAAACCTTGAAAATAACAAAAAACAACAAATCAAAATAGAAATTTTAAGGTTATACTTACCAGGTTTATCGGAATTTGTAATAATACCCCTTTTGGCTAATCGGGCAGCTAATGCAGCTGGTAATGGCATTTTTAAATTCTTTTTTAAAACCAAAGTTCAAAATTCCACACAATTACTTTGTTAGAATAAATAAAACTGTATTTTTATCTTGCACAAATTTTTCCCACACAGAAGTTCACAAACAAGCGAATAGTTAACCGTTTTCCCCGATGGTGGCGCTTTCAGCGCGCGAAAAGAAAATTTAATTTGAAAATGTTTAAAAATATTTTCATTTTCAAAAATACAAATAATAAATTAATGTAAATGATTTACACTATAATTAATTATGATAGATAAATAAGAACTATATAAAAAAGATTTAAAAATAACAAATTTAATATTTTACAAAAATAATTAAAATACCAAGAAAATAACATTTAATAAAATATATATCACTAGAAGGAATTTGAAATAATAACAAAAAATGTAAAATAGATAATAATTTTATTAAAATAGATTTTATGTTACATCATCTTCTACTTCGCTTACAATTAATTCCTCCTCTGAATTTTCTCCACTGCCAATAAATGTTTCTTCAGATACTTTGAGAAATAGAGGAAAATTTGGTTTGCATTGAATTATTGAAAATCTTTGTACATCAATTTTTTCATCATCCTCTTGATCTTCATTTCCATAAAATGTTTGCTTTGTTAATCTTTTTAGAATCTCTTTTTCATCGGGTAAATTTTCTAGCTCATTTTCCTGTATTAAATTAATTTTCTCAACAATTCCTTCAGGTTTTACTGCATTTGGAAATGAATATATATTTTTTTCTTCATTATTATCCAAAGTCATAGAACTATTTAACGGTAATGGTGGTGGAGGAGGAACCATATCTATTTTATCAGTCAAATTATCTCCTTGTTTAGATGAAATTTCTTGAGTAACATTTCTATACATTCTTTGCAAAGCTTTTGATTCTCTTTCAGACATTGAATTGTGTTTCTCTAACAAAGCATCTTTTAATTCACTCATAAAATTCTTTGCTAATAATTTATCAAATTTATAATTCTGTACAACAGATTCGTCTCCATCCTCGTAAAGTGGTTTTAGATATTCTTCTTTAATATATTCCTCAAAAACTTCATCGAATATTTGTGGTTCCGAGTCTAAAATTATTGGCAATTCTATTTTTTCACTATTAGAAATAATATTCATTTCTTGAACGATTTGGCTCTTGGATTGTTCATGTTGTACTTTAGCAACAAGTAAACTACTAAATTCAGTGAAACTTTTTGCAGTGTCAATTTGTTTGTAGACCTCATTTAAATTTTGCATAATAATTTCAGAAAAATCGTCATTAGAATTTTCATTCGAGTGTGAATCGATTTCTTCCAATGTTGAAAGTAATACTTTATAAGCTATTTGTAATTTGTAAGCTGTTAAATCTAAATGAACATATAAATCTTGCCACTTGGAAATTCTCGAACCCCTGAAAGAAAATTGTAAAATAAATTACATGATTCTTAATATTTTCAGGAATAATCACAATAAAAATTCCTTACTTATATTCTCTGTGTTGTGGTTCGAATTTTTTGGTTGAAAATTCATTTAACACTTTTGATAGTTTAGAACAATATTTCTCTAAACTCATTGTAAGATTAGTTATAATGTGAATTAATTTTATTTCTGGGCATCTTCCAAAATTTCGCCATGTATCTTGATTATAAGCAATAGCTAAAAGATGTAACATCTCTGATTGGACGAGGAGATACATATAATAATGATTCTGCAACAATTATCCACATATTTTAATAAATATTTATTTAATTTCAATTTCTAAATTAATAGGAAAAATAATTTGCAATTGAATTTTTACCTTTAAGGTTTGATAAGTAACTTCTCCCCTTATAGAAAATGAACCAGTTTCAAAGATTGTCTTTAAATCGTCATTACTGACAGAAGTTGGTAAAAGTTTAAAAATACAATTAGATGCTTGATAAAAAAGAAGGGAAACATTTTCCAAAGAAGATATTAAAATTCCAGTTAACGGTAAAAGATACATATGTTTTGATTTCTCCAATTCTCTGAAAACGTAAACATAAATTCCAATCATAAACAGTATGAATAAATTTTTTTTTTAGAATTCAAAAAATTAAATTAATTCAAAACTTACACAAATTTCTGGCCAGATTTTCGTGGATCTGATTTCATTCTAAAAGAGTATCTCAAAATTTTAAGACTATTTTTACATGAATGATAAAAATCATTTTGTAAGGATATAAGATGTTTTAGATTTTTACTAGCTTTCCATCGTAAAAATCTTCTGTGTGCTGTTAAAGTAAAAATGGATGAAGCCAGCATAATACTTAAAACACTTTTACATTTTTTAAATAATCCATAATAGATGGTTACAGATGAACTCACTAATGGAAATAAATGCATCGCTTTCCTGAAATTGAAAAATATTGTTTAAAATATTTATTTCAATATTTAACAAAAAAAAAGGATTAAAAATTAAAAATTTGTTTTTCGAAATAATGTAAAATAATCTTAAAACTTACTTAAAAACACATTGCTTTCTATCATCAACAAAACTTTGTATTTTAGACGCATGATCATCTAAAAGACAATCCAATCTTAAAATAAGTCTCAATTGTTCATTTAAAAATTGATTGTCCTGTAACTAATATTTTATCGAATATTACAGTAATTGTTAATCCGTTAATTGATAAACAAAATTTAGATAAAAATTATTACCTGTATTGTGCAAAGAATAGAATTATAAAAAGAGAAGACTATTTGTTTCATTGAAAGGTTCACCTAAAAGAAATGATTCAAAAATGATGAAAAAAAAGTTCTATAAAAAACACAAAACAAAATTAACGCTTGTATTTTAATTTAAAATTAAAAAATAAAATTATAATTAATAATATATTACAGAAAATTTAATTTTAATAAATACTTAACTGTTTTTAATAAATTTTAGTAATTTACCTTATTAAAAAGGCCATTAGCAGTCACTTCAGTATTAAAATGTTCAGTTCTTTGAATCGGAACACTTTCAAAATCATGTAACCCCATGTTTGTTAAAATTGTATGTAATTCGCTGCCCTAATTGCGTAATTAATATAAACGCAAATTACAATTTATGACAATTATTTAAAAATAAATAAGAAAAATGTTCTTATTATTGCAAAAGACATGTGCGAAAATTAAACAAAGTTATATTTAACTTTGAAATGTTAAAAATTTTGAAACTGAACTTACAATTTCAATAAACGTAAAATTATAAATAAATCACATATGTCATATTAATCGATTCTATCAATAAACATGTATTATTATAAAATTGGGAAATTTTATAGAATGTACTTTTTGAAAAGAAATAAAATTTTATAATAAATGAAAATTTTTACCTGAAGAACTACATCTTCGTCCTCTTCATCCATTATATTTTCATTTTCTCTTGACATTTTTCCACCTGTTGAATCATAATAAATTATTAACAATTAAGAAAATAAAAATATTTTTGAATTGCATTGTTGACATGCACAAAATTCTATATAACAGCCATAACCTCAAAATTATTCAAAAAGTGCAAACTTATCACAATAATTTGTTGCGAATTATATAATAACTATAAATACAATTAAGTTACGTAAAAAGTATTTCATAAAAGTTTTACCTACTTAAAATTCACACATAATTCTAAACAATAGAAATATTAAATTTGTTAAAAAAGCAAATGAAATAAATGAACTTTTTTCCGAGCCAGAATGTGCAATAAATCAGTTTTGCCAATGTTTAAAAATGAAAATATCAACAACACGAATATTTCATAAGGCGCGATTTTTAAAAAATCTTAACAATTATTAATATTTTTCACAACTATTTCTGCAGAAAAAAAATAAAATTTCTTTCTATATATATTTATAAAATAACAAGGAATGTTATTAAGCAAACTGAAATACGTTTAATTGGTTATTTTAACGAGAAATTAAAAAAGGCGCGAAATAAACAAGTGTAAAATTTAAAAAAGAAAACTTGCTTTCTTCACGTTGTATTTTGACAGGAAGTAACAAAATATTGTGTTGATTCTTGCAGTTCCGGCGAAGTGGTGTAGGGAAATAGACAGACCACGGGGGCTACACGCGGAGTAGCGACACGCGTGTGCAATATAAGGGAAAATATCATAAATAGTTATTTTTTTAAGCCTCTCCCATTAATTAGCGTGAACGTATAGGGAATCTATAATTGTTCTCGCGTGTTTTTTGTTAAATAAAGTGCGGCAGTATTGTCTGGGTGTGCCGAAACAGTGATAAATATGGCGAACACCGTAGCACCGGACTCGTGGGAACAGCAGGCAGATAGCGGAGATACAACTGCCGCCCAGGATAAATCCATCGAAAGCAAATTCTCAACTCTTAACGTAAACGCAGCGGAATTTGTGCCTTCTTTCTGCATTAATTCCACACCGCAGCAAAATTCGCTTAGCGATAGTCCCAGCGATGCAGCAATGACTGCCGTTGATACTGCAGCCACTTCCATGCCTCCCGAAACTTATCACGGTTCGTCGTTACACTTTCTTTTCAAATGTTCTAGAAATCGTATTTTATCTAATTTTCATAAAGATTTTGACACCTATTTTAACTAATGTTGACAAACGTCAAAACCGTCCCATTAAGTTTAATATGTTGATATTGTGAATCACGTATGTGTTTGTAACATTTAACCCACTTAGCACCTGGTGCTCATCTACTTTACATTCTTTTCTTTCTTACAAGAAAGTATATTTTACACCTTCTAATTGAATTGAATTTTTTCTGCTTGGACAAATTATCAGAAAAGGCATTTTCCATAATTGGTTTCTTTAACCTCAATCTATTACATGACTTTTTTTTTAAAACATTTAGTATAATTAGGCCAATTTCACTGTATTTAGACTTAATTATCTGTCCTTAAAATTAAATATTCATTTTTAGATATTGTTAGACAATAATGTTCTTTTTTTTAATTGCAATTGTTACGAAATTTTGAAATAATTTTTTAAATCATTGTTCAATATGATTATTTAAAAAAATGATAATAACAATAAAGATAGAAATCAGAATATTTAAAATTAAAGTCCAAAACTCCGAAATTTTTTTTTTTTAAGTATACTCTGCTTACATAATATGACCTCTAAGACGAATATAAAGATTACGGTACTTTTAATGTTAGAATAAATATTTACCTTTTTAGATTTGAAAAATGTATATTAAATACATGTTGATATTTTTAGGAACAGCAGCACCAGCAGTTCCACCTGATCCGATAAGCATGCGAATGGAGGATCCACCAGCTGGAGGAGGAGCACCGCCTCCAGAAATTACCAACACCGAACCAACATTAAACACCAGTCCCGAACATCAACCAGCTGATTCCTGGGAGGAGGCTGCAGTTGATGCAGATCCTCTCTTAACTCCTGAAAACGAAGAGGTTACTATGTTATGAAAATTAAAATTATTTTTATTCATCTTTCAAAAATTTATTATATTTATTGAAAAGAAATAATGTATTGTGTTATTTTTCATCTGATCGAGGACTAAATTTATTTTAATTATTTAAATTTAATTTATTTTTCAACTTTTTTTTAAATTATGTACTAATTAATATCTTTTTAGGCTGATATTGAAGAAGAGGATGAAATGGTTGTTAAAATCCCAAAGAAAAAATTAGTCAAAGTGGCGGAAGACACTAAAAGTAAAAAAGAACACGTGAATGTCGTTTTTATTGGTCATGTTGGTAAGTAATAGTCTAATAACAATTCTGTAGAATTTACCAGTGAATTCGATACGAGAAGCATTTATTTACACAATTAGAATTTAAAAATTTAATTGAATAATTATTTTTTTAATAAAGTTGGATTTGAATCCAGTAAATGCTTTTTTTTATGTCTAATTATATGCTAAGTTTATAGCTTATCCGCTAATTATACATTTAAAATAGATAAATTATGTAACAATTTATTTTTCTGTATCTGTAAAATTATCTCAAAATATATATTTTTTTATAATGAATTGTATATGAGTCAAAAGGAAAAGGATTATTAAAGACAAATTACAGACAATATAAATATAAAAAAGAAAACAGAATTAAAAAATAAAAAGATTTGAAAATGAAAAATGTTTACCCAATTTAAAGAAAATTATCAATTACAGACGCTGGAAAGTCAACAATTGGAGGTCAAATCATGGCCCTCACGGGTATGGTTGACAAGAGAACATTGGAAAAATATGAAAGGGAAGCAAAAGAGAGAAGCAGAGAAACTTGGTATCTAAGTTGGGCTCTTGATACGAATCAAGAGGAACGAGAAAAGGGAAAAACTGTTGAGGTCGGTAGAGCTTATTTTGAAACCGAGAGAAAGCATTTCACAATTTTGGATGCGCCAGGACACAAAAGTTTTGTACCAAACATGATTGGTGGAGCGGCGCAGGCGGATCTTGCAGTTTTGGTAATATCCGCGCGAAAAGGTGAATTTGAAACTGGTTTCGATAGGGGCGGCCAAACAAGAGAGCACGCTATGTTAGCTAAAACAGCCGGTGTTAAACATTTGGTTGTTTTAGTCAATAAAATGGATGACCCAACGGTAGAATGGGATGAAATGAGATACAACGAGTGTAGGTCAGTATCCTATCATTTTTATCACTTTAAAAAAATAATTATTATTTATAATATTAATTTTAATTTTTTTAAAAATATTTATTTATAGATTGCAATTAATATATTCCTATTGTTTTTCAGAGACAAAATATTACCTTACCTCCGTAAATTAGGATTTAATCCGGCAAAAGATTTAACCTTCATGCCGGTCTCAGGTCAACTTGGTATAGGTTTAAAGGATTCGATTCCCGAAAGTCTTTGCAATTGGTATCACGGACCGCCTTTCATACCATTTATAGATTCTCTACCGTCGCTCAATCGAAAAAGTAATGGACCATTTATAATGCCCATTGTTGATAAATACAAGGATATGGGTACAGTCGTCATGGGCAAAGTAGAAGCTGGAGAGGCCAAAAAAGGACAATCCTTGCTTGTTATGCCAAATAGGGTAAGCTAAACATTTCATTATTCAAATTTTATAAATTTAAATGAAAATAGATTAATTAGTCATTATTTTTTGTTTATTTACAGACGGCAGTAACCGTTGATCAATTGTGGTCGGATGACGAAGAAGTGACATCGGTTGGTCCAGGGGAAAATGTAAAAATCAAATTAAAAGGCATAGAAGAGGAAGACGTGAGTCCTGGTTTCGTTCTCTGCGATAGTAATAATCCAATCAAGACAGGCAAAGTCTTTGATGCACAAGTAGTAATTTTAGAACACAAAAGCATAATCTGTGCGGGATACAGTGCTGTGATGCATATTCACTGTGCCGCAGAAGAAGTCACTGTGAAAGCATTGATTTGTCTCGTGGACAAGAAAACTGGTGACAAGAGTAAAACGAGACCTAGGTTCGTCAAACAAGATCAAGTGGCAATAATGCGAATTGAATGTGCGGGAGTTATTTGCCTTGAAAAATTCAAACTGTTTCAACAAATGGGACGGTTCACCCTCAGGGATGAAAGTGAGTATTTTTTTCATTTATAAAAAAAAGTTATAAAATTACTCAATCATAATCGTAACTAAATAATCATTTGTAGCACAAATATCACTGGTTTAAAAAAGAAAAACAAATCAGAAAATAAAAAAATTAGGAAACATTTCTTTTTTTAATTATGTAATTTCTATGGGTTCATTTATCAATCATTTATCTAAAACAATTTAATAACTTCAATTTATTAGATATTTAAATATTTACTTTGGTCGACAGTGATGACATTATGCGTTGTCTCCAATTAGAAATAAAATAATTCTATAATTTTTCATTATCCTTTCATAGATAAAACTATTGCCATTGGCAAGGTGCTGAAAGTGGTCGAATAAGTTTGCTCAAAGTCGACAGCTGATCAAAAAAAAAAATGGATTTCATAATTATGTGAAGAAGAAGGAGAAGAAAAGCAACGACAGCATGCCGAACTTTACATTACGCGTTATTATTCAAATTAAAACAAAAAAAAAAAAAGGATTAATGAATGAAAATACGTGTGACACATTGAGCAACTATTTGAAAGAAACCTCATGAACACATGTACACATTTATGCGCGCGTTTGCACTTCCATACACGATTACACACCGGTTTATACATGAGACGTTTTTTCGAAAAAAAAAAAAATAAATAAATAAATAAAAATAAACAGAGAGATATAAGGGAATTATATATATAGATATATACGAAGAAAAAAAAGCTATATAACAATCTAAATGCAAGCCATTTTTGATTACGACGAAGAGAAATCAGTCGCTGATTATTGTCCATGTTTTTTTTTTGTTTTTCTAGAAAAAAAAACAGAGGACACTCGATTTCAGATGTTAAGATATCGCGACAAACGGTTAATGATAAACTAGCAACAAAGTTTTTTCGACAATGTGAAAGGGATATTTTTGTTCTGTAGAGAGATAATTGAGATGAATGAGAAATAATGCATCTTGAAAAGAAAAAACACTTCAAGTGAATTATTATTATTATTATTGTATTATTAATTAGTTATCATGAAATTGGTGGATAATTGAAAAAAAAAATATGAGGGAGAGGTACCGACAAAGTTTCGAGTAAACACACAATTAGTGTTACACGATAATTTATCAACTTGGAAATGATTACTATTATTATTATTATTAATTATTATTATTATTATTGTACTGTTTCTTATTTTATTGTCATTAAATGCAAATCTACAGCAAGCTTCATCTTTTTTTTTTTGACGAAGTCTTCGTTTGTTTTAAGTCGTTGTTTAACAGTGTATAGATTGTTTTTAAGAATTAAAGAACTATTAATTTCAAATCAAATGACGTTATTGAAACTGAGATTAATTAGATAAGTGCAAACGGTACTAAATTTTGGTACAAAACGCCATTTATTTGCAGAATAGTAGTCATAAGAGCGACGAGATTCTTATTTTACGTAATTAAAAAAAAATTTTAAAAAAGAAAAAAAAACGACAATGGACACTGAAACACCGATGGCTGTTATTTGTTTAAAGTTTGGCAATATGATTAAATTTAGAAATAAAATAAAAATTGTTTTGCGAAGTTTTCTGAAATTAAAAAGTAACGGGAACAATTCTTATTAAAAAAAAAAAAAAAAAAAAAATGGCAGTTGGAAAACTTCACTCGTTTACAATATTTTAGAAAAAGGCAAACAAGAAGTTAATATATCGTTCGAATAAGCTGGAAATCTACTTGTAAAATATAAAGAATGGCAAGAGATCAGAGCTGGGTAATGAATGAAAGAAAATGTGATTTAATTATTTCAATTTCAAATCACATTTGATAATGTGTTTTGTAATTGAATGACATTTTTATAAATTGCAAAAAAATAATAATGATGAAGATATACCTATATATATAGTTGTAATGCTAAATAATACTAGAAATATTTTCCTCTTTGTTATAAACGCAGACTTTTTACAAAGAAACTTTGAAATAGGAAAAAAATTGTATAAATAATAAAAATAATTATATATATATATATATGTACAATAATTAAGATGAAATAATGAAAATTAATTTAGAATTTTATTAGTTATTTTTAAAGCTTCTTCGAATTTGGATTCAATTACAATTTACATTAAATCCTGTACTGTGATTTGATTAAAATGTAATTTATATATTTTGTGCCCAGCTCTGCAAACGAGCCCATTGTTATTATATAATATTAATTAAAATAATATTAGTTAATGATTGTAAAATGTCAGTGGGGGATTCAAATTAAATGATGACAGTAAAATCGAGTCTCACATTAACTGGCGTCTATTCAAGATTATTTTTGTAAAACACTTTAAATGAAATGCATTAAGAAAATATCAATTTTAATCCAATTTATATAAATATATATTTAGGCCTTAATTAACAAATTTTCAAATTTCAATGTATTCAGGTCGAAAACTATTTTATCTATTCTTTGTTTTTAATTTATATTAAGTGAATTTTTGATCATTAATAAAAAAAAAAAAAAATGTATTTGATTAAGTTTACAAAATTTTTTCAAATGAATAACAAATTGTAAAACGTAATATTATATGTAAGACTTTTGTTCAAAAAAATTTTCGAATAAAATTTATTGACAACTTTAATAACGCCAGTGGATGCGACATGTTGTTTAGACAATCTTTAAACCTGAATTAATGCAATTTTATTGATAAATTAGTGTTAATTGCCAAATAAAAGTCAATTAGTAATTAATTTACTATGAATAACTGAAAAATTACTAAACCTGATAAGTTCGTCATTTGGCATTAAAATACACTAGTTTATGAATGAAAAGAAATATTTTCTCAGTGTTTAGAGAATAATAAAATAGTCATTTAGAATCCCTTGAAAATAAAAAAAAAATAAAAAAACGAGAAAATCGAAATTAAATAAAAGAAAATTGAATAGATTTTCTGGAGACTTAACGTGTACCACAGATCAGGGTCACATTCCTATTTTTATATGTCCTTGCGTCTCCTTTTAAATTGTTTTTCTATTGTACTTTTTCTCTTTTATTATATGATAAGAAAAAAAAAATATGAGCATCATTTTCAAAACTCTTTAAATACACATTTTCTCCTTCACAAATTTGTAGTGAAATTCAATTCTTTAGACAGATTGATTTAGACTGAATTTTTTATTCTAAAAAATAATAGAAAATTTTTATATAGTTTTATTCGAATTTTTCACAATCAAAGTGCCCAAAAAAAAAAAAGAAAAAAAAAAAATGTTACCCTAACCGGCCAAGTGATTGCTGACGACTGCCCATGATAAAAGTCAGCATATATAGTATACTGTAAATTTCATTTTTCTTGAATAAACTTTATCGCTTAAATAAAATTAGAGACAGATTTTTATGAGAGTCAAGAAAAAAACAATATCAACAATTTCTCATATGGTAGCTAAAACAAATATGATAAATCTTTGAAATGTTCCTTGCACGAATTCATGCGTTTAAAAAAGCCTTATAAGGCTGACTCTAACGATTATAATAAATAAATAACTTATTAAATTACCCACGATAATGAGAAGAAAAAAAAAATAAAATACGAAACGATGAGATATTCGATTTGAACTATATTTAAAATAATTATATTTGAGACTGCTTCACACAAATTCTAAATATTTCTTTTTTTTTAGAATATCATTAGAATGCATTTAGGAGACAGCCTTGTAAGCTCATTATTCTAATTTCGTTTCTTACCTTTTTATATAAGAGAAAAAAAGAGTGAGAGTGCGTGTATGAATGAAAGAAAGAGACAAAGCTGATCATATAATATTTAGTTAAAAAAAATTGACAAATAGTCAAAACAGATAAAAGCTATATATTATTAACTATAGAGGAGAAACAGAAAAAAAAATGTTTGTTGCGCTATCTGCATTTCGTTCATTACAAAAAGAAAAAAAAACGACGAATTTGGATGACACATTTTCATATTATCAATAAAAAATGTACATGAACAGATGTTTACTATAAATGAGATATCTTCAATTCCCCTCTAAACATTTATCTCACTTTTTTTTTTATTAATTACGAATATGTAGTTTTTAAATATTTGTTATATTTTCTAAAAGTAGAAAATATGAAAACAATTTAAAAATATAGTTTAGTTTTTTTTTTTTATAAAAATTTATGAGTTCAATAGAGATTTTAAAATAGATGAACATTTTCTATTAAGATTTATCAATTTTAAGGTTATAAAATTGTAATAACAAAAATTGTTATTTTCCATTAGAAAACAATTTTATAAATTCTAAAATTATATGAAAATTTTCAATTATATATATGGAATTACATGTTTACTAAATAAAATATATCATACTTATTTGATTAAGTGTAAAAATTAATAATATTCTTGTTTAAAAACAACAACAAAAAAATCCATTTGCATATAATATGTTTTATCGTACCTTGTGATTCACATATTCTGATGTTTTGCTTTCAATTATCTTCTAATTAAACAAAATCTGAAGTTTTTAACTTTGATATTAATAATCAAAAAACCAAGTTGATCAACTAATACAAATAATTATTAACTTTTATAACAATGTCACGAAACATTAAAAACAATTTGAATACTTGGAATCGGTTGGAATCAGTTGAATAATGTCACGTGACTATTAATACGTGTTCACATGATGCAATTAATTGCGTTTTGAACTAACCTTAAACCCGAAAATGTACGAACTGTGACGCATTTACACGAATATTTATGTGAATGATTATCATTCAATGGAAGTTTGCTATATAGTGTAAAAAATAAAAAGTTTACATGATTCTTAAATTTCGACATATTACTTTTATTGAAATTGAACTAAAGATGACTTCCTGATTGTCATTACTTAAAAAGAAACACAAATGTGTGTGCGTCAAAAAACAGGAACAGTGTGAATCAGTGCAAATGGTGATTTAAAGGAGGTGTGGACACTTTGGAGTTGTGAAACGTAATTTAATAAAATTCCACGATAAATGTTATCATGAAAATGGTGTCTGTATACTATTTTAGTATTATAGCAATTTTTGGTTCATTTCAAGGTAAGAATAATTATTTTTAAAATATTTCATCTGTTTATGTTTTTTAGCTCAGTATCATATGTCAACAATTGTTTTTTTATATAATATATTGCTAATTTCTCTTTGTTGTAAGTTTATAACAATTATTTACGTTCTATTCTTCTAAGAAGATGATATGCAAATTTTTTCCCCAGGCAGAATTTATTTAATAGTTGACAGACTTTTTTTACGTTAACTTTAGTATGCAAAGAAGTGCGTTCATGAAATTATATTTATCAATATTTTTCTATCTGAAGGACTTTATAATCTTGATCTTTAATTCCTTTTTTGACTTATTCCATTAAAGATCTTAATTAATAGAGAAAAAAACATTTTCAATAGTTTTTTTTTTATTGTACTCGAGCTTTTAATAATTAATGTTTCAAAAATGAGTTAATTTCATAATTTTTAAACTTTATTTATAATATAAGTAAAAAATAATGTTTTCTGTTTCTTTGACACTTCTTTTTATTTGCATAAATAAAATTATTTAGTATAGAATAAGATCAAGTTTATTATTTAAATTTGGGAAATTAAAATATGTTTCATTTTTTAGTTTTTGCTTATGGCGAAATCGTCAAACTTTCTGGTAATGGACCAGTTGTATTGGGAGGGTCAATAACATTTAAAGCCGATCTTTACAATAAAGATGGCTCAAGACCTCACTCAACTTATCGTTATCAATGGTCAGACAATGGTTTATTTAACAAACATCAATTTTTGGTAAGTATTTTCTTTTTCTTAATTTTTATCTATTTTATGTGTAATTTTAAATTATCTTCTTAATTCTTACGTTTGTTTTCAAAAATTAATATTTCAGACTGAACCAACGAAAAACACAACAGCATATTATACAGTCAGTTATCCACAATCAGAGGGCTATGTTATCGGTATTTACGAAATGGAAGTCCAAGTATCAAAAGAAATTATTCCTTATGTTTGGTATCAACCAATTACAAGTCGTCGCATTGAATTTGAAGTATCGCGTAAGCTTAATTTATTATTCTCTCTTAACTTAATTTGTTTTTCTTCAAATTACAAATATATATATAAATTAAAATTTCCAGAACTTCTTAATGGAAATATGACCATTGTCCAATCAAATAAAACTTTAGAAGATATTTATGTATCTTCAGAGACTGAAGCAAATGTCAAAATCGACGTGCGAGACGGTGATCTCGAATTTTTGAAGAAAAAAGCAACCTCAATATCTACATTTTGGTTTGTGGACTGCAAATATTATGGTCAAACAGATGATTTTAATTTTAAGACAAATTTCACGAAAGTCAATACTACGCATAATATAGAAGTTTTAATAGTAGCTTCATTTGAACCGCCAACTACACCTGTACCACCGACCACGACGATGATTCCAACGCCTTCGCATACGACTGTTCCTAATAATAGCACTACACCGGCTTCGAATTCGTCGACGACAACACCGAGGCCTACTTCAACTACGACAATTGCAACGAAAGCGACAACAATTTCTCCAAATACGTCGACAATTGCGCCAAATGCTACACAATATCCTTTCGCGAATATTTCATTCCCATTCGTTTGCTTGAATTCATCGATTATACCACCAGATCCTAAAAAGACTTACGGTTACTTCAATAAAGAAGTCACTGTCAAAGGTTGGCTTTTCTTTTTAAAATTATTCAGTAATTAAATAGATTTTCTTTCTAATAACAATTGTTTTGCAGCTCCAATAAATAAAATATTAGTCGAGGGTACAAATTGGATTCAACCTTGGGAAATGTTATCCCTCAATGTCTCTTGCACAGGCTCAGGTCCTTTCTACAAGTGCCTTGCATTTCATCGTGGCAAATACAACATAACGGGAAATGAAACATGCTACGAAACCGAAATGCTTCCTTCCTGTAACTTTTCGATAATTCACTATTTCCTCGAACCTAGCGTCTCAACGATAGTAATGATTATTAAAAATGACGTCAGTACTCAAATATATCCACTCACGATAAATATATACAGTGGTATGTATCAAAATTATTTTTAAATTGTTCATTTTTGGTAAATTTTAAAATATTTTTAATTATTTTTTCAGCTACCGTACAACCTCAACTTTCAGTAATTGTCGTACCAGTGGCATGTTCATTAGTTGCCATTGTATCGATAATATTCGGCATTGCATATTACATACAGAATAGAGCGAGATTTACTGTCGAAGTGGCGGATTTTGATTTTGGCAAAAGCAATCCAGATATGGAATATAAAACATTTAGAGAGAGATTGCGGGATTCATTCAATAATGCTGTAAGACCCGGAATTAAGAGGATAATTTTACGCTCACCCAAATACGGAAGCATGAACTACTGACTGACTTTTACTAAGCACACAATCTCTTCTACAATAATTGATATATGCAAGCAGTAACACAATTTGATTCATTTATTTTTTGTGAACGTTCTGGAATAGAGAAAAAACATTTTTGTGTTAATTCATCTCTTTTTTTTTAAATTTTGCATTTACAATAACTGTAGAAAGCTTGAAATTTTCCTAAACTAATATTCACTAGTTCATTATAATCTTCTTTGAAATTGGGGAATGAAAGATGTATTTAAAATATTTTTTTTGTCACAATTGCAATTTCAATCCCCAATTTGAAAGAAAAAACAACCTGGGAATTGTCCTCGTCACTTTAAATGTTTTTCAACAAATACATTTTTACTGATATGCTAATAAGTGATTTTCCTTTTTTTCAGGGTTACAAACCACTGCACGATTCTCAAATTCTTCAGTGAAAATACTATCAGGAAAAATCGTATGTTTCTAAAATATTGATCTTCTTATAATTGGAAGATGAATACCAAACGACTAAAAGTGCATAAAGACATAATAAATTGTGAATTGAAATTGAAGCCGATTTAGTGGCATTTAATAGTTGATTCACACTTCTTTTTTTATAAGAAAAAAAAAAAAAAAAACTCGAGTGAAAAATTAATTCTGGACTCAGTATTTGTAGAACTTAATCGCAGCAGTAGAAACTTAACAATCTACTGCACAATTATTAACATTAAAAAAATATCTGAGTATGAGAATGAATTGTATATAAAGAAACTTATACATAGGCTGTGAAAATGAAACACAAGAGAATGTTTACTATAATGAGTAACATTGTGCGAGATGAGTATCCAAAAAAATTGTACTAATTCTTTTGGAACTAGAATTTTAGAAATTTGTAAATTATTTGGCAATTTAATATTTTTTATTTAAATAGAGCAATATTTTTGTTTTAATATTAGAAACTAAACTAACCTTTAATGAAAATTGAAATTATCTTCTTTGTATAATAAATAACTAAACTGATAAAGTTTTATAAAAAGAAAACAAAAATTATACACGAAGATAATTGCATATTTCAGTAAATACACTATTGTATTAATTTTTTTTATAGAATTTTGCATGTATGAAATTTATGAAATCGTCTTAAATTTATGCTACAAGCACTACGACTTGGGCATATTATTAACTATGAATAATTAATTTATATGTATGTGTATAGAGTCTTTATGTATATAATATATGTTAAGCTATAAAATTTACACAAAAAAAATATTTTTTAAATACCTTCTAAACAAATTCCAATAAGGACGTTGGATTATTAATTTGCTTTCCATCTCTTTCATTGTTAGTGACATTAAATAATTCAATAATTTTAATTATTCGTATGTACACTTATTTAAAACAGTTTAAAAAATTTTGAATTCAAAAATACTTTTGTTATTCCTGTTAGAGCACGCTTATTGCTAATGTCCGCAAAATTTGAGGTTAGATCAATGTTTAGTATGGGCCGGTAAAAAAGGGTGCTTTCTCAACTTACCGATAAGTAGAAGGGTTATTTTCACATCGATAAAGAAGCAGGTAGACGCAACAGTCTGCGACACCAGTAAATTCCTATATCTGAGTCAGTGTAATAATGTACAGTATAAACTGATTTGGTTTTTAAGTACCCGGAAATTTTTGGCGGAGTTGTGGCCGCGTGGGATTTTATTGAAATAAAAACTGTGAGCAATCTCAAATGACAAGATGAGATCCCGGTGTTGACAAGTGCGCGATTAGTATACAACTTTATCGAGATAGACGATTATTTGCGCACAATGTCTTTGGTAGTGTCCAAGCCATGCCGCGAAGACGAGGAATCAAGGCATGCCAGGGTTAATGATTGGAAAATCCCCTTGGCATTCAACAAATTGAGGCACACAGTATCCATCGAGGGGAATAATTCCATGCCCCAAGGATGGAGAATGAAAGAAAGGGTATGTGATGTAATGATTATTATAAAATTGCAATGAGAAAATGTAATTTTAATCGATAACGAGTGTGTGTGTGTGTGTGACCATGTCCTATCTTTTTTTTTTTACACCTTTTGCAGATGAAAACTGTGAGCGTCGCCCTGGTGCTATGTTTAAATGTGGGCGTCGACCCTCCAGATATTGTCAAGACACAACCATGCGCTCGTCTCGAATGTTGGATCGGTTAGCATTTTTCTTTATTTACATAGTTGTCATTGTCATCATTATGTAATATGTTTTTTAGGTTAAGCTACTTCAGCGCACCCTGTTCTTTAATCTAATTTTTTCTATATATATATTTTTTTTATTACATTTTTTTATAATTAATATATATATAAACAACAATGTTTGGGGTGTGGGCAGAATTTAAAAGAAATTAATATTTTGCACTTTAGATCCACTTTCAATGAGTCCTCAAAAAGCATTGGAGATGATTGGATCAAATTTGCAAAAACAATATGAGCGATGGCAACCTCGTGCAAGATATAAACAAAGTCTTGATCCAACTATTGAGGAAGTAAAGAAATTATGCACATCTTTACGTAGAAATGCAAAAGAAGAGAGAGTTCTTTTTCATTATAATGGTCATGGAGTTCCAAAACCCACTACCAATGGAGAAATTTGGGTTTTTAATAGGGTTAGTAAACATTATTTTATTAAAATCATAATTTATTATCATTTAATTGAATATTTATATTTCAGACATACACTCAATACATTCCACTCTCGGTTTATGATTTACAAACATGGATGGGTGCTCCGAGTATTTATGTGTATGATTGTTCGAATGCCGGAATCATTGTTGATTCATTTTTGCAATTCGCCGAACAACATGAAAAAGAATTCGAGGTATATACTTTTTTCATTTTAAAAAATAAATGTCATTTTTTAATAATAATAAAATAGTACAGTTTTAAATTTAAAGTCTGTAAACATTCTCTTTGGAACAGCTTAAATTTAAAATGAACAATTTAGTTTTAAATATTTTAAAACAGTTCAATATGTAAACATTTTAGTATAATTTTTTTTTTTGATTCTCTATAGATGGAGAAACAAGCAGCACAACAAAATCGTAGCGCGGTTACGCCAAATGTCACACCGCCTAATTATAAAAATTGTATTCAATTAGCTGCGTGTGCTGCGAATCAAATTTTGCCAATGAATCCGGATTTACCGGCAGATATTTTTACGGCTTGTCTTACTACGCCGATTAAAATTGCCCTTCGCTGGTTTATAGCACAAAGTACTGCGAAATTAATACCTAAAATTACCCTTGATCTTATTGAAAAGTAAGTAGAGTATATTTTATAGGGTTTTTTCCCCCAACACTTTCATGATGTAAATTTTATTTATTTAAATAATTTTCATTAAAATGTATGAATATTTTAGAATTCCTGGACAATTGTCTGATAGAAGAACAATGCTTGGGGAATTAAACTGGATTTTCACAGCTATTACGGATACAATAGCTTGGAATACTCTACCTCGAGGTAATTTAAATTCTTTTTAACGTTCTAAATTTAAAAAAAAAAAGTAATTTAAAACGGAAATATATATTAAAGTATTTTATTGTTTGTTTCAGAATTATTTCAGAGGCTATTTAGACAAGATTTACTAGTTGCTAGCTTATTTAGAAATTTTCTATTAGCCGAAAGAATTCTCCGCTCATACGATTGTACTCCAGTTTCGTGTCCTAAATTACCACCCACATTTCAGGTTGCAAATTTTTCTAATAAAATACAATAGTCAATTTTTGATAAAAGATGGTAATTTACAATTTTTATTTTTCTTATAGCATCAAATGTGGTTGGCTTGGGATTTGGCGCTTGATCTTTGTCTATCGCAGCTTCCAGGAATTTTAGAATCGAATAAACCATTTGTTCATTCTCCATTTTTTGAAGATCAATTGACGGCTTTTCAAGTGTGGCTTACAATTGGATCAAAACATCGTAATCCACCTGAACAACTTCCAATAGTGTTGCAAGTTTTACTAAGTCAAGTTCATCGATTGAGAGCTTTAGAACTTTTAGGAAAATTTCTTGATCTTGGCCCCTGGGCTGTTAATCTTGCTTTAAGTGTCGGGATATTTCCATATGTGTTGAAACTATTGCAGAGTAATGCCAAGGAGTTAAGACCACTTCTCGTATTTATATGGGCAAAAATACTTGCCGTTGACAATGTAATTTTTTTTAATTAATTTTGAAATTTATAACGTTGGGTTTTTTTTTTTTTGTAAAATGAAAATTAATTAAATTTATTATTTACAGACATGCCAAGCTGACTTGTTGCGTGACAATGGTCACAAGTATTTCCTTTCTGTTCTTCAAGATACCTCTGTGCCTGTAAATATTTGTTTTTTATTTTAATAATGAAAAAATTATGGTCTTCTATTACAGTTGCTTTCAATGATTTAAAAAATTACTATTTATTTTTACAGAGTGAACATAGAACATTAGCTGCTTTTGTACTCACTTGCATTGTGAATAATTATCTCCCAGGACAAGAAGCTGCTTTGCAAGGGAGTTTAGTTTCTATTTGTCTAGAACAATTAAGTGATCCAAATCCTTTATTGAGGCAGTGGTTAGCTTTATGTCTTGGGAGGCTATGGCATAACTATGATAAAGCTCGATGGTGTGGAGTTCGAGACATTGCACACGAGAAGCTTTATACTTTACTTCAAGACCCAATTCCTGAGGTTTGTTTCTTTATTTCTAGTTTATAATTTTTTCTTGCTTTTTAATTTGTTAGAATTTTTTTAATTTCCCATTCGTCTATAAAGAAAGTTAATAATAATTGAAATTTATAGGTTCGCGCTGCTAGCGTTTACGCATTGGGAACATTTATCAACAGTGTAACAAAAAGAAGTGAACATGCTAACAACATTGACCAAATAATAGCAATGACTCTCATTAATACAGTAACATATGACATGTCCCCTCTAGTCAGAAAGGAATTAGTGGTAGCTTTACAATGGATGGTATTGCATTTTGAAAATTTATTTGTCACACTCGCAATTGCCGAAGACAATAGAGGAAAAGATCTTGTTGTTGAGACATTTTCTCCGTTCAGTGGAATGAGAAGAATTAATTCAAAAGATAGATTAAAAAGTGTATTTTCTCCTAATAGCGCCTCAATAGATACGCCTGATGGTTTTAATCAAGATCGAATTAAACGCGTCTCTTCAGTATCATCAATTAGCAGTTTGGGTAAGAAATTTGTAAAGTTTTTCTATTTATTTCTCTCAAACTCCAAGATTTTCTTTTATTCTTTTTCAATTACTACAAATATCGAATTTAAATCTTCGATTATAAATACAAAAATTGTAAGTTCCCGTTTCTTTCTTTAAATAGCAAAGAAAAAAAAAACATTTTCTTTTTCTAAGAAACTTTAATCACTTTCTAAGTGGAGAAATGATTCTCTTGTTTCATCTTGCATGATAGGAAATAATTGGGAGTTCGTGAGGAAACCTTGCGAATCAATTGGTAATGTGTAATTTTCAATTAAATGCATGTTGTTATGCTTCTTTTATTTATTTCTAATTTATAATGAAAAATATTCTTTAATTAAATGAAAAATATTGTTAATTTTTATTAGATTTTTATTCTTCTGGAAAATATTGAAATTGTTTTTAAGAAAATTTTTAATAATTTCTCCTTGTAAATTTGATTCTAAAATAAATATCATTAAACTTCATCATTATGTTGCGCACGAATATTTCTTTTAACTTGGTGTAAGAAATTTTGTTAGATTCGTTTTCTTATTTTATTGAATTTTTGTTTTAGGTCACAGTTCACTAGGCAGTTTACCAAGTTTGGCTTACGGAGGTGTATATATGAAATTGTGGCACGGTTTATGCGGTCTTGACAATGATCCTCATCCAGCAGTTGCTTCAATGTCACAAAAAGTGACAAATCATATTCGTAGTCAGGTATTAATTTAATTATTATTAATTAATTCTCAATAATTTTACTTATTTATGTAATTGAATAAAATTTTAGGTGAAAGAATCATCAAATGCGAAAGAAATGATGGAAGCTAAGATATCGTCTTCACTATCTCTTCCTCCATCGCCTTCGAATAGAACAAATTATTTCAGGTAAATAAAATTGAGAAAATAGTAATAATAATTTTCCAGTATTTTAATTTTATTTACATGATAAATTTTTTTTAGCAATAGCAAAGGCGAATCACCACCAAATGTTAATTCTGATCTCACTCGATCACGTATTCCACCTCATGCCAATAGACCTAGAAAACCGGTGCCCAATACGGTAAAATAATTTATTTTCAAATATTTTTCTCGTATTCGTAAAAAATTGTCAAACTATTTTTGTGTATCATAATTATTATATTATACAAATAATTTGTTATAAATAAATAATTTATTTAGATTTCGGAAGAAACCGATGAACCACCGATAAAAAATCCATTGATAACTTCACAATTTTTGGAATGGAGTTGTGCTAATTTTGCCCAACCGGTCAATTTAGAATGTGAAACTGATCCTTTGTATGATGTCGAAAGTAAAGCACATCAAGAACGAGAATGGCGGTATGTTTTTCTATAACTTTATTTATTATAAAAATTAAAATTAATTTTTGTATTAAACTACAACGATTATATTGTATTCAGATATTTACGAAATCGCAAACAACGGAACGATGCGAAAGAAGAGTTTAACAAAATAGCACACGGAAGACTTGAGTCTCAAGTATTTCATGTGCGAAGTCCTCAACCACCAGATCTTTTTGTTTTTCATCCATTTGATTCACATCTTGCAGTGGCGTGTAAAGACTTCGTTGGGTTTGTATTAATTTTTGAAGGAAAAAAAAAAAAGATTTTACTGATTAATTTCACAAAATATTTTGATTTAAAATATTCATCAATTTATTGTTACAGAGTTTGGGATTGGAATACAGGATCGAAATACATGTATCATCCAATGCCTCCAAGTAAGGGTAACAAAACATCGCGTGTGACAGCGTTGGAATTTATAAATTCACACGACATTACTCTATTGATGGCGGGATCGGATGACGGTACCATTAGAATGTGGAAGAATTATTTTACCTACAATATGCTGGGTCGAGAACCAACTCTTTTAACGGCATGGCACGCATTAGCAGATGCACAGCTGGCTAACAAAGGACCTCCAGGTAACTAGAAACATTGATTTTTTTTATTTATTTCCTCTTGAAAATTATTTTTTTCTGTTTTATTTTTCTCGGAACATAAAAATATTTTTGAAATAATATTCTTTACTAAATATTATTATATTATAATATTGTTGAATATTTTTTTATTTTATTTTAATAAGAAAGTAAGACGCCAATTTATTTTCTTATTTGGTTTTTATTTTTTTATTTAATAAAAACTAATCTAGCTATAAATTTTGCACGGTAACTTAATTTCGCGACTTTTATTATTTTAAGTTTCATTTGACTTTTTTAACATAAAAAAATGTGTTTTGTTTACAATTACAATTTTTTGTAAATACATATTGTTTTTAATTATACGGTAAGTAATTATTTTTCGATTGATAATAAAATTTTTGAAGAGTTCGCTCATTGTTTCTTAATTTCTTTTTAAGATAAGAAATCTCATTTGAGTTATTTGAATTAATTGCAAAAATCTTTAGCAGCGAAAGGTCTTATCACTAACTGGGAACAACATTCTTTAACTTTGGCTGTTACGGGGGAAGTAAAAATTGTTAGACTGTGGGATGCAAATACAGAATTGAAAAAACAGGATATAACAACAGGTGCAGATTCTTGTGTTACGTGTATAGACACAGACGATACAGGTGAGATTAGTTAATTTTTTATTTTATAAACCTGTATTATATATATTTCTTTTTAATTTAATTTCTTAAAGGAGCAATGATGGCCATTGGTTGCGGTGATGGTTCCGTACGACTCTTCGATCGTCGACTGCCAAGTTCAGAAGCAAGAGTCATGACCTGGAGAGAGCATAATTCTTGGGTGCTGGGAACATTTTTCAGAAAGAGTAAAGGTCCTCCACAATCTCTCGTCACAGCATCTTCCTCAGGTGATGTCAGATTTTTTGATCTCAGAAAAAATTCATCAATACAAACAATTCAAGTTGCACAAAATATTACAACTTTTGCTGTACATGATGCCGCTGATATTTTCGCAAAGTAAGTACAATAAATTTTTATCATCAATTTTATTTAAAAGAAGAAAATTTAAAAAATTTATATAAATGCATTTTTAGTGGCGCAGCAAATCAATGTATTAATATTTACAACTTATCTGGTCAGCATTTAAATTCAATCAAGTTGCACGAGGGCTTTATGGGTACACGAATTGTTTCCGTCAATTCTTTAAAGTTTCATCCACATCGCGTTATTCTTGCCACGGGTTGCGCTGATAACAGTTCGATAACCGTGTACGCCTCCGAACCACGAAGATGACTATCGGAGATAGAAATTATATAGAATTACGCAATTCGCTAATACACCCGTTTATCTTCACAGGTATCGACTCAACTTTTGTCATTAGGATTTCGATGATTTACAAAATTCACGGATGTTTACAAAATGTTTTAATTTTTTTTTTCGAATATCTTTACAAGTTTGTAAAGAAATTGGAAAATATTTTAATTTTGTAAAAGTCCTTGACTAGAATCTCACAAAATGAACATAATCTAAAATAATAATTTTCATTTATGTTTTTAATATATCAGAAAATTCTTAAATAATTAAGAATAGTTTTATTCTTAAATTTATTCGTTCCAAAGTAATTTAAATAAATTTTTCCCAGTATTAATAATACTGTGCTGTTAAAAGTAATAATTTTAGTTGAATATATTGTGGATAAATTCTACTTTAACATTATTTCTATATTAATAAAATATAATTCCATTATTGAACACAAAAGAGTATAGTTGTGAAAAACTATACATTAATCGAGCCTGTGAAGAAAAATTTGTTATTGCACAAAGCTTCGCGCTTTTATAAACCGCGTCAATCAAACAAAAAAAAAAACGATCTTTTCATGATCGATGTGATATTTTACATGCACTGCATTATCGAATAATATTGCTGTGTAAAAAAAACAATTTGACAATTTATATTTAAAAAAAAAATGTGCGTGCGCATGCGTTTTTGTGAACGTTATTAATTGTTTGTGTACGTATGTAAATTATATATAATCGGTTAAAATGTAAATAACTACAAAAAATGCGTCGTAAAATATAAAATTAGTTATTTTTTTCATGATAATCATATTTTAGCATTTTGATCTTGATAAAGGCCAAAGTGTTAATGTATGTAATTTGTAGATGATTCTCATGAATTTATAACTAATAAAGATTCATCTTGTGATATACGAATCGAATGAAATCCAAATTCAAATCACATTAAAAGCGCTTTCAATATTCAGAATGCTTCAATATTTCAAAACATGAAAAGCCTTTAGCATTTAAACAAGTTTTTACTTTTATCTGACTTGATATATATATCGATTTGAAAAAAATTCATTCTTCGGAACCTAAATTTAATGCGACTATTATAGTCTCCACTTGATTATAATAAATTAATTTGACTAATTTTTGTGAAAATTTTTGAAGCGCTTTTAACTTGACTAAGGAGTCATCCTTTCTTAATTGTATAAAAAAAAAGAAAAAGATTGGTAGTTAAGATTGGAATGCTTTCGGCAACATTATTTTTCTGATACAGTTACAAGTTCTGTGATAATTAATGATTTAAATTATATATCGAATGCATAGTTTTGTAACTTTTCTAATTATTCTTTTGCAAATATATATTTATATATATATATATAATAAAAAAATAGCTGGAAGCACGCCAATATTCTCTTTAGAATAATATAAATTGACATTAGAATTTAGAGTTTGCTTATATAAGCTTAGGATGTTTCATACTCGCATATATAATAATGTATAAAATGCGTACATTTATTGTAGATAGTTATACAGGGAATATTATAATAGATATATAAAAGTGACGAAGTTGCATAATATGTATTTTTTTGGCAAAAATAATACAGGTAGAGAATATTTGAATATCGAAATGTAAAACTTCATGGGGTATTGTGTAGAATGTACAGAACACTTATTCGATAAAGTGTTATTTCTCTTTAAGCGTTAATTATTCATAATTCAAAGTACACAAATCCGTAAGGGATATCAGTAGAGGAACACGATATTCCACGTCACAATGTACCGCCTTTGTAAATAGTTGCCTAAAAAAAAAAAAATAATAAAAAAAGTACAATCATGTTACATAGTTGTATGACAATTGCAAAAGAAATTTAAATAAGGAAAATAATGGTAAAATTAATGATACTCTATATACAAAAAAAAATTATTTTCTTTTGAATTAAATAGTTTTAGTTTTTAAAAAGAAAGTAAAATGAAGAATCTTGTACAGTAGTTTATTTTTTTTTTCGTGCCTGTGAGAGATAATTTTCTCATTAATGTTTTTTATCGTCTTCAGGCGAAAAATCAAGGAGAAAATTTGTTCCCGACAGCATCTGTAAACTAAAGTGTATAAAGGCCACTGATCATTATGTTGTATAACTAATTGCTCGCTGGCCAGATAGTGAGGTGAGCGACCCAAATGTTTACTAAGGGGTGCAATCGCTTCAACTCAAGGTTTCGTTATGTATGTAGAGTGCAAGTATTAAGTTGATATTTATTTATTTTTATTCCATAATCGAAACAGTTCATTGATCGCGGAAGTTAAAAAGTTGACGAAGCTAAATATATTTTAATTTCAAAAGTTTTTCTATTAAAATTTGCAGCACATCACTTTTTTTTTTGTTGAAATAATTCTTATTTATTCTAATATTTATTTGAAATTGTTGATAAATGAAAAGTGAAATTTAAAAAAAAAAAATTCTTTTTTTTATGAATATGGTCAAAAATAATAATTTTCCTTATTTTTATTTCTCTTGCATCTAATTATTGTTGTTAATGTCACTTCGAAAATTGTTGTTCCATTATTTTTATTTTTGTTTTTCTATATGGAACTTAAAGAATTTCATATTTTGTTTTTCTTCCAGCTTGTAAATTTATTTTCACTTTTTTTTTAAACCTGTAACACTCTAAAGAGCACGTACCGGTTTTTAATGATTAGTTTCCGTTGCTGGTTTCGTCAGATTTTATCAGAAACGGACATTAACATTATTCTGCTGATTTTTTCATGTGATCGATCATGTTTATGGTATCAGGATAAATTATGTCGGATTTTCATCAATCTTATGTTTATAACTTTGTAAAACATCACTGCGTTTATGTTTTATTAAGTAAAACTCATCTTTGTTTATTTAATTTTTATAGGAATTTTTATTTTTTGAGAATTAGGTAAATTTTTTAAAATTATATAATTTGAAAATATGTATGATTTTTTGACGTTATCAAATTGTTATTAATGATTATAATTAATTTATGAAATGTTACAATCTAGCATAAAGGTTTCATTGAGAGAGAAAGAGAGCAATTTTCTCGTCAGGTGTCAGGATATCTTTTGAGAAATTAGCCATTTCAAATTCTGAAGAAATTAATTGAAAGGAAGAGTGAAAGGGTAACGTTTAATTAAAAAATTCTTTTAAAGTTTCTCTCGATCCCTTGTTATATTCTTTTATAATATTTCGAAGTTAAATTTTTTTTAGTTTGTTTAATTTTGTTCATTTTGTTCTTTTTTCAGATCCTTATAAATAGCTTTTGACTATGCGGTTGAAAGAAATTTGATCGAAATTGAATTTCGTTTGGAAGAACCATTTAATTTTACAGGTCATTCTACTAAGTGTTTTCCTTGATGCGCAAACTTTTTAATCTTGGCTGCGAATAATCTTCTTTTTGGATCGCCGATTATCTGATGTGGGACTCCCAATCAAGACTGAGGCGCGACGAAATTGGCATTTAAGGGGGAAAAAAAAGGTATATTTTTTATTACCTGCTTTCATCGTTCATTCTTCATATCATTTGTCATCGTTTGTCAGGCGTTATTGATATTATAAATTATAAGTTTAACACTTTAGTCAACAGATAAGTAATATTTTTTACTGATTTATAGGCATCAAAATTTTTATTAAGGAAGTTCTCTCGCAAACAGAAATGACGAAGAGTTAATTATCAAACTTGATAAACTGATAGATAATGGTTTAAAGAAGATGTAGTTAAATTTTTAGAGGTCTAGGTGGATTTTGACAAAAGATATAAATAATTTTCTCTTTTCACATTTAACACGGGTTCTTATGGGAAATTGAATTTTTTGGTCTGAAATCTCAAATTGTGAAAAATCTGACGAAAAGATATTACTGGAACTTTATATACATAAAGTTTAATAGCCAATGTTCACTTACTTTTAATAAAATTGATCAGACCTGGCTTAGGAGGCTCACAATTAATTATTTTGTCTAAAAAAACACTGTATTTTGACAATCAGAAATTACTTAGCACAACGCTTGGCAACGTTGCATCTTGTAGGTTAGGTATAAAAAAAGCGCGAAATTTGAAAGTAATATAAGTAGTATATACATATAATAGTATATTCTTCAAAGATTCATAATAATGAATAATAATTTGAATTTTCTTATAAAAAATTAAGATTTTTAAAATAATAAATTATTATTATTATTATTTAACGAAAATAAATCAAACAATAGCAGACGACACGAAACGGAACGGGGGAAATATAATCCAACGTTGCCAAGCGTTGAGCTAGTACTACGTGATACAAATGAAAACTTAAATGGGCATTGATTTGACTGACGTTGGAGGGAGAGAACTTCCTTAAACAGGGTGTCTAACGGTCAGGGAAAGTCAGGGAAAAGTCAGGGAAATTTCTGTAAATTTCTACAAAAATTAAAATTTTTTGTGAATTTAAAAATGTTTTAATCTAAAAAAACTTTAATGGTTTTTATTACCATTTGTTACTACCATTAGAAATTAATTTATTGTTAAATATGTCAGTAACCATATTTTTGTCCAAAGAAAGCAGAAATAAGGTTATTAAAAAGTCAGGGAAAAATCAAAAAATGTCAGGGAAAAGTCAGGGAATTTTTTTCTCAATCTTTGTTACACACCCTGTTGAATAATTTAAACAATAAAGTTTATTTTATTACTTCATAATTTTCCAATTGCTTTGATTGAAGTTTATTTTGACAGTAGTAGAAATTTAAGAAAAAAGCACAGAAATAATTATGATAATAATTATAAATGTTTTTATTGATATTTAAAATCAATAATCAATTAATATAAGTTAAAATGACTATTTTAAGGATAACAAATACTGAACATTTGAAAGCGAAAGTAGAATTGATAAAATACTGTAAAGATTTATAATGTTCACCTTGACAATTCCATGATAGGATAACTATTAAAAAATTTTTCCAGATCACTTGACATATTTGCTTATTCCGTACAATGAAGACGATCCAAATAATTATTATCCACTATATTACCATATATGTAATCAAACTGTTAGGGCCACTAAACCCAGTATTATTTTTTCAATATCTTTTCAGAGGTAATTTGCTCACAAGCAATGATCCCTGAAATTGCTTTTATGATCCGAAAAAAATCACAGTACTTCCTCTATAATACAAAAGGCAATTGTGGGGTTCTCAATCATTTGAATAAGATGCAGTCCAGAAAAAAGTATATATAAAGGGTATAATATTTGAAATTGGATTTTGTTGTAAAATAAAATTCTCTTATTTAAAGAAAATTCATATTTTAAAAATTCGAAATTTTAATTTAATAAATGTTGAATCAATGTAAAATTATAAAAATAAAATCAATATATATTATTAGAATCCATTCTGCGTAGTGCGGGATGTAAGATAAATAAATAAATGGAATAGACGTAAAGTTTGTAGATAATTCATGCCACGAGCGATCTATCGCTCATCGACAATGGGTTGTCAACTAAACCAGCATGAGTTTAACGTACGCTCTTTGTTAGAAAGAAAAAATGTTTTTCTCCCTTTGGTGTTTTGTACCACGGTTTCCTTTCATCTTCTTCCCCTCTGTTGGGATTTCGGAATTTCAACAGGGGAAAAATTAGCTTCCCTCAGCTATCATAGAAAAATTGCCAAGTTTCTCAATATTCTAGAACTCGCAGAAATTCAAAATCCCAAGAGAAATATAACTTCTTTCTAAATTTGTTTTTTCACGTCATTAGTAGGAATGAATAGTAGTTATAAAAAATTATCCACAAAGGAGAAGTAAAACAAAACAAATTATAGATATTCAATAATAATTTTTGATTACGTTCAAATTTTTTACATTAAATAAAATTAATCAACGCAATTAGTAAATAATAAAAATAAGAAATAAATTTATTTTAATTATTATAAACATATGTAAATAGTATAAAGAAATTTTTTTTGCAACAATTGTAATACATTTGTTAATTTTTTGCAGATTTCTGAAAACAGCAGTTTGTCAGTAACCTTTTTAATAGTGGAAAACAATTTTAAAAGGGTTTAAAGAAAATTGAAAATTTATTTGCTCATGCGTTGAGAGAGGGACAATTACACTTGTGCCACTTGCGCAAAACGAAACGCGTCATGGAGGGATGGAGGAGGTGGTTTCAGTGAGTGCCGGCTTTGGATTTCCTAAAGCAGCTGAGAATTCAGTCGATGGTGAGCCTTTCAAGGCGATGGTTCTCGTTCTATGTCAACTTTCAAGTTTTCATAATATTTATATATCGTCGCGCTGTCAACTGCACTACGTACATTTTATTCATTCATCAGGATTTTCTTAACCTTATTTACAAGAAAATTGCGATCAAGAAGAAGATTTATTTTTTATTCAACCAATATGGATCGAAGCTCAAGGATTATGTTGAGAAAAATTATTCTCGATTTTTTATGTCTTATTATTGGTGAGTAAATATATGCAATATATTAATATATAGAAAAATTTCTTTAAATTTGCCTGCATTTCGTTTATGTAACTTTTGGCGCGAGTGTTTTTACTATCAGGAGGTATAGGAATGGGGAAAATCGATTACATATCATGAACATGACAGTATTTTATTTTTATTTTCTATTGTTGCAAAACATTTAAAATTATAATTTTTTTTTACTATTTACAATTCTTAAACAGTTTCAAAACAATTGTCCAGTTAATATTTTTATTTTTTACTTTATAAAAATTTTGTTATTTATGTAAATATATATTAATTAGATATTATTTTTTCTAAATTCAACTATATGGAGATAAATTCTGGAAAATGTAGTTTTATCATTCCATGCATGTATAATTGTAGGTTGGAGTCGTAAAATGTCACTTTGACAGATGCACGTTGTGCAATCTGCATGTGCATTATATTTTCCATATTTGTTTTGGTGTCTCACAATGAACAATGTTTACATTTACACATTGAGTAATTAATTTTCATATCTAATTTCGAGGAAGCGGGTGCATGAAAAATTAAAAATAAAAAAAAATAGTTATTAATTTCTGATACACTGATATATAAGGGTATTCTAAAGGAATTTTCAAGTATTCATACATATATAATTTAATGTAACTTTATGAAGTATTTATATTCTCAGTATTATTATCAATTCTAATCAAGCGTAATTAGAGAATTAATCATTCTGTAAGTCATGAAATTAATATCGAATATATAGTTATTTCAATTTTTAACAAACACATTTACTGCTCTCTATTTTCAGACAATGAATGAATTTATGATAGTTTTCATTTATTCTTAAAATATGTAATAAAAAAATGATGATGATAATAATAGGAATAATAACAAATATAAAATTAATAATAACAAAAATCATATTCATTTATGTATTATAAAAATGAAATTTAAATGATGAGTCAAATATTCGCAATTTTAATTCCAAAATTAAAAAATACGACTTTTTGTTTGATTTATATATCAACTTTCTGTCAGTCTGTCACTGGTTATTAGCTTCTCAAATATTAAGTAAACACTAGAAGTCTGCAAATAGGTTGTATGTAATATCTTTTTTTTTTTAAAGATGTAAACTTTTTTTTTTGTTTTCATTAACTCCGTAAACCATTTAAAATATGTTTCATATGTCAAATATTTTAGTCCATATAAACTCCTACGGAGGTCCATTAATATTTAATCTATTTTTATTTTTCTCTATTTTTGAAATTAATATTTTATAAATGAACTGTTTGAAAACATAAAAGTACAATTCTAATTTTTCTTGTTGAATCATACATTTTTTAAAGTTTTTGTTCCTTTAGAGTTGATTTAAAACACCTGTAAGAGAGACAGAAAAAATTTTTTTTAACAGAATCCAGCTGGACTTTTCGTATTATCTTATTTGTTCTCTGAAGCACACTTCTTAATGGATTTAATTGTACTTGCAAGTAGTAAATAATATTATCTATATGAGTATAATAGATAAGAATGTAAACTATAATTACTTTTTTCATTCTCTAAATTTCATTAAAAAGATATGTTAAAAAAATGTTAAATTCGTAATTTTTGAGAGTTATTGTTAATAATTTAATACTACTGTTGTTATTACTATTATCATTATCATCATTATCTTATTTTTGTTTTGTTAATTTAATTGATTTTTTTTAAATATATTTGAATAATATTTTTAAAAAATTTTCAAAAATAGAAATCAAAGAAGCAAAAGAGGAATTTTGATTCAAGAGAGAATTCATTGACATTATACATTCGTTGAACTATAAATTTCTTATAGAATCTTAGAGTGCAAATGGGTATTAATAATGTATCTGTCAATTGTAAAATTTACTATGCCATAATAGTTCAATTACGACTAAAGAAGTATAATAGCAATAATGAATAAAGCAAAGGGGTGAAAGTCCGGTCGAAGAACTTTTGATCAGACTAGTCATTAATGTGTGTAAATCAAAGTTTCAAACTAGCAGATCCTCTTCTTGAAAAGTCTTTGAAATGCTTTTTAAGCAATTTACGATCCATTTTCGTATATGGAATATATACGATGCATGAATATATCTATATGGATATATACCTATATATACCACGTTTCTTTGGCGCAACTCTTTACGGGCGTTTTGTCTCATGCCAATAATATATATATAACCAGATTCTTTCAGACTTAGTTGACCATAGAAGGAACAAGCCTTGTTCCTTGTTACATGGGTTTACATTTCCAACAATGTTAGGCATGACTTTCACGTAGGCGAAAATAATTATTATCGTTCTTTCTAGTGTTAAGTTACACTTTCTGGTAAATTAACTTCAACTGAAGGGTCGCGTGAATTCCCGGTAAACTAGAAATTAAATTTCTAACGATGTTGAAAATTATATAATGGCATTTTAAAATCAAAATTTGACTAACAAATTATTATATTTATATAATTAATATTTATTCTTTTTATTCTTCTAAATAAGGAAGAAATTAATAAACTAAAAACAATTATCGTTACAGTTCAAAGAATTTTTCGACCCAATATAGTATGAAAATAAAGGGAATTCAATTTTTATTATTAACATTTTTTTTTTATTAATATTTAAGACAATAGCACTTGTTTTTGAAACATTTATTATAATATATTATTTATTATTATTATTGTGTAACTTCATAAACATTTAATTAAAATTTATAGGCAGAAATTGTTTCATAATTTATATATTAAGTAAAAGTATTTGTAATAAAGCGCTTTGTTGCAATTTAATTATTCTAAACTTCTTTATTAATTTTACTTTTCGATATAATCGGCTTTATGCACTTTGAAAATTAATTTCTTGAAATTAACTTTTATCAGTGGTTGTCCTTGAATTGCCTAAAGCTTTTATCTCTGAAGTGTTCTCATTCAAAGATATATAATATATACGAAAGAAGTCATTCATATGTAAATTTAGAAAGACTATCATGCTCCAGTTACAGGTGTAGAGTATACGGAGAATACTATACAAAAAAAATTCCAAAGGAAATCTAAAGGACGATGACTATTGTTCACTTTGGACATTACAAATACTTTTAATGGGAGGGCCTTTTAAAAATAATTATCTAATTTCTTAAGAAAAAAAACATAATGAATAAATACTTTTAATCAATTCTTTGTCTAACTTTTGCAAAATTTTTATTCGTTTTCTAAAAAAAAAAAATAATTTTTGATATTTTTTACAATAATGGAAATTATATTAATTTTCCTTTCGAATAAAAAAAATAGCAATTAAAAAGTTTTTAAGTAGAAAATTTGCTATTTAACATTAAAATCATGTTAATAATATTTAATTGAATTCCGTACACGTTTTATTATAGAAGATACATATTTATGAATAAAATTGTTACGTTATAGCCAGTTACATGTTTGCAATTTTGTATGAGTTCATCGTATAGGTATAGGAACAATGTCCATGAAATGGTTAAGCGTCTATTAAAGTCTGTGATTAGCCATTAAATTCTTTCTCTTTTCAATCCTTGAACGCATTTTAGTTTCATTTGTCCATCGTTAATTTTTTTAATTATAATTTGAGAAAAAAAAAGGAAGAAAATTATTTCTATTGAAATAATTCAAATAAAATTTATTTTCACGAAATAGTTTCCTAATAATTGCTAAATAATTTTTTTTATTATTATAAAAATTAGAAGATTATAGTGGAATGTATACAAATAATATAAAACTTGCACAAAAGTTTAAACAGTGGAGAAATAAATAATATATAATATGAAATTCGGATGAAATCAATATATATATCTTTACATTTGTAATATACGAGTTTGGATCGAAATGATTTTAATACGAGTTATTGAAGTATATGGAGATTTATGTAGGTTTACTTACAACTGGTTTTCCCTTTTGATAAAGTCTTAATTAAATGGCAGATCCGAAGGAGTGCAATGGATATGTTAACGGTTAAGATGAATGCAAATGAGGCTTATATGAATTCGTTGATTAATTGAGAGTTAAGAGCATCAAGTTTCCTTTATTTTTATTTACACTCACGGATTTTTTTTTTTAACGTATTTAATTTATGTTCTATAAATTGAAACACATGTTTGCATCAGTCAATTTGAAAAATGAGTTATTTTTTATTAGGAAAATTTTGTTATTTATAATAATTAATTTTTATCGACAACAAAATAATTGTTTTTGAGTTTTTATTTATGTAAATTGAATTATTGGGTAAATATTGGATGTATATATTATTGGCAAATTTGCTTTTTCATATTTACTTAATAATTCTCACTTAAATAAAATTTGTACCTGGAAGTCATTGCTTCACAGGAATGTGAAATATTCGTGAATTTCTAAAATTGTAGTATACAACAAAAATGTAAACCATTGAATGTACATATAGAAGACATGAGGAAACGAAGGAAATTCAATCACTGCACGTTAAGCATGTCAAGGCAAAACCAAATAGTGTGGATGCGTCAAGCAAGTGCTTATTGCTTCTGCCTTGTTTAATTTATTATTCCTCACATGCATATCTTAGTAAATAAAATTAAAAAAAATTAAAATTAATTAAAAAACTGCTAGATGAATATTTTTCAAATAATTTCTAATATTTTTTTTTTTTGTTTACTTTCTTTAGATTTTTGTGTAATTTCTATTTATTTATTTATTATTTGTATAATTAGTTTTTTCCACTTTTATTTAATTTTTCTTTTTTATGAAAATATTATTGAATATTACATATTGTTTTCGTGACAATTTCCGGATCGTTTGCACTTCTAAGGATGTGAACAACCCATTTACACTTAATGCCTTGTATAGTTTAATCCGAGACTAATTGAAATTTCCGTTATCTTGATGTGAGTGGTGAACTAATTGTGGTCTATTCGCGATCTGAGCCATTAATAGGAGACTTAACTCTTCTTGGGAGTAATGCTCTTTCTAAGTCTTAGAAGAATTTCAAAAATAGTTTTAGACAAATCAAATATAATAATATTTTCACAATCATAATTCCGGGGGATTATATATTTTTTTTCCTTGTTTATGAATCTTCCAAAAATATACATGACAATCCTGGAATTATATATTATGCGATAATTTATTATGAAACTTTATTGAATAATAAAAGGGTGATGAAAATAGACAAATTTTTCATATTATATTTTTTTAATATTAATTAATTTAATGAAAAATTTAGAAATATATGGACATTTTGAATTGTGATTTTTGTTAATTTTCAAAATACTTAAAAGCTTTTGACGCGATAATAAATTGAAAATAATTTGGAGTTTAGTAGTATAAGTCTGGCGAAACCTGTTATCGCGTGAGATACACTAATTTAAATTTGGAAATAATCACACAGCAATTTTGCACGGTCTGTCGAGTGGAGGATCCATCAAATCATATGAGAGCCTCCGAATAACGTTTAAGACATTTTATTCTCTTCTCACGTGAGAGAACACTTCTTTTCTAAATTCGAAAAAAAAACTGACCACATAAAATTAGTCAGACAATAACTAGATATTTTGCTGTCAAAAGAAGCGTTTTGGAAATATATATGGTGGTTGCAATATAATATTGTTATACCAATCGAATAATATTTGATTGCAATGATGAAAGTACATTTTGAATGTAAATCACTAGGGTTTTTTTTTTTTTAATATGAAAAAAATTCAACTGCATAATACGCATGGGTCTATATATATATAAATAAAATTAGCACTTATAAATATTCTAAAACTATCTCAATCTTATCGGGGGAAAATACTGCGGAGTTATTTTTAAAAAAAAATCGGAAACCAGTTTATATGTTGATCTTTTTCGAGATTTAAGGGGGAAATGAAACTTCTGTTTAATGCAGGGAAAATTGCACAGTCTTTGAAAACAAGGAATGTGGTTGGGTAATACAATAAATTTACCTACCACCAGAGGCATTGAACCTGCTCTAAAGACGTATAATCAACCTTCCCTCTATACTATTTTCTCTTTGTAATAGTTACATTCTAATATATTTGTTAGTTTCATGTTGCGTGAAAATTGGATGTTCTTTTTTTAGATCGTAATCTCTGCTATAAAAAAAAATTATTGGTCATAGTCTTGTATATGTGATATAATCAGAGTCATGGCTAGATGATGGGGAACCAAAAGAGGTAATTTTTCACTCTATATTGAGGGACTCATCGTCAACTATCTCCATATTTACACTACATATACCTCCCCCTTTTATTCCGGTTATGCCGGTCTTCATTTTTCATTAAACGTCATCGACTTTGATGAATCGGTTTTTTTTTTAATTTTCATATTCATAAATTCCATGGCTCATATCTTGGCAGGAAAAAATAATCGCGGATATCAATTTATGATCTCAAAAAGAGTATATTGTAATATTTAGATTCATTGAGTTGTCTAACTGTATCAACAGCAGAATATTTGTTACTGAATTATTTCTTAATCTTTGTATAACAAAAAATCAGATTTAGAGAAAAAAAAATTGTTTTTTATTTTAAAACAATGGTAGTTTCAAAGGATAATTATTTCAATTATTTATTACACATATGGTGAAGGAAACAATGAAATATTTAAATAATTTATTTTATTGCTTATAATTATATTTATATTAATTAACATTCTTTTTTTATTTTCAGTTGGACTATTCGCCTTGGTGTTTTACCTTTTTGGCAAACCATATAAAAGGGGATTTTTCTGCAATGATGAATCATTGAACCACCCATTCCAAGATTCTACAGTCACGAGTCCAATGCTGTATGTTATTGGCGTTTTACTTCCCGTTTCCACGGTGAGTCACTTTACTTTTTAAATTACATTGATTGCCATTCACCTACACCAATGATTCATTTTATTACTATATAGTTTCACAAGTTGACTTTTCAAATTATCAATCGTTTGATAAATTTCAATTTATCACTTTATGTCACTGGGACAGTAAATATTATAAAACTATGAATTCTTGAAATAAACATAATATAAAGAATATATATTTTATATTGACAACGCAATTTTTGATTCTTTTTCATTTTTTTTTTTCATCTCTGATTTACAGAAATTATGTTTTTGTCTGAATCATTTAATGATTAAGAATAAAAGATTTTTTTTTTTTTTTGAAAATTAAATTTCAATTTTAAATTATACTGAACCATGAATTTTGAATTGAAGATCAATTTTGAAATTATTTAGTTATTTATAAAGAATGTCAAAAATCCATGTGTGTTCTAATTATATTCTATATTGTAGACTATGACAAAATTTCTATTTTTAACTTTTGAAACAACCGACTTATAAAGGTGTCATAGATTACAATTTTTTAATTAAAAATAATTTAAAATTAGTAATAATTATTTATTATTATTTTTAAAATATTAAAAATTAATTATTACTAATTAATGTCATTGTAGACAAATATGAAATTAAATTCCTATATTAAAAAGTAAGTTTAGAAAAAGGGAAATTAAAATACATAATTAAATTATATTTAATCGATTTATTGTTACAAAAAATTAAAAGAATAGCTTTCAAGTTAATCGTCTGACCCTGAGGGTTCAATTTGTTTAGTTTAGACAAACAAAAAGTTAATTCACTTTGAAGGTTTTTTTTTTTTTTTGGTAGAAAAACTAATATTGATAGATTATTTCTCAACAATAAAAGTTTGATAAGAATATAATGACGTAAATGTAAATTTAAAATAGAATAAAAGATTAAAAAGAACGACAAAAAAAAGAAATAAAAGAAAAATTAAAGAATACAAATACGTGTCTATGCATTTAAAAATTGTGATAACATTTAATCACCTACATTTAATAGTCACACGTCTCTTGCAAATAATATTTTCATTCTTAATATTTTACTTGAAAACTATAAATTTGAAATAATTAAAAATTAAATATATATATATTTAATTTGTTTGTTAATATATTTTCAATTTATAATTAATTTGAAATCATTTAAAATTAATTCAAATGTTTATTTTCTTTTTGCGTTTACTTTAAGATATATTAATTTTTTCATTGCCTTTTTGAAAGCACTTAAATCTTTTATTTGATCAGTAGCTGTCATTTTTCGTACTAATCAGCACGTGGTCCATATAAATATGAGGGTTCTTGAACTGCTTTAGCCTTTTTTTTAGCTGTATGCACTTGACTTTTTTTTATTTTCACAACTTTTTTATTATTATTCAAATTTACAGTAATAGCCTGAAATAAGCTATAATATTTATAATAATTTAATTCGTATTATGCTTTTTAAGTCTGATTTTAAAGAAATTATTACGATTAGGTATGTAATTAAAATTATTTTCTTTTTTAAAATTATATTGCTTCAGGTGTTGAAACATGATTCAGTTTCAATTTATATCTTTTTATCGAAAAACTTTACGTTACCTGAAATAAATGTTTCTTCACTTTAACTTTTCTGATTCGATAAGTAGATTTCTTTACTGTAGATATTCGCTGATATGGGATTTCTTTCTCTTTTGTAATTTAAAGTTAGTTTCTTCCTGTTGTTCGTTATTTCGTTTTTACTTGTAATATATTTTTGCTTTTTATATTATTTTATTTTTAAAACAATTTTTACTTTTTGTAGAATTTCATTATTATATACTTTTATCGACAGTTATTTCCTTTTTTTGTTTGAGTTTAATTCTATTTTCAAGGTAATTGCAAGTATTAAGAATTTTTTTTTTTTTTTTGTATTTTTTTTTAGGTATTGTTAAGGAGGTCAAAAATGTATATAATTTCAGATAACTGCGCAAAAAGAATATTTTCAATGATGCGCACGATGTGAGATACTGATGCTGGATATATCTGAAAGGAACTCGTGATCATTGATATAACCCAAGGGGGAGACTGCGAACCCTACCTGCCCCTCTTTTATAGTTGTTACACAGCGCCTATATCTCCTGCAAGTTAACTGTGCACGTGCAACTGGTATTTTTGCTTTCTTTCAGTTCCTCTTTCGAGACAAAAAAGAGGGCTCAATTCTTTTATTTGCATCCTTCTTGGCTCCTTTTCTTCTTCAACTCTTTCTACTTATTGCTAGCCCTGTTAGATGATGCCCCCTCGTGAAATTCGAGTTATCGCTGTCACCGCAGGGCTTCATAAGAGCGAATCTAATTTGCAGACAGAGCATAAAAATCACTATGTCGTTTATATTTATAACATAGACGAAAAATTAGAGAGTGAGTCTTACAAAAAAAAAAAAAAAAAAAAAAAAAAAGTGAGGAGACAAAACTCGAACCTGATTTCAATTATTTTGCTCGCATTGAAATTGTTACAAAAAAATATTATTTTTATTTTATTCTCGAAATTGTACATAAGGAAAGGACAAAGAAAATTTCTTTAGGAATTATTTATCTTTGAAATCTTTCAAATCTCGATCGAGATGAATGCTTTTATTAGATAAATAAAGGGAGTTCTAAGTAACCATGAAGTGATGATTTTAGAATGGTATAAAATTTCTTCACACTTCAATATATTCTTAATTTGAATAATACAATTTTTAAGATTTCTACCTGACGTGAAAAAAAAAATTGGACAATATTTACCAGGAATTGTAATTATTTTTCAATTTTTAGTATACTTGAGGATTTTTTTAAGCTCTTCATTGAAAGGATATATTCTTTAAAAAAGAAAAATTTTATGCCTAAATAAATCTTTTTTACTTTTTCTGAAAAAAAAAAAATTTTCTTTTAGAAAATTTCCTCTTTGTGAAAAAATAAAACCTTTAGTTTGATTTTCGAAACTTTTTATATTATCTTTATGTGTTAAAAAGCTATAAAATGAGGAAAAGTTTAGAAGGTATTTTTTTCTAATCTAAAAATGAGCTCGAAATCTCATATAAAACATACGAGAATGTTTAGAAAAAAAAAAAAAAATTCCAATGATCATGATAAATTGTGGTTTTTGAAGTTTTTCTAAATTAAGAAAATATTAAATTAACTTTATAATTTATGTTAAATTTTTGTATTAGTAGATATATACTTTAATTTATAGTTTTGATTATCAAAATATATTTTAAGAATATTTCAAAAAATATTAATTTAATCTATTAAAATATAAAAAATATAAATTAAAAAGATGTTGTTGATTCAATGCAAAGACAGTCAACAATTCATTATGTATACAAAAAGAAAGATTTCATATTCAAATTGAAAAATATCTAGAACAACTCGAAAGTTCCCTTTTTGTATTTATGCCTAAAATGGTCCAAAAGCCGGTCTCGGATTCCTGACGTTAGAGTTTCTCTTTATATTTCTGCCAAGAAAAAAAATTGAGATAAATGTGGCGAGTTCTTATAAAGCGATGTTGGTTTAAAGATTGGAAAAGGTGCTCTGCTTTTCTCGGTTAAGTTACCTTTTTTTTTTTAAAAAAAAAAAAAAAAAAAACTTCCTGAAATCGTCCCTGGCCATACATGTGTGTATTTGAAGGGGCTGAAAAAAAATGAAGATCTCCCCGATATTTCCTTTGAAGGATCCAGGTAAATAAATATACCTGTAATATATAGCAGTGTGTGTTAGTTGAAATACGATGTGAGGAATGACTGCAAGAATGAAAAATGGGAAGTGTGGAGATGCCGCGTAGTGGAGTGGCGATCTGAGGTAGTTCTGAGCACTGAAGTTAAAAAGAGGAAGGAAAAAAAAAGGAATAAAAGGATCTATCACCTGTTTAAACATCATGTGAGATATACAGCTATAAAAGCTCGTGTGGTGTCAACACACTTTGGAATAATGTTTAAAGATAGTTGAATACTTGTTATGTAAAACCGAGCAAATCCGATATGGCTAATCAAACGCTTTGAGAAGGAAGTAACATGAAATCCAAGATTCAAGATAAAATGGTCAATTTCTATGATAAATGTTCATGATAATAGAATTTTCATATATGCAAATATGAATAATACGAAACTGACTTGTCATTTCTTTGATGATGCACATGACCCAGAATATTATTATATTAAATCATTTCTATAATAGATATTTTTTTAATATTTATTATAAATATTTAAATGGGGGATATATCATTTCGCTGGAATTTATAAAAAATATCGAGAGATTACTGATGAAGAGTGTAAAAAATTATATAAAATATGATTTATGTTTCAGATGATGACGGCTGAATATCTTCATGCGAGAAATACTGGTCAGCAGTCTAAGGTATTGCTAGGATTTAATATTCCTGCATGGGTGTGGACTTCCTACTGTAAGGTGAGAGCATATTTTCTTTTATTTTATAATTTTAAACAGTATTATAATTTTATGTTTCTGGAAAAAATTAATTTTAATTTTTTATTACATTTTAAGATATCGCTTAACTAAATAAATAGAAGTTGATAAAGATAACATAAATTTGGTACAAATCATTATTATTATTATTCGATATTTGAAAGAAATGTATGTCGATCGAAAATTGAAAACATTAAGACGCCCCAATTTGATATATACTTTTATCTATTGGTATATATGTATACATTATTCAAATATTTGTAGATTGGATTATTTGGTTTTGGAGCATTTGCTACGATATTAACAACGGATGTTGGAAAATATACGATTGGACGTCTAAGACCTCATTTCATGAAAGTTTGCATGCCCAGCATCAATTGTTCTCTTCCGGAAAATCAACACAGATATATTGAAGATTTCGTTTGTACTGCAAGAGATCTATCGCCAAAAATGAGCAAAGAATTGCGGTATGTTTATTTAATTCCATTATTTTTTAAACAAAAAAAAAAAAGAAAATTTGTTTTTATACAACAAATGATATAAAAAATGTTTTTCCCAGTTTCAAATGGTAGAAAAATATGTAGAATATATTATAAGATTTTTAGCTACTTGCAAATTATACTTTCTCTGAGTTCCGAGTGTAAGTTTCTTGACATTTCTGTTGCAATATAATCAGGATAGCTTTCATTGTATTATTCTCAGCTTTCCTATTTTTATTTATTTTTTTTTTAAAGCTGATTGTCTTGTCACAATGAAAGATATTTATATCTCATTGTGGGCCGACTACCATTTCGAAATAGGCTTTCACAATTGTAACCCAATTAAAATAAGTTTCTGGGTTTTCTTCTCAATCACTATTTATATATACAAATCTTTTAATTCCGGGTCTTCACAATTTTTTTGTCCGTTTTAATTTAACTTTTTAGTGAAACAAACATTCAATTTCTTTTTTTTTTATTTTTTTCACAAAAAATATATTTCTTTAAAAAAAAGAATTTCATATAATAATTCAATTATTATATTATTTTTTTTTACTATTTTCTAATTTGCAATTGTTTATATTCTATAATGGAATAATTCTTGGTAGAAAGGATAGAGTCAATTATTATTTGTAAGTGAACTAGGCAAGAGTTCCTTGGCTTAGATTGCAAGATTTTATTTTGGAAAAATTCTGTGGTTATGAGGTTTTAAGTGGTCTCAAGCGGTACTTTGCGCATTGTTCTTTCTCGAACAAAATATAGTCTCGATTTTCTTATGGTTATATGACAGACAAATTGGATATATGCTGAATTTATTTATTGTATTTTTTTTTTATTATTTTTTTAAAAAGTAATTTACCTCATTTTGTTTATGTATTTTTTTTTTCATTATGTAAGAGATTGTAAAATTACCTATACATACTGATAAGAGCGTTGTCAGATAACTTGATTATTATACTGGTGTGAATATAAAACGCTGGAAAATGAACAACATAAACAGGTTCGCACATTTCTTCTATATACCAAAGGAACAATAAAAAAAAAATCAAACAATAGTATTTTTGCGTGAATAAAATTCCCGTTCTATAAGCAGGCGGATGTTCTATTGTTAAGGGACAAATTATAGCAATGAACCTCTCTTGCTGTGACCTTTATTTAATTGAATTTTAATTAAATAAAAACAAAATTCAATAAAATTGGAAATTTTTTACTGATTAAAGTATACATTTTGAGATTTTTTATAACTATGAATATAAATTATTATATTTTTTAAAATTTAATAACTATACATTAGATATTAAAATTGAGTAATTTTATTTCCTATCAGTTTAACCCGTTATGTTACTTTTTTATATATATATTCAAACGTTTACAGATTTTATGGAGAAAAAATTATTTATCACTCGATTATTTTAATCATTTCGGCAGATATATTAAAGTAATTTATAATAGAGACAATAATTTTGACGATTGATTAAGAAATTTTATTTTCTTCAGCGCGACTTTTATGAAGTAAATTTGTAAATTTTTTGTTTCATAAATAATATAATTCCAATGGATATTTTTGTTTTTTAATCTTATTTTTACATTAAATTTTTTCTTTTTAAAAATATCAAAACCCATAACCATTATTTCTTTCCGGCTTGAAATGAGCTTCATGGAAGTATAATAATCGTCGATAAGATACAGTAAGAGAATTCAATGTTATTCGCCAAGTGTTTCATTCACATTGTTGTTTAAAATCAAAACGAAGACACTATCAGTATATGATGCGTCGTTATTGTTTTCCACAGCAAATAATTTCTCTTTCAATTTCATGCCGCCCATTATAAATTATATATCGAGAAAATCGAGAAAAACAGACAGATGTAATTTTTCATTTCATAAAATGAAACTAAAGTCCATGATAATTTTTTTTCTTAAATTATAAAAGTATAAATTTGACACTGTAAATAATAAAGAGTTTAGCGAAATTCTTATTTCAGAAAAAAAAGCCTGTGGCGAAATATTTAATCTGGAAGATTAATCTATTCCTAGATATACTTTAATCGGCGCTCTATATCAAAGTAGCGGACTAAAGTGGTAAAAAATATGGACCCTTTTAGAAGCTGGCGCCTTAGGTACTTGAAGTTATCTATCTAGGGTCACTCTCGCCATATATACCGGGACAGTTCTATACATAGAAACATTTGAAGAATTGGCGATAAAACCTACAGAGAATTCATTCATTCATTCATTCATTTGCCTCTGTTTCTCCTTCCTCTTTCTGTGGCTTCCTCTCTTTCGTTCTAACTCGAGAAAAAGAAAAAGACAGGGATAAAAAAATCAGGTTAGCAGAGGGCCAAAGTCTTTTTTCCCCGCTCGTTTCATTTATTTAGTTGAAAAAAAAAAAAAAAATTGTTTCGAGAAGCAAAACCAGTCGTCTTGAAACTTATATATTTTTTGAAGACAAGTCTTGACTTTGTGACTATGCCCGCCACATGTTTTGATGAAACCACACCACTCCTCTTTCCAAAATGAATTAGCATAAATTTTCAAATCTACTTCATATTTCACTATACATTTTAATCTTTTTCTCACTTTTTTTTTATTTGTTTTTTCTTATTTCCGTCGGTTTTAAACTTTTCAATTCCCTCAGCTCCAAGTATATATAAATTTCAATTGTTAATTTATCGCATGTTTTTTAAGATGTTGAAAAAAATGGAAATATTATTTTCAAATGGAAATGATAATGAAGTGGGTTTCAGGAAGTTGTAATTTCTCTCTCCAATGTTAATAATTGAATTCGAGAGAAATCCAATTTGCTGTTTTATTATTATTTGGTTTTATTTTGAAATAGACATTCCTTCGATTGCAATAAACTATCCAGGAGAAGATGTACTTTCTGATTATTATTATATTTTCTATATAGAAATTATTGCCGATTTCCATAATAGCTACAAGGGGATATTAAATTTATGAGAAGGATAGGCAAATTAGGATTCTATGGAATAGAAAATTTTTTTGTTCATTATTATTTTGTTGATAATACCATTTGAAACTATTTAAATATTTTTTGTGTTTGATTCATACACTGAAAAAAATTTTTTTTTAATTCAAATAATAATAAATAAAAATAATAATTCTATAACTGATTATTATTGAATTAAATAATTTTGTTCAGTGTAAAATTAATTTTACTTGAAATGAAATATGAAACGGGTCAAAAAGATAATTGGTGAGTAAGCTATAAAACGAAATTTAGAATTGAAAAAGAATATAGAGTGCTTTTAAATGAATAATTTGAGACACCTACTCATCATTTTTAATGGTTTTATGTTCATGATTCAAATTAAAGACTGTCAAAAGCGATTGACTTCGATAAAGTAACATCCCAGTATTTATCGCAAATAAATCGTTCGGTCCCCTTTCTGAAAGATATTTCGAATTTCTTTTTTTTATGTCTTTTTGGAATGAGAATGGTGGTAATTTGAGTGATGTACTTGAAACATAATCTGATTTTTGTTTGACTTATAAATGCAATTTATTTGACAACATACGATTGATCATTTCAGATTATCTTTTCCATCGGGCCATTCATCCTTCTCATTCTATGCTATGGTTTATCTTGTGGTAAGTTTCTTTTTCTTTTTTCTTAAAAATCTTGAACACCTTGTATATACATATTGTGAGTGTAAATGAGTGAGCATATGGCGATACTACATTCTAACTGTACTATTAACAAGGAATTTTTATGAATTTCTTGACTTTTTTTTTTTTAATAAATTACACAAATCTCATTTCCATAATCGAGTTGTTTAAAAAAAAATTCTCTGACTAGAGTATAAATAATAATAATTTTATGGAGAGTAAAAATTTGTTTTGGTAAATGAAATTTTGCAGTGATTCGTGGATTTGGCTGATTTACCTTATTTGACATGAGTGAAAGTTTATTTTGTGACCTTCTTTTATTCTGAGTCAGAGGAAGGTTTAATGTTGAACTTTGCATTCTTAGTTGCAATCAGACGAAAAGAACCTTGAAGAGAAGTGTTCAATGAATTTAGAACCAGATTGCTTGAGAATTCATTAGCAGCTGTTCCTTTCTTCTCATTGAGCTGTAAACATCTACCAATGTCTTTTTTTTTGCATTCCATCTGCAATTTATTAAAATCCCTTTAATTGTGTATTATAATAATACTGAATATTACTATTATCAAAATAATTTAATTTGATTGTTTTCTTTTCAGTTGTACCTAGAATTGAGATTCACATGGAAGGGTAGTAAATTATTGAAGAATGTTCTTCAATTTATCTGTTTATTAGCGGCCTGGTTCACTGCATTAACCAGAGTTTCTAACTACAAACATCATTGGAGTGATGTTCTTGCTGGTTCTGTTCTTGGAACTGTAATTGCAGTGATAGTAGTAAGAATTTAAATAAAATTTTACTTTTTTATTATTACTTTTTCTCGTTATTATTTTTTTTTTAATAAATTAAATTAATAATTATTTGCATTTTTACACATATATATTACAATTTTTTTTTTAAATTAGAATAAATTTATTTTAACTAATTCAATTAAAATTTTTTTTAAATAAAAAATATTGAATTGAAAAGAAATGAAATATTTAAAAAAAAAAATAAAATATAAAATTCTTTTCAGGCATTCAATGTAGCAGATCTCTTCAAGGAAAGGAGAACTAGTACTGAGAAGCTTCACCCGGCCGAATACGAAGTGGAAGATGGGACACAGGTGAATAATGGCACATCGAATCGTGTCTGTTGACCTAACGAGCTCGCTCTCCGCTTGTTGCCAGCAACACAATCGTGATGCATTTTCAGATGATTTTTAACGAAGTAGTATCGCGATTTGAAGTTTTGAAAAGTTTTATCAAATTTTTCAATAACTTGTAGTTAATGCTTCTGGCAATTTTTCAAAAGAAAAAAAAAAAAATTCACCATCGACTCCTGGATCATCGTTTATAACATCTACTATATTTTGGAACACATTTCATCACTGATATCTATTAGTAGGATCATCGACGCTTTTTTTTTTTTTTTTTTTAATTCGTGTCCTTGTCTTCTTCCATTGTGTTCCGTTTTCATTATTTCACGAATTCTACTTTTTAAAATGTTCGCAAATTACATTAATTTGGCAATTTTTATAATAAAATTATAAAACTTGCAAAGAAATATAAAAATAATTGATTAAATTTTAATTATATAAAATATAATACATAATAATGGTGAATACTTTGAAAACTTAAAAATTGAATTTAATACGAATTCAAGAAAAAGAAACTAAAGTTTAATCAGTTGTTTAAATTCGCATAATTTGGTAATTGTAAAAAGTGGAATTCGAAGGCTATTTTCTAGGATTCTATATGTTTTATTTTGTGCACGTGTTGTGAAACAATGAAAGTATTAGATTTACATAGTGATGAACGAATACAAATCGGAGGGCGATAGTAGAAACTGTGATCAATTATTCTTTAAGAGAATATTTCCATTATACTGAATCTACGGAGCACAGACACTCCCGAAATCATTATAAAGCTTTACGTTGTATTTAATTTTTCTTACTGATTATAATAATAGGTTGAGTTCATTAAGGTGCTATTTTTAAATGGTTCTTGTTTTTAAATGATAATTGAAATTAGGTGTTACTTATTTCTTTCTTTTTTACATTTACTTATGTAAATACTTTAAAGGATATATTATTAAATTGTTTTTGTTTATTTTATTATTTATTTTTTTTTATCTTCATTATATTTTCCCGTATACTTAGCACTCTTTATGGTAAAATCAAAATTTAAAAAATTTTAAAGATCTGAAGATAAATATATTAAAGAAAAAAATTAAATCGTACACACAATAATTATTGGTAACAATTTTTGACTGCGATTTTGGTGTAACTGTGCTTCGCATCTAGATATTTAAAAATAAGAGCAGCGAAACCCGGTTTTAAATTTTATAATATAAGTATTTTTAAAAATCTAGACGACTGTGAAATCGACTATTTTCTGTCGATCACGGGAAAAAAAATGAATACTTGAAACGAATTTATTTATTTGATATAAGTAAGAAATTATAAAAGCTTTAGATCTGGTTTATGTTCCAGTAGACAGTGCGCTTTATTTATTGTTTCTTCATTATAGAAACATTTTGTGTTTGAACATATCATTTGTCGTCAAAATGTCTTAGTTTCAACTATCGTGTTGGCTTTCTTAGAGGAACATGGGTCAGCTTTAAAAATATATATATATATATATATATAATATACATATATTTATATTCACGTATTTAATTACGTGGATTTTTAGATCTAGAATTGTATTTATTTTAACAGGATATTAATTGAAAAAAAGTTTCTTAAAATTTGAATGATATTAATTCTTTGTTATTATTATTATTGTAATGTATAATATTCCAATTGTGATTCGTAAATATAATATTTGCGGTACACATTTAAAAAAAAAGAACTGCATGGGTCTTATTGCACTCAATTTCTATAAGTTTTCACCAGTACAAATAAATAACGATGGCAATAAATTTGTTTTGGTTGTAACAACCATAATCTACTGCAAATATTGCAGTTGTACAATTTTAAATGACAGTAAACAGAATTATAGTACTTTAAAAATTGTGGTTTTTTCTTAGATTCATTTTAGAAATTTCGTAATTATTTATTTTCAGATATTACTTATTTCTTTAATTTATTATTTATTCACACTTTTATTTATTTTAATCACAAAAATTATGTAGTTGTTGTTTTATGTGCATATTTTCCGCTTTTAGAATAATTCATTTAGAAATACATTTTTTCATTTCATTATTTAAAGTTTTGAAAGATTATTTAAAATTTATTTATTTACCTATTTTTTAAATTAACTTCCAGAATGAAGTAAATCCTTTACCACTAACGGAATCTGCCCACTATGGAGGAATTAATAATGGATATAGCAGATGTCTAAGCTGACAAATTTTAATTAATTAAAATCTTAATTTTAATCTTCGAATCTTGTACATATTTTCCATTAAAATAATAGGAATAAAGTTATAATCATTTAATGTAATTTTAAAATGTTTATTTTTATTTATATTTCTATTGCAAACTGTATTTGAAGTTATAATTTTTTAAAAATATTTAATTGTTTTAAATTTCGTGCTCTAGTTGTACGCATGCGCCAGTTTAAAAATCATCCAATAGTATAATGGGAATGAAGTTATGCGCAGTTGTTTAAGATGCCCTCTATTTCCGGTAAGAGTTTTGTTAAGATGTGTACTATACCAGTGACCGGTAAACATAGTTAAAGAAGAAATTATACAAAAATTAATCCTAATTAAGAAAAAAACAAATTTATCAACAGTATTTGTAAGTACTTATATTTGTTACAAAATAATTATGGCTATGTTGACAATTGTTTATTTTAATTCACTATTTCGTGACTTGACAAAAGGTGAAACCAAATCGTTACCATTGGCTGTCATTGCGCCTTTTATTTACAAACATGTCCTTTTATTTTATTTATACAAAAATTATAATTTAAAGTGACAATTTAATTACTGCTTAAAATATATATCAACAATAGAGAAGGTATTTTGTATTAATCATATCACTTGATAAACTATTTGATAAGTGCAAAGATCAACAGATTAAAAACATAAAATGTTGATTTTTCTAGATGATAAGTTTATCGCAGTTATTGTTAACTTTTTCAGTTGTTTTTAATTGTTATAAGACGATATTCAACAAAAACATATACTAGAAGATTTTTATAAATTTCTTTTTATTTTTAAAAGCAAACACTTTTGTTTCAAACAATTTTATTACGCTGGTAAAAGTGAGGTTATGTTTAAAAAAATATTTTTGGTCTTTTTGGTATATAATTAATGTGAAAAGATTTACACATTGGAAAATAAAAACGTGATTATATAACTGAACATTAGTTTTGAAAAAGTATTTTAAAAAAGGTAACATTTTAATAAATAATATAAGGCATATAAAATTTTTTTCATTGTTTTAATAAAATTAATTAAAAAATACGCATGTAAAAGAAATTAATGTAGATTATCAGTTAAAATTAATTATTAACAAAATATAATTAATGCAGGAAATTAGGACATATCTATATAAATTTTAAACAAATTAATTTGTCTTATAGATCTACTGGCGAATGTAAATTACTAAATGATGCATTTTACTTTTTGGATATATAATCTATAAAATGCAAAAAATTTCTCAAAGGATCTCGATTTTGAGCCTGATGTCTAAAGGAAAGGAATGTATATGTGCAAAATTCTATATTCAGTCACGTTTTAATCACGTTTTTGTTTTCCTCATCGCGAATTTTTTTCATCAGAATACATTTTGATATGCAGGGTCAATTTGTTGACCTTAGAGGCGAAGAAACGCAGATAAATGAAAATGTAAGTAATCAGAACACCGAACGCTTATATTTTACAATCAGTTTGGTATTGGACAGAAACGAATGTTGTGTGAAATGTGTTACTAAATAATTATTATTTTTAATTACATTTTTTTTATACTTTTGTGAATGTGTTATTGTTTTTTAATTGAATTACAATGGAAGCTATTGGATCTGTAAGTATTTTTATTATATTTTTTCTTTAATTCAATAGCTTGAGCTATATTTCTTTTTTATTAAACCTTAAAAATTTAAATTTTTTTTGTTAAATATTCATAAAACTTTTTATTCTTTTATTATTGTTAATGATTTGATTGTGTGAATCCATTTAATTTGAAAGTCATGTTGTGTTTTAATTTTACACTCCAATAAATGTCGTTTTTGGAATTAATTTTTTAAACATTTTTGCAAATTGAAAACAGGAAATTAAAAATTAATTTATTCTATTCCTCAGTTTTTTAATCATTGCATCAGTTTAGGAAAAATATATGTTGCAAATCGTATGAAAAACATTTCTAAATCTAATTTACAAAGATGAAAATTGTTTTTTTTTCATAAAAAAAATTACGATTGAAAAAATAATAATTTTTAATTGCTACTACATGACAAAGTATTTTTATTTTTTAATAAAAATTAATCTACGTATAATGCACGTATCTTATTTACTCATTTGTTTTATTTCAACAAATAAAACACGATGGAAAATTATAATTATCATAAATATTTTCAAATTTTTATTATTTTCTTTGTCCGTAACTTTGAAATTAGCTTCTTACGAAATCAATATTATTTATGATATGAATTTAATTTTACTCTTAATAATAGAACTGTTTTCTGTTTTGTAATTCTTATCAAATCAGTGCAAAACTTGTATTATCCTCGTGCTACTTTGCTTTATGTGCAAAAAAACATTCGTGGGGGTCTTGTAATCAACTTTACTTTAAATGATTAATATTTGTCAACATATCATTATGAAATGATGTATCACCATAAAAAAAATTTTTTTTTTAAAGTAAACAAATACAAGAAAAAATTCTAGATTATTAATTTTCCATTACTATCTATAAGTCGACAATTAAATTCAAATTATCGAGTATTAATAATTAAAAATATTTTTTTTATTAATTAGTATAAACATATTTTTTCGAAGTAGATAGAAAGTATAGTAAATAGTTTATAGATTTACATATTTAAACTAATTATTTTTCACATTAGAGTCATAACTTATTGGAAATAAATTCTCGTAAAAAGATCATGTTGCACTGACCTTATAGATTATTTTAATTCACGTGAGAAGTCTCGTGAGTGACATTCCCTTCTTGTGTGTAAATCATAAACTTTCAGAATATCTCTTTTAATGAGCAAAAGATCACTCGTGTTGTTAAAGGTCATTTGATACATCGAAGAAATTAATTTTTTTTCCGATTAAAAGAGTATCTCAAACAAAAGTATTGTAATTTTATTTTTTATAATAAAAATTAACATAAAATATTCAAATAATTATCATTCAAAAAAATTAAATATATTCACATTTTCAATTTTAAATAATATTTTTAATTACAGTATCCAATATTAAAATCTTTTCTCGCTGGTTCCTTTTCTGGCACATTTTCAACAATTTTATTTCAACCATTGGATCTAATAAAGACTAGACTTCAAAATAGAGTCAGCAATAATGCAGGGTAAATATTATCGAAGCTTTTAATTTATAAAATAATAAATTTATTTTTTCTAATTTCTCTTTATCTTCTTTTTTTTCTAGGCGTTCAAAATCGGGAATGGTCAAAACTATGGTTTCCATTGTCCAAAATGATAATATATTCGGATTATGGAAAGGGATGACTCCTGTGAGTTTACTTTATTATTAAGAAATTAAGAAAAAAAAAAAAACTTAAAAATATTTTTTCAAACTGTTACTGTAAATATGTAATTAAAAATCAGGATTTTTTTTTCTTTTTCAGTCTATAACACGGGTTGTTCCTGGAGTTGGTCTTTATTTTTCTTCATTGTACTGGTTAAAACATGTCATGGAACTAGAAGAACCATTGACGTCTCTTCAGGCCATTAGTTTAGGAATTACTGCACGCTCCATGTCAGGAGCATTATTAATTCCAATAACTGTTGTCAAAACTAGATTTGAGGTATTTTTTTTAAATTACGCATATTTTACTGCACTCATGAATATTCTTCAAATTTTATTTTTCTTATGTTTTTATTTTCTAAATTTCAATAAGCTATTGTAATTTTTATTTAAATTATTTTGTTATTAATTTATATAATTAAAAAAAAGTAGAATTTGAAGGATAGTCGTGGTCATTTTTTTAGAATTTACTATTAAAATTATAAAAATTGATTCTCTTAACATTTATTGATACAACTATTTAAAATATACAACTCAGAAATTATACATTCTTTATAAAATTGGAATTTTTTATCTTTTTTTTCAGAGCGGCGTGTATAAATACAGCAGTATCAGTGAAGCGTTAAGATTAATATACAAATATGAAGGCGTAAAGGGTCTTTCGAGTGGTCTTGTACCGACTTTACTTAGAGATGCTCCTTACAGCGGTCTATATCTAATGTTTTATACTCAACTCAAAAATACAGTCGCCTTAAGTACGTCTAACATGTCAGCTATTTTAATCAAATATATATTTAAAACAGTCTATTTTACAGTTCATAAAATAATTAATTTTTTCAGAACTTCCTCATTACAGTCAAGAAACTTTTACACATTTTTGCTGCGGAGTATTCGCTGGAATATGTGCATCAGTTGTGACACATCCCGCTGATGTTGTCAAGACAAAAATGCAACTGTATCCAAATAAATTTAAAAATGCACATAATGCTTTTATTTTCGTCTACCAAAAATATGGGCCTTTCGGTTATTTCAAGGGTATTGTACCCCGAATGCTTAGAAGAACTCTTATGACCGCAATGGCTTGGACTCTTTACGAAAAAGTGAGTTTAAAAGTTAAGAATAATATTTACAATAGAATTTTATATTTTTCTTCTTAAAAATTTCCTTTTAATTTAAAAGATCTAAAAAAAAATATGACAAATTTCTTTCTTTTTCCAGATAACTGCAAGCCTTGGTTTTAAATAAATTTCATTTGTATGATATCTTGTATATATATTTACCTTGTACAGTATTAAAAAACGATTATATTAGCGCTAAATAATTATCGAATAAATTATATATATATATATTTCTTTAAACATGCCTTTTTTCTTGTCTCAATATTAGTCATTCACAAATGACTCTAAGGAAAGGTGTATCAACTACAAAAAAAATTGTTTGTTAGAAGTTACGCGTATTACGCGAATTTCTATTTTATTGAATGATAATAACAATAGTTTAAGATGTTACAATTGTTTTTAAATCGAATATTAATTAATTATTTTGCCATCGATTTCAATATAATTTGATGAACTTCATTTTGTAAAACATATATTTTTTAATAATGCATAATCGGTATAGATCATGTTTCTCTTTTGACTTTTTTTTTTTTTTTTTTTTACAAAAATTAGCCTGATTAATTCAAAATTGTTAAGGTTATGCAAAATCTTTACCTTAAAAATATATTTAAGCTGTGGGAAAACGACTTTTTTTCTTCAACTGGACCACTTTTTCTCCTTTTCGTCTTATTCTGCAAATAAATAATGTCAATTTCACTAAATGAAAAAAAGAAAGGAAAAATTTACAAATTTATAAAATTATTGTGTATGTAAAGTAAAGACACATGAGTTTTATTTCAGCATTCAAAAAAAATAAGCATTTTTTATATCTTAGCAAAAACATTTCATAAATAATTAAGATAAAATTAAATATTTAAAAATTTTCAATTATATTTTTAATTATTTTTGTCTATTTTTATTCAATGTCTTTAATTTCTTTAAATTTATAAATTGTTTTTGCGCATAAAATATATATTTAGAAATTGTATTGTACCTAAAATATTTTATTAATTAGTGATTGCGAAGAAAAGTCACGAGCAGAGATGTAAAGCCTGCAGAAAATGAAATTAAAAACTAAATTGATGAAAATCAAGCTTTCAATAATATGCAATTATTTTAAAATGGATGTTTTACAAATTTTACTAATTTAGAAAAAAATATGAATATTCAGGACAAGGAAAATTTATTACAATTTAAAAATATCGGACAATCCGTTTTTAATTTTTTTTTTTTCTCTTTTAATGATTCTCCATTTTTATAAATAATGCTTTATCTAAAAAATATTACTATAAAAACAAAAAGATAATGGCAAAATAATAATGACTATTTAATGTTTTTAAATAGAAATGTAATTAAAATTATTTTATCAATATTTTTTGTGTTTTTTTTTTCAATACACGCATAGCAAACAGGTTGTCCTGATAATTTTTGTCGATTGACAGAAGATGAATTATTTTCTTTTTTGCTTTATATCCCTTGTGACAAAGAGTATAGGCATCGAGTAAATAGATATTATAACGATAAAGAACTTTCGACGAAATTATAAAATATCAAGACCCATTTTTCATTTTTATTTCGAGAAATCTCTATCTCTCCTAATACAAGGGCATGATTGGTATTATCATTCCGACATAAATACCTCATTAATGCGTGGCAGAAGCTAGGATTGTATAGTCACAGTCGCACGGGGCACTGTCGTGGCAGGTCTACGGAAGTAGGCACTGTTTTTCCTCCACTAAACTTCTAATTTCTTTCCGACAAAAAAAACTATGCAGTCGTTGAACTCACAATAACATTTTACCGCATTTTATCTACGAAGATATTATATTTTCCGATCAAAGCAAGAATAGGTATACCTTCTCCTATCTTGCTTTGTTTAAAAAAAAAAAAAATGAACCTAATTTTAAGTATAATTTATGTCCAAGGGTCTCACAATGAAGTCAAAATCAGATAAAAAAAAACAATTACCAAAAAATATATTTTCTAAATTAACAAGTGAACAAAAAAATCTGTCTTTAAAAAATTAAAAAGTAGATAAATTAAAATTTATTAGATAATATAAAAAGTAAAAATCTATTTTCAAAATTTAAAAAGTTAATCAAACTTAAAAATCCAAAATTGGTGAACATTCCAAATAAAACAATCGTTGGCAGAGTGATTTTGATACTTTATCTAAGTTCCGTAATTATTAATATTTTTTTTATCACTTTTTTTTTATAGATGATTTATAAATTAAACGCGAGACTTTGTCTCGAAACGCACTTGTCAATTTCGACTACGTACACTCTTCATAATTTAATTATTAATATATATATATATATTTTTTTGTTTTGTGTGTGTACGAAGAACGAATTTGAAGCGATAATTCGATGTTTTTCCACAAGAAAAAATAAGAAAAAAAAAATAGTAATCATAATAAATAAATCAGAGGTCCCAAGCGTAATGCATCTAGTGAAACTTACCTGAGCAAAGAAATTGTACAGTAATTGTCACGTTAAAAATTAATCGTTTAGTGCATACCTGGCATACTTCTCACTCACTAACCAATCAAGAGTAGAGTTACTTGTGACTTCGACTTCCAGATCTATGGCGACGTCGATTATTATGATGATTGGCATTTCGATGATCACGATTTCCTGTAAAACATTTTTTTTTATATGAATTTCCCTTAAAAGAATTAAACAATTTTTTTGTTTTCTTTATAAAAAATAATTTTTTTTATTTACCTTTATCTCGTACATGACGACGATGATCATCTTCTCTATTATGCCTGTCATGTTTATCCTTCGATTTACTTCTACTACGATGAGAATTTCTGTGAAAAAATTTTTCATTTGTAAATTATAATGAAAATATTTTAATCCACATGTTAATATTTAATTTAAATTACCTCTGATTCATGGAATCATGTCTATTTTTGTCATCATCTCTTCGACGTCGCTTATCTCTATCCCTATCCCGATCCCTTTCCCTATCAACTCTTTCTCTATCTCTGTCTCTTTCCCTATCCCTATCTCGGTCCCTATCTCGATCACGATCTCTATCACCATCTCTCCTTTTTCTTTGATTATCTTCGCTTTCGCGAACCTTTCTTCTTTCCTCGTCTCGTTTTTGTTCCTTTTCGTCTCTAGCTTTTTCTCGTTTGGTCTAATAATAAAATAATAGTTTTTTTTTTCACAAATACATAAAAAAAAAGGGAGGCTTTAATTAACTTCATATTTTTTTCTTTACCACAATTTCTTGAAGTGCACTTTTCAATCTGGCATAGCCTACGTGTTGTTTTCCCATTAAATGGTCGTCTATTCGTTGTTGAGCATCTCCAACAATAAGAAAGGCACCACAAACATCACAAACCTCCATTTGTTTTTCCTGAGCTGCTGCTAATTCAGCTGTCTAGAAAAATAAATAATAAAATTTTTAATTACAAAAAAGACTATATTTTCAGTGAAAAATAATTATTAATCGTTTAAAAGAATATTAAAAAAAGATCATTACCTGGTTATAATGACTATTATCATTAGATTTACGAAGAGTTTCACGTTCTTCTTTAAGTTGATCACAAAGACGCATAAGTCCCTGAGCCTGCTCGACATTTCCTTGAATTCCACTTTGTTCAGCTTCTTCCACTAATTTATTAATTTTTTCCGTGAGTAAAGTAATTTGTTCCTCGTTTCTTTGAGTTTGTGCTGGCGTTAAGGTGGGCTAGAAAAATGCAGAAAATTTTTTTTTAATTAGACAATCTTTTCATAAACATGGAAAAATATTTCTTTCAACTTACAGCTTCTGTTTTTCCAATAAGTGCAAGTCTTTGTTTTCCTTTGACAATTTTTCTTTCAACTTCATTAAGCATACTTTGACAAAATCGTATGAACTCATCCTCGTATTGTTGTTTCCGATAAGAATAAGGTGCTTTTTCATATAAATCACGAGCTTCATCATCGTGAACCCGAGCACATGCTCCCAAATCAGCTCGTGTGTTGACAAATAGATCGTGAGGACAAAATTTGACAAGATATAGTTTACAAAACTGAAATAATAAAATATTTTAATACTTATAGAATTAGATTTTCCTACTAGAATTTAAACTTTTAATATAGAAGATTGCAAAAGTAATTTAACATCATGATTGTTTTTTCTTTGATCTTTAAACAAATTAGTGAATATGTCACTGATAATTTATAATAATCTAATATTATACTAAAAAATGTTTTCCAAATAGAACATAAATTCTACCTTATCAAACTACTATACAATGAGATTAAAAACAAAAAAAAAAAAAATTTGATAACAAATCTTGTTTCTATATTGCATTAAATTTACACACAAATTGATTAAACCAAGTTAATTAAAATTCGTCTTTTAAAAAATGAAATTACAATATTGTCTCACCTCAGAATCTTCCCAGTTAAGTTCTTTTGGTTTTTCATTAGGAAGAATATTTCTATTTCTCCCCATAAGCTCATCGAGCAAGGCGGCAGCCGCAGCAGCAGCCATGTTTTTAGTCCCTTCAAATAATTTACACTATTGACGACACTTGAATAATCGATAATAATCTTGACCACATTATTAATAAAGAAGACAATGATTGGAGTTCTTCATTGATTAATCAAATTTATTGTTCTCACTATAAATTGAATAATAATTATGAGTTTTTGTAAACAAAATGTACACAACAAAATTCTTATATGGAAGAAATACAGAGACAGGTTGAGTCTTCCTAAACTCATCAATATAATTCCAAACAAAATAATACTTGTGTTCCTAAAAACATTATATTTATGCCTACGTAAATTTAATTGGTGGACTGTTTCAGTTTTCTTAAAAGTGACCAATTAAAATTAATCTCTTGATGCGCAATGGCGTATGCGCATCACTTCCTGTCTGAAGTGAGTTGCATTCACTTTACTTTTATTTCCGTTTAAATTGTCGTTCAATTCTGTTCGTTGTGCATTAGATTTTGCTAAAAACGTTATAAATTTTGTTTTATTCCTCGATAAAGTCGATCTATTTATGTATATTTTTTGTAAAATCATTATACATTTATGAAAATATTACTAGCACAAGTAGTTGAACAATGCGTAGACATTAAACAATTTGGTCGCAAAGAGAGAATCTCTGCCGTGAGGCTATATTAAGAATATAATTTTTATTTGTATATTTGTGATTGAATCAACAACAAATAATAAAGGTAATGACTTCAATTTATTTGTAAGATATAATACTTGACTTTAATACAGTATGTTATACATTGTTAATGTTTGCATGCTATCAAATTGGTCATTTTTGGATCGACATGTGCTCTCGTGCTTGAACACAAAATAAATCAATCTTTAATTTTCAAAGGTTATTTTGCATGTTAAATAAATTTAAATGGATAACTAAGAAATTGTAGTCTGGTAGAATCGGTAATTGTGGAATAAGGTTATGTTGAAAACTTTGGCGCAATTCAGAGCTGATATTAATATTTAGCGATTAATTAACCCGTTATATCTGTGAATTTACTTCGAACTAGGTGATTATTTTCGTTCATGCTTGAACAATATTTTACGTTTAATGAATAATCAGAAGAATTTGTTCCAGTGTTGGAGCATAAAATTTTCGACAATTCATCAGCATTTTCAAAGGGCATTTGACAATCATCAACTTTGCCAAATTTGAAGTTTATTTCATCATTTAATGCATCTACTGTAGGAAGTCGTTTTTCTTTTTTCTCGTTAATGTTTTTCTCAGATATTGTATTTCTTTTACAATGAATATAATTATTCCAACAACGTTTAAAATTCCAAAAAACATCGTTCCATAGAAAAATTTCCTCTACTAAAAAAAAAAATAAATTAAAAATATATTAATTTATTTGTTTGTATTTCAGAGAGACGTGTAAATATATATTTACTGAATAAAAGTAACGTTATAAAGAGGAATGATCCTGCTGGAACTTCTGCGTTGGAAATCAATTTGTAAGCTGTTCTGAGGAGAGTAGGACCTTGAAATAGTGCAATCCCTTTGAGAGTGTTCAAAAGCCAAGGAATATAAAGGTAAGGATAATTATATTTATTTCCCATTGTTAACACTGCACTTGCAATTAAACCAGAAATTATGTCCGTTACCAGTATTTTGATTTTTAAATCTGAATAGAAAAAACTTTTTTATTTAGATAATTATATAATAATTACAATTATTTAAAAATTATTGAAATAATCTTTTTGAATTTCTATTAGAAATTCTATTTGAATTAAATTTATTACTATAACTTCGACGGAAAAAAGTGTTGAACGTCGTGGACTTGTTTACAGAATTTACTAATGCTGACTTAGAACCAATATCTATTGTCATTGAACTTAAACAATTTGCTACGAAACACAAGATGCTTTTATAGATGATTTCTACCTGATGAAACAAAATTTAATTAATTATAATCTCATTAGTCTTTGGTGTTAGCAACTTATTGCTAAACATTTTTTCTAACTTTGGATAAAATTTTGCTTGTATTGTTTAATAATTTTTTCTCATAAATTAACATTTTATTTTTGTTGTTATTCTATTTTGATAAGATTTTTACACTTTTCAATTTTTTTGATTTTGAAAATTATTAAATTTTAAGTTATGTTGATATCACTTTATCTTACACGTGTCAGTTTTTTTTGTTTTTTATTCTCTTTTAAAAACAAAAAAAAAAAAAAGAAAGTTTAGTATCTGAAATCGTCAGCAAATCGAAATGGAATTTTTCAGTATTTTTAAATTAAAATCTGTATTTTTTGGAAATGGATTCCAAAATTTTGTAATTAACTGAAATTGATATATATTTTTTTTTATTTATTATTAATACATCACTTTTAAAACAGTACAAATGTTTTTTAAATTTATGACTTTCGAATGAATTTAAACATTTATAAAAAATTTAACAATATTCTGTAATATTTTTTTGAATTTTCTCAAAAATTAGGAAATTTTTGTTTTGAAATTTATTAGGGTTCTTCTAATAAAGAGTCAGTTTATTGGACTTCGTGCTTGTCGATGAAATAAACAAAAAACTTGAAGCCAATTATGTAGTGACCATATTGCCAAAAATATTTCATCTCTTTTTACATGAAGCCCATCTAAAAATAGTCGAACGAAAAATACTATAATTTCCACAATCATAATGCATAATTGCATCAGTAGCCATGGAGTGTGTAACATTGGATAGTCCTGAAAAAAATTAATTTTTTTTTTTAAACGAATAGTAATTAGGCTATTCTAATATTTTGTTTCTGAGTATTATAAATAATTAGAAAAAATAAAACTTTACTGTTATTGCTCCAAGCATAATAAGAGAATAATGTTCGATTGCGAGAATGCAAGTCATTAATTTCAAATCTCTTTCGACATCCACTGGAACATCTATTATAATTATATTTTAAAAAAATATCCCGAAAAAGATTAACAAATTGAAAACAAAAATTTATTTATTTTGTTTTTGTATATTTACTTTTTTTATCTTCTCCAGATCGTGGTGGTGATTTTGGTTGTATATTATTCATAATTCGAATTATATCATAGGCAGTGATTATCTAAATTGATTGAATAGAAATTATTGACGATTAATTATCAAAATAATGATAGGCCTTTTCTTAAAAATCACAAGAAAGTTAAAATATTCTAAAAAACACAAAAAGTAATATTAAACATAAATTAATCGTTAATAAAACATTAATTAATCTTTGATTTATTCAGATAAGTAATAAAAAAAATATTATTTATTTCGATCAACTGATTTATTTTTGAGTGCATGAATTTGAGTATTACGATGGACTAACGGTCCCAATCAGGCCCAACATAATCACATAGACAGAACTCCCCATTATAGAGTGGTCGCAAATTGAGCATGCAAATCGACCAATCGGCTAAAAAAAAAATAATAATAATAATTAAAAAAATTACATTAAGTAATTAATTTTTAAAAAATTAGAATAGAAAAAATTCCTTTTAGTATTAAAATTTTCAAACACGGAATTCAATAAAATTTAGTTTTCTTTTTATAAATAAATTAAATTAAATACTATACTAACCAAAAATCCACCACCTTGTTCAATTTTCCTTCGACCTCGAATTCTCATTGTTTTTAATTTTTGCTTTCACACTTTTTCAAAACTTGGAATATTAATTATTCGTGTAGAATTCAATGATTAATTTTATTTTAATAGAAATTTATTTTTAATCCTTTCACCTTCATTAAAATTTTACTCGAACATTTTTTTAAACAACAAAAAATTTAAGGTTGACATTTCTAATCGATTGTTTGTTTTTTATCCATGAAAAATATGCAGAGAAAATAATTAATATTAAAAAGATTTCATTAATTAAACAATTATTTTAAAAATTTACGGCTCCATTTATTCATTAAATAAAATAAATTATTTACAGATATTAAAAGTAAAATATCGAAATTTGATTAAATTTGATTTTCTTTAATTCAAATAACCATAAAAATATAACTATGACATTATTTTTTTCTGAAATAAGCAAACTCTTTTAAATACGATTCTCATTTGTCAAAAAGTGTAATGTAATAGACAGAACCATTTTAATATTTAATTTTTTCTCATTAATAATTTTATCAAAATTTACAAATATGACTGATTTTTTTGAAAATTCATTGCCGAAAATTGATAATTCTATAGCATTTATTGATAATGATAATTCGATAATTGATAATTATGAAAAATCAACAGTGAGTAAAAGCTTTAAATAAATAAACAAATATTGTTTTTTTTTTTTTGTAAAGAAAGAAAATTATTATATTTAATTTAATTTAATATAAATTTTTATGTGTATCGTTAAAATATGAAAAATTAATATCAGTGAAAGCAAGATTCAATATATTAAAGAATAAATTCAAATTAATAGGATGGAGAAGAAAAAAAAAGTCAACACGAAACAGAATTAAAATTAAATAAAAGTGATAAATTGTTAAACAAATCTCCACAAGCAGACGAGTGGTATAGAATTTTTCAAACAATATTATTCATTATCACAGTTTTGGGTCTCAGTTATCATGGATTTCATTATGGTCGTAGCGAATATAATTTACAGGAAAATAGAAGATCAACAAATGGTTTTTTAGCCGCTCATAAAAAAGTTGTTACCATAATTTTGGGATATACAATTCCTTATTCTGTTATTTCATCCATCGCTGCTCTTATGCTTACATTTTCACTTGTTTCAGTGAGTTATTTTTCATTTCTCAATTGAATTATTATTTTAACCCTCTGTGTCATGAATTTTTCATCTCTATTAGGAAAACCATTGAGTTCGAATTTATTGTATTTTAAAAATTCATATTATTTTAAAATTTGCGCCAAAATGTTTCTATAGCGGATGTTTGTTTGGACAATTTGTACTTATTTGGCGGTACATTTGATTGATACAAGTCACTAACTTGGCCTTATTCTTATTTGGCCAAATAGACATTTTTCATAATTCTTATTTAACATAATTTTTATTTGTCTCAATTCTTATCTGGAATAATTTTTATTTTATTTTAAAAAGTTTAATTTAAATAAAATAAAATTTATTATTTAATCATTTTTAGACTAAATAAGTATTAGGTCATAGAACGACAATCAAATTTTGACCAAATAAGTTGGATTTTATTTCTATCCATTGTAAATTCGAACTAATGAGTTGTAGTTGAATTATTTTTTCTTCAAAAGAGAAAAAAAATATATTATGACAGAAAGGGTTCATTTTATTTAATTAATTATTGATTAATTTAGTTGTTTACAATAACATTCGATTTAGATATCATTTTTAATTTATAGTTATTATTGTCATTGAATTTAGTCATCATGTACATTTTTTTCGTGAAATATTTTTATAATCTTTATCAAAATTTGAATAATAATTTTGTTTATTTATTTACATTTGGAGATTTTTTTAATGTTCGTATAAATTCAGCTCAGATTGAATTGAACTTGACACAAATTTTATATTCGTTAAAAAAAAAAAAAACTCTCGAAAGGTAAACTTGACGTTCACGTACAAGGGCGGTCACATATTGATGTCTCAATCAGAATGTCATGGAATTTATAATATATAAAGAATTATCAGGAATTATTCCTTGTAATTCATCGTTAATTCCATTGATTAATTTTATTACCTTTTTCATGTTATTTAAAAAGAAGAGGCCTCACTGGAGTTTACCTTCGATAATTATTTCCATGTCAGACCTCGTCTGCGACGTGGGTGATGCTTTGATGGCCTCATGGCTCTTTTTTACAAATCTTCCATTTTCATCTGCACTTTTTTATTCTACCTGCATAATCTCCATAATTTGTAGGTTCTTTTAAAAATATTCACTTTTATATTTTAAATATCATCAGATAACTACTTAATTAATTAATTTACTAAAAATAGTTATCAATAAAATATTTATAAAATTTTTTTAGATTCAGTAATAATAATAATAATAATAATAATTTTATCAAATGTATTTTTTCGCAGTAGGTGAATTTTGGGTTTGGCTTGGAGTTTTGCGACTTTATGAATCTAGAGCATTCAAGTAAAACAAACAAATTCTTCCTGATTAAGAAATTAATTTTTTTTTAATACGTTTTACATAGTTTAGTAGAATAACTTTTTGTTAAAATTTTACATAAATTTTTTTAATAAATATAATTTATTAAAAAGATGAAATATCTTCATTTGCAGCTATAATTTTAATAAATATAATTTTATCGTATTTTATAATTTAATTTCTTTCATTAAAAACATGTAAATTATTCCTCAACAGATCCGTCAGGATATATTGATGGACAAAAAATTTCACTTGTTAAATAATTGCATGTTTCGTTGATAATTTTAACTCCTGGACAGTTGTTGATTCTAAAACATTTTGATATATTTTAAAAATGAAATTAGATGATAAAAATTTCGAGATAGAAACAAAATATTTAATTATAGATATAGAAAAAATTCGTGATAGAAAAAGAGTAAAAAATATCAAATAATTATAATAGGTGGTAATAATAATACTTTTCTAAATTAGTTTATAATTTATTAATATTTACCTGGGACAAAAATTATTTAGAATATTTTGAAATCCATGATGCTGATATGATAATAATCGATTTTTTAGTATTTCTTTCATCAAAAATTCTGCAAAGGCATGACATGACACACTTGAAGCTTGTATGCCTCCTTGCATTTCTGTTATGAAATCCTGATCGAGTTTACAGATTTTTTCGCTTCTTCTAAAGAGAAAAAAACCAAATATTACCGTTATTCCTCGCAAAAATAAGATGAATTATAATTTTCACTGTTTTCTAACAACTTACTTGCAAAAATGTTTCTCTATATTATTGATACTATTAAACATTTTAGGATTCAAAGTTATTCCGGGATAATTCCATAGAATATTAGCTTTTGCTGCCATTTCCATTAATTCATAATTTAATGTTTTATAAACTTTATATAATATTGATCTACAAAATTTAAGTGTCGTAAGTTAAAGAATCTTTTTTTCGTTGAAACAAATATAAAAATTAAATAAGACAATTAATTTACCCCTGAAAAAACAATTGCGTTGATATATCAATATTTCGTACATTGAAATTATTGTTAGCTATCTTAATTCTAAGTAGCATTTCCGGAGATAAATCTTCTGACAGAATGAAATTTCTCTCTTGATCATGAAGATTTATAAAATTAAAAAATGACCGGAGATTTTTCATATCAGTAAATCGAATTGGCATTGAATAGTCATTTTTTTTAGAGTCCTCGGATACAAGGTTTATTAAATAAACCTAAGCAAAATTTTTGAGATAATTAATTAATTAATATATTTAGCTAATGTTTTATTTTGTTCAAACTTTTTAAAAATATAAAAATCGTCACAAATTTAAAAAAATACCCGAAAATCAAGGATCAGCTAAATTAAAAAAATAATTTTTATATAATTTTAATAAGTAAAATTAAAAAAATAAATTATTTACATTTAATTCTGGATGTTTGTTAGCTGTAGTTTCTATATAACACAATTCCTTTCGGGACCAAGTGCGATTTTCATGCTTCATAAAGTAAACATTATACGAGTCTTGTTTTGCATTTCGCGTTTCTCTGCAAGAAAAATTTACGAGTCGTTAAAAATAAGCAATAATTATTTATTTTATTTATTAACAAAATATTTACATGAAATTTGACATCTACGTCAGTAATTTATTTACTCAATTTATTGTTTTCTTTTCCATTAATGTCACTACTTACTTTAATAATTTATTAAATAATTTAATTTCAAAAATTAGTAATTAGTAATTTGTATTAAAAATATTTAAACTGAGAAAAAATTTTCGTTTATTCAATTTATTATTTTATTATTTAAAATTTTTTTAATAAAAATATATTATTAAAATGTTAATTGTAAAGATTACTAGTATCTTATTAAATTATCAGATATTTTTGATACTTACCGGTATCTGTAATGTCCACGAGAAAATGAAAATAAAACTGAGATTAAAATGAATGTCAAAATAATACTGATGATAGAACATCCTAACAAAAAAGTAGAATACATGTGTGATGGCCATTTTTCCAAAAACTTGACAGCTCCCTGAGAAATTATATTCTCACAAGGATTGCGGGCAAAATGTTTTTTCTCACATGTTTCTTCCTCAAAAAGTAACGGCTGATCCTCTTTAAATACGATTTCATGTTTTTGAAAGATGTGTTCTACTTGATATTTATAATTCAAAAAGTTTTAGTACTTGACTTAATTAGATAATTATTACTATTATTAAATTTATAAAAAAAAATTTATTAAAATCAGAAGTAATTTAAATTTAATTATAATATACAGCTTCTCAACTCACATTTAGTCTGCTTCATCGTGTTAATTCCAGAATACTGGTCCCTTTTCTTTTCGTTGTTTTTACACTCATAACCCAATTCACAATGTTTGTGAATTCAGCATTTTATAATTTCGTTAAAACAGTTGACAAACAATTATGAAAATTTTATACACTTCTTGTCGCAATAGTGTTGTTGTTTAAGACGTAAACATCTTCTTTGCTTTACGTTATTCATATACAATATGTATGCAAAAAGAAAAAAAATTAAAAGTTATCACTAATGATATACGAGAATTTCATGAAATACGCGGAAAATTCGCCTTGGAACTTTTTTACGAAACTAATTAATAAATTTTAATGAATTTTAGTGTTATAAAAAGAAAACAAAAATAAAATGATTTTTATAATACTTTGCTTCAAAAACTCGATTAAATTGCTGTCTTTTAAGTACTAGTGCTTAAAAGGAGGGGAAATTGTATTTTTACGCACATTTTCTCCTTCCATCACAGCAATTTAGTCGAGTTTTTGACGCAAAATTTTGACGCAAATATAAACAAACATTAGAAAAAGTAAATTTAAAAAATACGCAAATTTTTGTTTCCAAATAACAATTATTAAAAGAATGTTAATTTTAATTGTTTGAACAATTGTTCTTCTTATCGTAACCGCGACAAAATTATTTTTCTTATCGTAAACGTGACAAAATGTGATTTTAGAATGATTTTTAATAGGAAATGTTCAATTTTTTAAATAATATAATATTTTTATTACAAATTTTACAATATTATTTTGATAATAAAAATCTAATTTAATATATTAAAATTTAGAATATCAATGGGAAGAAATAATAAAAGCATAAAATTGTACTTTTTCAACTGCAGTTCATTAGAAACAACATTCTCATAAATTACGTTTAAAAATCACAGTATTATTTACAGATTGTAATATAATTGACAGTAAGCGTTTCTTTCATTTACAAGCAAATAATTTTTAAAGTTTCGTCCTGCGATTGTCTATTTTATTTATTATTATAAGTAAATAAGAATACGCGTTCTAAATTGTTTACACTAAAATTACGCAGTAACATTTATTTTCTTATTATATAAGTATGGTACATCTGAAGCAATAAATATTAATTCGATTTTTAACATTTCAATTTACTTAAATTAAACAATTGATTGTTAATCATTTATTGTCTGTGCGTTAATTATTTAGTTTTTTCATTATAGAAAAAGAATGGTATTTTTTTAAATTATTTAATTTTTCTTCTTTTAATAACTTACATCTGGCACTTAATTACATTCAGTTACTTAGTTTTAAGGAAGGCACCCTTAACTAATAGTTACATTTTTTAGAAAAAATTTAATATTCTTGTACTAGCCACCGGGCAGTTATTGTTAGACAGAGCAGTATTAATCGTTTATTTATTCTGTAAATCAGAATTAGTTTTTAGAAATTCTCATTATTTTATAAAAAATTTATATTATTTTTCTTCAATTTTCCTGTAATGTAATTTTTCAAAAGAAAACAAATCATCATACTGCTCTAAACTTTTCTTATCATAATCTCTAATACTGTAATCATACATTGATATTTCATTTCTTCAATATCAATTGAATTATTAATCTAGATAACAAGGTACTTTTGAGAAAAAATTATTATTGTCGATAAAAATATTTGCTTCAGTTTTTTTATATCCTAGTTTTAAAAGACCGACCAGCGGTTAATTGAGTGAATGCAGTTTGAAAGAGAAAGTAAATTATTGATATTCTAAATCCATTGATAATCTAAAAATTTTGTTTAAAAAAAAAAATCCTCTTTTTGAAAGAAAAATCTATAAATATCAAAGAATATTGAACTATCTTGTGGTAAGCGAAATTATATATAGTTCGTTAAAATGATTACTGTATTGAAGAATGTGGGAGTTGAACCGGAAAACAAAAAGATCCGAATTATAAACAAATTTTTTTTAACTTTCCCTTTCATTCTACTGAAGTTTTTAAATTTCTAAAAAAATTTTATAATTCTAAATCTATATGACTAATTGTTTTTTATTTTTTCGTAATAAAACATTCTCTGACCGTTCGTTACTGTTAAAAAGACAATCTAGAGCTGCTAATTAGAATTATTATAACAAATCACAGAGTTCTCTATCTAACATCTGGTAGATAGTGATATTTGATTATATCTATATAGTGACATACTTGGCACTTGCGGTGTTGTGTATAAAATTGTCGTATAAGTCAAGTACATCATTGACTATATAAATTACTTATCTACTATTAGGAAGATCGTTTATCAGACACTGGTAAAAGGGACTGGCTTTCTTATAGGAGGATTTGGTATCCCAGAAAGACCTAGGGAACTAGCAGTTCTAGTTGTACTGTCACTATCTGAGGAGCTGCTACCACTATTAGGCCTAGCTATCTTATTATTAACGTCCTGTAGTTGGGCATGCTCGTAACTCCTTCTATTACGTATAACAACACTGTTGCCCGATAACTTGTCAGATTTATTATTCTCTAAAGGAAATCCTTCATTTAAAAGATCAGAATCTCGAGACGAAACTTCCTCTCGGGATTTAGACTCTAATCTCGAATTAAGAGTTATATTTTCTTGAAAAGGAGAATTTCTTTCTGAACGATGCACCACAACCTCTTGTAATCCAGTTCGAGCACTTTTTCTTAACAATTTCTCCACCTCAGAATTTCCGTCGATAATCATTTCGTTCGTTCTTCTCCTTGTTCTTAATTCGGGCGTCTCTTCTGATCCCTTGATTCCTACTATGTTCTTCTTGATACCATTCAACATTTCTTTACTGCCTGTGTGTCTTCGAGAAACTATCAAATTTTCCCTACTGCCCACATAAAGATTTTTATTACTATCTGATTTATCAAGTGTTAGTAGAAGATACTTTTTAGATCCATTTAAATTTCGCCGAGAACCGTTCAAAGATCTTTTATCATCTTCTGATAGTATAAGATTTCGATTACTCAGGTTTCTCTTCGAACCGTTTAAAGATCTTCTTTCCTCATCAAGAAGCAGGTATTTATAGTTCTTCTTATTGATATTGTTTGCGAAAACTGGTTTTGGAATAAGTAGTGCTTCTTCTCTTAGTTCCGATTCACGTTGATTAAGTTCCCTGTGATTATTTTCTTTGTGATTAACTTCTCGATGATCATGATCGCGTGGATCATCATCATAAACAATTTCTCTGCTGTTCCTCAAAATTTCCCGGTTTACAGCTTCTGGAAGTTGTTGAAGCTCCGTGTCTCCAATTACTTGAATAGCATCAGGATCTATTTCAACAATTTTGTAATGACTTGATTCTTTTGGACCATGATGAGATGTGTGACTAGTATTTACACAACTATCCCTACAAAAACTGCGACCCAATCCACTGTCTTCTAAGCTTGTCTCACTTCTTATGCTGTCGGAATGCATCAAGTGGTGGCCATTAATCGCGGTTTGACGATGCATCACGTGATTACAGTGTGAATTAACATCATGGTAAGGATCCAAAATGATATCTTCATCAACCAAGTAACCTGTAATCGAGTCTGTTTCTTAACAAAATTGTCGTTTTTCGAAAGTGAATATTTTATACAGAACTAGGGCACCGGATTCTTAATATAACCCACTTTTGCAAATGAATAATAATAAAAAAAAAACAGTGAAAATTAATCTTAATTTTTTAATATTCGAAAACAATTTTTAAACAAAAATACTAATTCTTGATGTCTAAACCCGATTAGTAAACCTGATTATTTTTTTGTTGATATCCGTTATTACTGGTTAAAACATGCACCTTTATACTCGATGTTGATTTTTAAAAATTAGTTTAGTTTTTTTTACCACCATTATGATTTTTATATCGAAATTGATGACTTTTGACAAGACAATGCTTGACGACACAACACTTTGCCAATAAATTAACATGCAGAGGACAACGATGTTTCCTAATTAAACATCAGGATAGTCGTCGATCGATGGTATCTCAATGTGAAGTTTCGGAAGTCCTTGGGTTGTATCTTGAGGCGGCATCAGAAAACTTGAGCCATTACCTTGGTTCATTGTACCCAGAATAACAGGTGTGGTTTTTGGCTCACTAGATACTTTCCTTAGGCCAACTCCATCTACGATACCAGCACCAAAGATGGTCAAACATGAGACAAAAGACAAACACAAAGGAACAATAAGCAAAGCTATTACATATGACTATCAAGCTCAAAATAATTAAGGTTGAATGGAAGCAGTCAGTTAATTAGCAAGCGAGTTTGATTAATTTAATTTGCGTGCGAAAATTATTAGCATCTAACTATAACCTTGCTGCGTTGTGTAATCGCAAATAAAAACCAGGTGCCCAATCTGAAATAATCCGAAGTGTTGTTAGGTAGAAAATCAACTACACTGTTGCTGTTTAAATCTCTAAAAAGCAAAACGGAAAGCGTCAATACATATTTTCTTTTTACAATCCAATTATTTCGACTAAACTCAATAGTGACGACTAAATTCTATATTCGCGACTAATTTAATTTTGATAACTACAGTATAACTAAACTATGATTCATTATTATTTCTACCAAACCAAACAACAAAAGATATTCAAAATTGTCAAAAAATTTTGAAAAACTTACCAGTTCCATGGCGAAGTTCATCTTGAACTCTATAAAACTCTGCTAGCTCCCTTCCAGAACACAGAGGAGTATCGACCTGCGTTGTATTGTTAAACAAAGAGTAGTCGACTTCATAACCTTGTCTCTCTTTAGAATAATTAACAAGAGATTCGAATCTATGACCCCAAAGGATTTCCTGTGGCAAATAACTGGACCTAGCTTGTGTTGTTTGGCCTGTTGATTCGATAGTACCCTCCAGAATGACGACCACTTCAAAACGCTCGGATAGCATATCTTCAGCAGACAAATGATAAAATGGTGAATCCGCATCAATCTTGTGGACAATTGTCATCGGCCAAATAAAGAAGATGTTCTCATTTTCACCATCGGTGCCAACATTCAGTTCCTGTTGATGTTGAGGGAGAATCTCACCCTCTTTGGTAGTTCTAGATTTAATAACTTGAGCCCGTATTGTGGCCCCAATGATGTGTGACTTTCTCATATCACCGACCCGAAACATGAGACATAAAAGACCGTCTCGTTGACAGATAACAGCATTCCTTGAGAAGAGAAGAGTTTGTGTTCTTTGCTTGGGTCGACTCATTTTTGCAAAGACAATACCAACCATGAAGGCTTGAATCATAACACCTGAGATGCTTTGAATGCACATGACGAAAATTGCTTCTGGACATTCTTCTGTAGTGGATCTGCCTCCGTAACCTATAGTGTGTTGTGTTTCGATGGAAAATAGGAAGCAGCTGGTGAAACTGAAGATATTGGTCACACAAGGAGTCCAATTGTTTTGTGATTGAAAGTCGGGAAGGTGTCGAGGATCGAAATCTCCGTGGGTGAAGGCTATTAGCCACCAGATTAGTGCGAAACCCAACCATGATAGTAGGAAGCTAAGTGTAAAACACAATAGGGTCCAACGCCACTGTGTGTCGACAAGTGTTGTGAAAATGTCCTGTAGAAATCGTAAGGATCGTCTTGAAATTCGTGATTGAAGAACGTTGCACTCGCCGCTTTTTAGAACTGCTCTTCTACGGAGCTTACGCACCGGTCCTGGCCTGTATCGGCTTCTGCAAATACAAAATAGCTATTTTTAGTGTTTCTTTGTTATTATTTTGAGGATTTATTAAATTTGAGACAGCTGGGTGACAAAAAACTGGTTTTTCTTAGACGTCACAAATAAAATGTGGTTGTGAGTGTCAATTTTTTAATTTGCCTAAGTTCCGGGAGTGTTCGAAATTTTTAAAATCGCGTTCGATTGAATCTTAAAAAAAGTATTTGTTTTTTAATTTAAAATAGTGAAATGTTTAAAATCGCGTGTTTCCAGCAGATCTTTTATAGTCGAAAGTGATACATCAGTTACAGACTAAGGTTAGAGTCATATTTTCAAGATTTTTATGTTATTCGATTACTTTAGGTTAAGTCTCGATGCCACACTTATTTTTGTCAAATTTAAAAATGAAATTTTTTATAACCTTCTATATTACTGACCAGTTAAAGATTTAATTATATTTTAGTACAGCGCTGACAGTATTTTAATTTTTCTTTTTGCAGATTCTATCCTGGATGGCTTGTGGTGTTACGTACTTCAACGATAAGGGCAAAAGAAAAAAGGGTATCTTATCTTGAAGAACACAGAATTTACACAGAGTTTTTTAGAACTCGGTCTATTTTTACGGTTATTTTTCACATTTTCTGAATGGAAATTTAACTTGAAAGTAGGGATCTCCGAGGGCTATTTAGTTTGAAAGAAATCTCCTTGAAGCTGAAAATTCGTTATTAAGGTAAATATTTCAATTTATTGGAAAATAAAAAATTCCAGCAATTGAGAATACTGTGGCATTTCGTTTTGAAATTTTTTTAATTTAACTGTTTGGAAATTATTGTCAGTTTATTCTAATTTTATGCACTAAAAAAAAATTTATTTGATTCAATTAAATGGTATTTGTTTCAAATACAAAAATTATTGGGTCAAATACAATTTATTTAATTCAAATAAAAATTATTTGGTTTTCAGTGTGTTTAAGTACAAAAAGAATACTAAATAAAAATCTTATAAAATATATTTTAATTAATTAAAAAAGACGTTGTCACGATCAAAATTCTCCATCCGTGTAATGAATACAGACCCTGCTTTAATTTTTAAATAATAATTAATAATTAATTTTTGTTTAAATTTTTTTGACTTAGTTTACATTAAGTTGAAATTAATTAATTTTTTAAAAATTAATTTTAATTGATCAATTAAAAAAAATTATTCTATATAAAATCTGAAAATTTTTAAACTTTAATATTTTTTTTCTTCCGAAATATAAGTGTATAGACATAATTTTTCACGATGTTGGATTTTGTTAATGATTATAATCCATAGTCACTATTCTTTTTATTATTTAAGTGATAAGAGTATCATCTAAAGGTCTTGGCCTTGCTTAAATACAAAGGCCACAAATGATTAATTAAAATTGACAATGTCATCTGTATTATATGAAGATTATGTTACGAAAAACATTAAAGTTATTTTAATTTAGAAAATATTTCTTTTGTTCATTATAATAAGATATGGCTATTAATAATTGTAATAGATGATGCATACATTTTAGAAAACACTTTATTAATTCTATTCTAACACTTTATATTCTCTATTTTCCATTTTTTCTAAATATTCTTTCTTTATTATTGACAAACGAAACAAAAAAGTTATTTATATAATATTTATTCTTAATATTAAATAAAGAAATCTTTAATAATCGTTTTTACTATTTTGCAAGTAAAATTTTTGTGTCGAAATTTCAGTGGGTGGTTTAAATTATAATTTTCAAATTTTATTTTGATCTATCGTCAATCATATTACGTTTCAAATAATTTGTATTTCATTTGAAATTAATTTGAATAATGTTAGACCACATTTTTTTGAATTAATTTTATCTCTAACTTTTTTATGGTTACGTGAACTTGTTATGATAAGCTGATATTTGTAAAGACGAATTATACATATATAAGTGGAATACAAATTGAAGTTTTTATTAAACAATTTAATAAATCATATTGTGAATATTTAAAATTATTAAATTAAAAAAGAGTAAATATTCTTTGGAAATTAAATAATAATTAAAGTAAGCCATTATTTTTATTATATGGTAAGAAAAGAATAATCCTAATTGCTAATTTTTGGAAATAGAAATAAGTTTGATAAAAAAAAAATTGTAATTTTAAATGTAGTTAGATGTTATAACAGAAGAATAAGAGGAGTTACGATTATTTGAGAAAAATCTGTTTCTTTTAGAAAATGATTAATGACAAACTAATTGTGCTCATTTATAAAATTAATTGCCACTCACGATGGTCTTCTTCTCATCATACATTGTTCTTGAATCTTGCACTAACTTTTTTGCCATTCCAATTTTTGAATAATGTTCATTAAAAATTAATTAATTAATTTTTTTTTTTATAAATATTTGCGTATATATTACATGAAAATCTATTGATTTTGTCTTATTGGAACTAGATCCTGTTCATCATTCTTTAAACGTATTTGTTTATGTTATATATTTTATTGTTCTTTTGATAAAAAAAAAGGAGGAAATATATTTTGTATATCAAGTTGTAAATCAATGATTCTCAGTTTTGTTAATTTCGGGAAAAAAGTGTATCGCGGAACTGATCTCGAAAGCGTATGACAACCACAGTGATCAATCTCAGACTCTTTCCTCTAGTAAGGACGTCGTCGTTTTCACTCAACAGTGATAAATTATAAGCGTTATCATCCAATGTATTTGTTACCGAGCGTAAATCAGAGGGGAACGTGTACGTTCTTCGTGTCACTCATGTCAAATATAGCACCAGTCTCGGCGCGAAAATTAACTTAATTTCCTGCATTTGTTTAAACTAATCATGTTTTCTTCAGATTTGTTGAAAAATATTTGTTTGAAACTAAAATAGAAACATGTTTTTTGAGGGTGTTTTTTTTTTTTAAATAAAGTTTTTTTTTTAATTAATAAAATTTATTATACAAATAGTAGGCTAAACAGAATATGGGAGTAAAAATTAGGAATCGATGATTTTTTTTTAGAATTTTGTCTTTCTGTCAAGACAATATACTTTTTATTAATTAGTACATGGACGATGCATATAAAAATAGCCTTGTGCAATGATTATTATTTATCATCACTGCAAATTATCTTGATCTTGGCACTATAGTCTTATCAGAATCGTCACTCAAACTGATAAGATGATAATGGGCAAATATAAAGACTTGAAGTTTTAGAATTAAAAATTGTCATTAAAATAAAATTTACAAGAAATTTTGCAAATAACGTTTGGGTTGATGTTTAAAAAAAAAAAAAATTATTTTGGAAAATAATTGAATTTTAACAATACCTGCTTCGAAATGAATGATTTGGACTTTTTTGAGATTGGACGATAATTGGCGGATGACTCCATGAGGGCAATAACTTTTGCTCCTCTATAGAATCCGGCGAGCATGAGTGCAAATTTTTAGTAATATCCCCGTTCATTGTCACAAAAACTTTTGATCTTGTTGAATTTTTCAATGTTTTCACCAAATTTCCTCTTTATAATTTCACTTCAATTACATTTCCAGTTTATAATTTTAGATTTTGAATTTGAATTAAAATTCTTGTATTTCTGTAATTTTCCGTACAATTGAAAATAAATTATATTACAATGTTACTTTCTATCTTTTCTTTTTTTTTTGAATTGAAACTGCGATCATTATTTCGCAATTAAAATTTGATTAGATGCACTATCTTATCTCTAATTTAATCAATTTTTTCTAATCTTGTGTTTTGATTCTTATCAATGGAATTATTTACTGATTTTTGTATTTATATTTTCAGATGCAGTTTCCAAGAAAAGTGTTCATTTCGTTGGATGATTTTGCTGTTTCGTCGAAGGAATTTGGAATTCTTTTACACGAATTTGGACCCTTCAGTGTGATTGGAGTTTTTCTAAAGCAGTTTGCAGTTTGGTGAGTGGGTTATAATTATTTTTTTAAATTAGAAATTTTGTTTAATGATTAAATCCAAGTGTAGTTAAATTTCGATGATAAAATCGAAGTGTCAATCACAAACGTGGTTCACTGTTTGATACGAGGTGACAAGTAGAGTATCACTAGCCGCTTAAGTCGTTTGAAGAACCTCTTATATGTGAGTGGGATCTCTGACCAGCAGCCTTCATTTATCAGTCACTAATAGTTTGGTTTACTCTTGTTATTTGTGAAAAAAAAAATAGAATTTACGACGTCATAACAACCTGGAGACAATTCTGATGAATTTACAGAAAGAGAGAAACACCTTTATACAGACAAAACTTTTGACGATGATAAATGTGTTGCCTCAGTTGCCATCACAATTGTTTGCAATGCAATGAAGTCGCTGTAAAAAATTGATATAGCTATATTAATGAGATAAAGAAATTCTTGATAAGCGCATTTTTCAAGGGAAGTAGGTTCAAGTCTCAATAATCTTTTCGAAAATGATTTAGCCAAAAAAATATTTCTCATTGTTCGCTCTTGTAGTATCAAACTTTGAATTTATGGGTTTGTTTTCCATTTTCTTTTTGAATAAGGAGTGAAAGTTTTGATCTTTTTCAAAAAACTTATTGCATTCTTATTCATACATTGTATAGATGAATTTCATTTTTTATAGATGAATTTTCAAAAACTTGTTTTTGTTTTGAAATTATAAAAGTGACATAAACAAGAACGATTTTTTCGAATCATTTTATCGTTTTTCTGTCACGGCCATTCTTTTACGACGTTACAATTAAGTCAAATTAATTAGCATTTCTTATTCGCTAATTTGCACAAAGTGTGTGTGTGTCTAAGCACATAAATTTTGCGTTTTTTGTCGCACTTTTGAAGGCAGGATTCCCCTATTTAATTGCGTTATTGGTATATGTCTCTTAATACAAGTTTATAATATCGATCGTTAGATCTTTAGTCAACCCTTTAATAACACGTTCCTAATCGTTTATGATTTATCTAGTTTCTTGAAAAAAAAAAATGTTGGACATTTTTCCTGATTTTTTTTTTTTTTATGAATCACAACTGAAGTGTATACATTGTAGATGTAAATATACAAGTGTGAAGATTATTATCGATTTTGGGAAAAAAAATCACGTTGAAGATGATATGATTAAATGATGTCACGCGACGATTGGATTTTACGTGATTATGGCCCGTGCCGATATGTGGTTTAAAATTAAAAGAATACTCAATCATTTAAGTCACCTCGACATATGCCACTCTTTTGACTGACTAACGAAGAGAGATTTTCTTATCAGATACTTGACTTGTTAAGTTGTTATCGGAATCATTCTTGCCAACTTCTTTAAAACCACTGCTTACATCATTTTTGCAGGTGCTAAATCATTTTTAAATACTTTGAAAAAAGATTGCGTTTCGTTTGAAAAAAAATCATCTATAATTAAGTTTATCGTTGATTTTCAAGTAGGGAATTTTTTTTTACTTGTCAATTTACAAAATATTTTGATTTTGAAAACTTAAGTTTTTATATAAATTGATTCTCCTTTTTTGAGGTAATTAAAATAAATATTTTCTTAAATATTTTTTATGACTGAATTCTTAAAATGTATGTATCAGCTAATTGATTTTCAGAAGTCGCAATTTTTTTCACATTCTTTAAATCAATGGCAGTAAATTTTGCTGAATAAAAAAAATTTTATTGTAATTTTTACTCATTTAGTATAGAAGTTGTTATACACGAATGGACTATAGATGAAAATAGTAAAATAGGATAGAAATTGAATCTTTACTCGGAGGTGTAAATTGACGTCAGAAACATTCTGATATTCAGATTTATATTGTTAATCAGATTGTAGATAAAAGATCATCAAGCTAACCTTCTCGTTAGAAGTATGTAACGTGAGCTCTGATAGAAATTCAGCACTTGTTAAGAGGAAACACTCGATTAACGAAACATTGATATAACCATAGTCACATTTTTTCTGCACATTAAAATTTATAAATTTTTTATTTCTGATTTGAATTTATGTCAACAGATAAAAATATTTTCGTGAGAAAAAGTAGACATTTGTTAATAAATTAGAAAATATTTATAATTTTATCATATTTTTTATATTTATAATTTAAATTTTTTTAAAATAATTGATGGTGTTTTTAGAGAATCAATTATTTAGTATGTACTGAGAACTAGTTAGTTTTTTTTTCAAATTGTTTAGGTTTTGAATAAAAAAGAAACAAGCACTATTATTTCAATAAAGTGAAATGAATTGAAAAAATATCAAATTAAAATGAAAATTCTTCTTCAAAATAAAAACGTATATCCTCGTTATTCTATGTTTTAAGAGAATTCTACCTGTTTTAATGAACGAACCCACTGTCTCGTCTTCTGCTTTTTGGTTGTCGTCTATTTTTTCGTCGCATCCTCGAAAATAAGCACTTTTTTAAACAATTTAAACCACAACTGTAACATTCGCGCCTCTGCAATCGTTTATATTTTGCCAAGTCGCTAGAAAACTTATATGTACTGCAAGCAATTTTATAACATGAGCTTATAGTCAGCAGTTTGGTTTTGTGAGGTCACTTTAGAGAGAGACTTGCCGACTTCGATAAACGCTCGTAATAAGACTAACGAGTCCTCAAGTAACAATGATCCACGGGATGTATAACTTCTTTTTTGTCGCTCATGACGTGATTATATCTCATATTCGGCGAACAAGTTTTTTTTTTGTATTACAATCTGTATTCATCTCTTCTCTCAGTGGGTGTGCGACATTTACATTCCTATACATTGAGAAACAAATTTATTGATCCTAAGAAAAGTGTTCTAACTTCAAAAAATGTTTTTCTTATTAACAGTTTGATGCTTTTATTTTCATTAATAAAATTTAATTAATAAGTTGGGTAAATAAAATATAAATATTATTATTATAATTAAAGTGGTCATAATTATTGTTTGAACTTTTTTTAAAATTAACTACACGGAAAAATGTGTTTTTTAAAGTTTCCTTAAACTGTCATTGACTTTTGGTTACGTAATCAAGAATTTACAGAACTATTTTTTTTTTTTAAATAAAATTCTATAATTTAATTTAAATTTAATTCTTTTTTCTAAATCTTATTTTTTTCTATGTTATATTAGTGTTTAAAAAAAGTGGATATTTAATAGTCATGAATTCATAAAAATCCCTGGGAAGAAATTATTTAAATATATACCCTAATAAATTTCAATCAGTGAAAGTTTCGCCAGATAATATATTAAAGAAAATAATTATTTAATATACGAGAGAATTAATGTGAAAATAAATTATAATTATAAAAAGAGAGCAAGTATCACAATACATCTTTCACTTGATGAGATCAAACGAATACTCTCGAGAGCTTTTGATCTTCGTTTCAATAAAATTTGTGTGCTCTCAATGAGATTTAACGTTGTTAGGTTTGAAAGTGATATTAAACGAGTTGTCAACAGCTTCTGATAATATGTGCCATCTGTTTTACAGAGGGTTAAGATGAGTAGAAATTAAACAAAAGAATATTGTCAAAAAAAAAGTGTAATTTTTTTTTTACACTTTTCAGTTAAGAAGTTTACATTTTGTGTGTATTTTTTTTTCATATCCGCTGAGAATAGGTGTAAAATCATAAATATAGCTTGAAGAGTTAAGAACTGATTTATGTCTTGTTTTTTAGAGGTTGTGACGTTTTGATTGTTATGTTGATTTACTGATTTTTACAAAGAAAAAAGAGCGAAAAAAACAATAAAGTTTTTGAAGATAATCAAAAAAATTTCGTAGACCAAAAATTTAGGTTTCATTCATTTTTTCTTTTTTTTTGTAAAGTTTACAATTTTTCTTCAATTTAATATATTTATTCTCAAGAGTTTTTATAATATCAATTTTCATCATTTGAATTCTAATTTTTATCTTAATTTGAATTATTGTTTACAAATTTTCCTTTTTCTTCATCTTAATTTGGATTCTGAGAGATTTAAAGATTTTTCCAATTTTCAAACATAAATATATTTTCAAAGAACTTATATTAGTTTTTGAAGAAGAAAAAAAAAGAATTTGAAGGAAAAAAAAAAACAGTGATCCTAGTGACGAAATATTTATTTTTGGATTAGCTTGTCAAGATGTGAGGTTTATCAGCAAATCGATTATTACTTCCGTAAATGTCTCTTCCGACCTTGTTGAAAATAACTATGTTTAATTTAAATGTTTTGCATAAACTATTTTTCTCTTATCAGTGACTTGGCTATTTTATAAATAAAAAATAAATTTTAATAATAATATTTAAAATTAATAATCTTCAAATATTAAATTAAGTCCACATATGAAAGATTTAATAAAATTTTAGTAACAGGTGGCATCCTGACAATAAATGTAAACTATAATGAATCACATTGATCATAAATCTTTAACGAGAAAGAACATCACATAATTCAATGATATGTGGTATAGATAAAGCGCAATTTGTCCTCAGCGTCAATCTGCGTAATTTAAGATCCAACAAGATCGATTAAGTGTCAGTCGTAATTGAAGTAATTGTAGTATCTGTGGGAAATTCATCTCGGGATTTTCTTACACACGTGATTTGACACATAATGTGCGGGGAAAGGCTATTTTTCCAATTATTCAAGGTTTCCCGATTTTTGTTTCTCTATATTGATATTATAAGCGCATGTCATTGAAATGCTCGATTGAACATATACTTTGTTGTAAATAAACAAATCATTTTAATAAATACAATATATAGTGTAAAATAGACGTCATTGTCGTAAATCTTATATGTGGTGATTAATTCGCTAATACTAAAACATTTAATTGCTCGTTTCCTCAGTTTATAAAAAAAAAATAAATAAATTTGCATACAGTCCATATGTCTACTTTAATTTGCGGATTTAAAAATCTCTTTTATGGAATTTTTAAATTTTATCGATTTTTAAAAAAATTAAAATTTATAATATCGAATTTTCAAGTCTTGTCTTTTTTTTAAATTATATATAAATGACGATTTTTTTTTTTTGGAGAACATAAAAAAATGATAAATGTCAAATAATGGGTATTAAATTTTGATGGTAGATCACTCACCTCGTGGAATCAGTTCGACCAACACCTCCAATACTGCTACTTTGAGTGCTAACTCTGACGAGAGTAACGTTTTTTGGAAAGTTTGCAAGTCCTGTGACAGTGTTAGTTCCCTTTTGTCCCAGTAAAGGTGATTCTGCCCTTGGTGGATATTGTGAATGGTTTTCGATTTCAACTTCCCGTTCCTCTTCCTCTTCAATTGTCCCTGGTAGACGAAAGAGCTTTTGTGGCTCCTCCATTCCACGCGCACTCTCTTATCACCCAATCGCCTGATTTGATTTTCTTAATTGCATAGCGTTCATCGAAGAATAATTCACTTTTTTTTTTTTTTAAATTATGCAATACTTGATGTATATATTAGGCTCGTTTATCAAATTTTTCACGATTTAATAATGATCGAATCAATCACAATTTCACTGATTTGGCATTTTGATTAAACATTAATTATGATTATTAATTGTTGATATGATGTAAATATGATTATATGACATTACTGTTAAACTCACTGTGAGTCAATGAATTAGCTCTTGTCTTCTTTATTGATATTATATCAATGATTTTTTCAGGTCCCATTGTTAATTTGTCTTACGTATTCTTACGACTCGTTTCTGCAAATAAAATAAATATTTTTCCAAATGATATAATATTCCATTATATTTATTTATTGCTAATTGAAATGAGAGAAATAAATCAATACTTTTTCAATTATGGGAATTTAAATATAATAATTAAATTTTTTGAAAATATTTTACTATATATTAAAATAAGAATTTTTTTTTTAATATTCTATGAAAACTGTGTAGTGTATAATTTTCAAATTAAATTAGAATACGTAATTTGGTGGTAACAATTTTAATAAATTATATTGAAGATTTAGACTTGTCATAATATTATGCTATTAGAGCATTAATTAATTTATCATTTACATATATCATACGGAAAGGTGGGAATTAATGAGATTTAATCCTTCAAAAGTGAGGTAGTCGTGTGATAATTAATAGTTCATAATTGCTACTTTTCAATAATGTTTATATCTTGACAAAAAAAAAAGTTGTATTTTGTTTTTTTATACTCTTAATATATTGTGAAAAAAAAATTCTTGAAACGGGGAAATTGTTTGAATAAGGAAACGAAAAATTTTAACAAGATATAATTTTTTTTAATTAGTTAAAAAAATAAAAAAGACATATATGTTTCTTCACTCAATGAAGTAGTCGATTAGTTTGTATTCTGATTAGCGAACATTCTACTATTTAGCATTGTATAGGATAACCTTTGAGATATTCGAGTCTTGTGCCGCAATTTTTTTTTAAATTTACTTATTTCTATATTTTTTTGATTTTAGTTTTAAATCATTTTTTTCTCGATTGTGGGCAGTAGGTCGTTCGTTTTTTTTTTTTTTGCTTTAGGTCGCGATTTATTAAATTTTTTTCGACAAACGCTCGGATGCGTGTCGCTCTCGCAACTGTTTCAAATTCGCACGGAAGGTACGAGATTGTACCAATGGATGCTATGGCATTTATCTTTTATGGCGGGGGAAGCTTATAATATATAGTTCACGAATGTTCACCTGATCCAACATTAAACTCAGATTTCAAAACTGACCCTGGAATTTATTATTCCTTTACCAGTAAAACATAAAATAAAATTGATAGAATTTCGTAAGTCAAAAAAAAAAATGTTCGATTACAATTATAATTTATTTTTTATCTTCTTTTATGTCCTGTTTCTCATTTAGAAAAATTTTCATTTTATTTAATGAAAGAGTATTTCTTTTTTCATTTATTTTTTTTAATTTAAATTTTAAATAATTAATTTTTAAATGTTCAGAAACAAATTAGAAATATTTTTAATGATTTTTAAAAATATTTTTTAAATATTAAACTAGTTTTTAATTTCCATGAAAATGAACAAAAATATATAAATATTGTAATTCACACTTTATTACAAGAAGTTATTTGCTGTAAGCGAAGAGCATTCTCTGAATTAAAAAAGAATTGAGTAAAACATATCCTGAAAGTATGTGAATCCTGATTCACATATGAATTATACCTAGTAATTTTCTGAACGTTCACATTTTTCTCGAAATATTTATATACTGGTTTTGCATTGCATGTCGTGAGCCTCTCAAACATCGCACGATCTTATAACACGCACAAGAATTTTATTAATTCAAATGGTACATTATTCTTCATCGCATTAGTAATGCTCGTATTTAGCATGAATTTCTTTTAAAAAAAAATTAAGTATCATAATTTGTTTTTTTTAACAAAAAAATAATCCTATTAATTACTGCTCGCATTTCTTTTATTTTTATTCAAAAATTAGTAGTTTTTGGATCAGGTGAACCAAACAATTTGTTATTCTAATTTTTCTAGAATGTTTATTACTCATATAGGAAATTTGTTATTAGATGTCTTAAATTTTTCGTTATTTTGATTTATTCTCAATATCATTTTAAATTTAACTTTCATTAAAAAGTCAATTTCTTCTAAAACAATAAAATATTGTTACATTTTTAATTAGGCTATTACCAGTTTCAACAGAACGTTTTAAGAACGTTTAAAAGTACTTTATAGTGAGAAGATTGTCCTTCAAGTTCATGAAATATAATTCTAGGCGGAAGTAATATTATAAGTGTCTGCGGGGTATAATTCAGTTTCCTGAAATTATTTTCTTCACTGTTTTTCTTTTCTATTTTAATTTTCTATCATATTTTTTTTTTGAAAATTATTGCCAAATTTTTAAATTCAATAAAATTATTTTTTATTACACTTTTTATTTAATAAAATATAATAACAAAAAAAAAAATGTTGAATTTTTTATGAGTTCTATTCAACGTAAATTAATACTATATAACATTTCTCAAAGCCTTAAGATGATTTTAGGTTTCCAATTTCCCATAGGAAAATAATAAGATTATTATTTTTTGGAATATTTAATTTATGATTTAAAATATTTATTCCGACACGTGTGTGTCACGATAGGAAGGTATTTTGTTGTTATTGTAATCGGAGAAAAATTTACTGTTTATTGAAAACGTGTGTGGATAAAATTCATATTCCAGTAAAATCAAAAATAAAATACTTTCATGTTTACCTTGGATTATCATACATGTTAGTAATCATAAAAAATTGTGCGTTCTTATTAAAATTTCTTTTTAATTACTGATTCAATTAATTAATTTAATTAATTACAAAACATTAATTTTCGCTTTTACCTATTTTTCTTGATTTTTTTTATATCTCTTCTTTCCTCAACACTCTGCGATTCTCTTTGACTCAATCATATAAAATCTACAAACTGTTCGCTTAACTTCACACTCATAATTGGAAATTTCACAAAAAAAATTAAAATCCTTCTTCAAATCACTTCCAATTTAAAATCCCGATCAGTTCCTTGAAGTTCAAGACCACGTGGCTCATAAATAGAAGAGCGGGAAATTCGAATTTTAAAATTTCGCGCCGGAAACCAATTACGCCTCATTGTCGAAAATTGCTCGCGTTTCTTCGATTCTTGTAAAATATAATTGGTGTCGGTTAACATTTTGTGACATTGTTTTCACACTTCTGGTTTAAAAAAAAAAAAATAATTAAAATCTCACTTTTTCTTTTGATTAAAAACTTAAGAAAAATTTTTGATTTTTCTTTTTGCACAACCGAAAAAATAAAGCTCAATATACGATTTAAGAGAGAAGTTCAACCGGCGACTGCATTTGCGATCACATCAAGTTGTTCAAGTGACGTCAATATACACTCAACACTCGCCTTTATCCCACTTCTTCTCTTTCTTGAATATTTCACTCCCTCTTCCTCAACTCTTTTTTTCCTTTTCTACTTTCCAATACGTCTCTTTTCTTGTTCATCAAATCCTATCATGTCTCAGAGCATGAGATGACAAAAAAAAAAACAACTTTTTATATTATTATAAACTTGAAGTGTCAATTTTAACAGGTTGAAATATTCAGAAATGATTAATTTCATAATTTTTGAAAAAGAATTAAAAAAATGTTTTGAAAATTAATTTAAAAAATATGCTACTAAATAATCCTTGAATTTTGTCAGACCACTTTAAAGTTAGTTTAATCTCTTCCCAAGAATCCTTTTCTATCCTTTCGCTCGTTAGGCTCTTTATGGCACATTAAAAAATTTTGTTTCATTTTGCAATCATCTTTCATGATTTAAGAAAGTTCTTTTTTATCCCATAATTCAAATTTTTCTGTTGCGGGATATTTACGAGTTGTATTATATAAAGAATAAGAATGCAAAAAAAAAAAAAATTGTCTTTTGGTTCTATATTTAGATATGAATATTGACTATAAAATACTGAATTGAATTTCTAGTAAAATAAAAAAAAAAAAATTTATTTAGCTAAATTTTATAATGTAGAATTTTTTGATAAGAATTCTATTTGTGTTTTTTAATTTCATGTTTTGAATTTATCGTGACAATAATTTATATTTGTCAATGCGAAACACGAGGGCGGATCTACAGTATATGAACGAATGCGCATGTAACCGGTTTTTATAATAGATTAGGACTAGGTATTTGACCTATCAGTACAAACTTACACATCATGTTACTATAACTACCAATCAAAAGTATGATGATACGTTAAAAATTAATAAACGGAAGCTATACATTCTCCTACACCCATTTATTTGCATTTTATATATATCTATTCATCATGTGAAATGCCTTCGTACTTTTTTTTCTATCTGTCACAATTAGGTATCATTAACAAATGTAAAAACGTTAAATTTTACGGAAATGCAATTAATGCGCTCTGTTATTTGTAATTGTTAAATGAATCACGATTTGAAAGGCGAGGTATAGAAAAATTATGCAATCGGGTATTTTTGTATAAACAGTTCATGTAAATATCGATTATAGTAATAGTAATATGAATCGTCTTTATCAAATTTTAAAATTATCAAAGAATATTTGAGTTTTTTTTATGAGCCAAAAGTTTTGAACGTTCATATGAAGGAAATTTTTTTTTTCTACTTCTTTAAATACGAATTTTATTACAAAATATTGTTTAAAATATCTAAAAAAAAAAGTTAATTAATAATTTTTAATAATTTATAGATTGAAAAAAATATTTCGTTTATATGAACGTTCAGAACTTTCGGCTCATTTTTTTTTTTTTTTTTTTAAGAAGAAAAATACAGCCTAGGAAGTGATTAGTTTGATTTTCGTTAGTTGTTTCGCGGAAATATGAAATCTTGTAATGATTGGAATTGCGAACTTTGAAACCTCTTATTCCCTATACAATCATTTACGATGATTCGTAAGATGACTAATTCTTTGAAGTTAATAAACTGTACAAAATCGTCATAAAAACATCCGTTATTTTCCTGTGACGCATTAAATTATAACTTATGAAAATTTAATAATTTCGATTTTTTTTTTGCTGTTGGATATTCCTTAAATTTAAAAATTCTTCCAATTAGTTGAAATTTCGACTATAATAAAGCGGGTCGGAGAATTTAATGATGATGAAGGGATATCATTCTCTGAAGTCGTAGTAACAGTTTGATGGACTGAATTAAATTAGCTTTCATCTAGTTGTCGTGTGGTCGACCCGAGACTGTAAATATTGCGGGGGCACTAACGTATCGTTATTCGACGGATGAGACAGTGGGTAATCAGCATATTAGACCGAGGACAGACTCGTGGTAGATGTCGCAACCTTCGCAAGACGATATGGCATATATATATGCATGCACATTGTCATATATTGTTGTAAGTGTAAGTGACATCCTAGACGTGCTATTGTAGCGGCGCGAACAATGCCAACGGACATTGTTATCTTACCAGAGAATGTGATTATATATGAAAAATAGAAAAAAACCAGAGGACAATATTGTCATTTCATTTAGTTTCCGCCTTTGATTTTTCAGAAAAAAAAATAAAAAATTTCCCTATAATGTGAAATTTCAGAAAATCTATTTCAACAAAATGGATCTTTTTAATACGATACTTCGAAAAAAAATTTATCATCTTTTAAAATGTGAATGAATTTTTAAATTGTTCTTTTTCGTTTGAATTTTATCAAACTTAAACGTTTTTCTGAGCAAGTACAATTTTCAAGTTTCCGTCAAAAACACTTGACAATGATAACTATAATATTAAAATGATGCAACTCTGTATAGTCGAAGGGCAGATGGTTTAATAACATATATAGCTGCAGGTTAGACTAGACCACAGGATGAATTTAGTGGCGGGAAGTGCCCTCGTTATAACACCAGTCAATTGTTTAATCTCGGTCTTGTTCCCTATACCTCACTTGTTGAAAACACTACTCCGTTCCATTCACGATTATATCACGCAAAATCTGCTATATCTCACTGTTTAGTTTCAACTTTGTTACTTGCTTTTTATTCTTTCTGTTTCTTTTGTTTAAAAAAATGGTAGACAATTTTTCTAATCTATATAGGTTTTTTTTTAAAATTATATTTTTTAATCTTAAGTACAATTATTGAGTTCTCATTCTTATTTTGATAACACACGTTAATGACTGCTTGGCAACTGATAGGAAAAAACTAAATAACCGAGTATTATTTTTTTTTAATTTCTTGGTTTTTCAACTTAAAATGTTGTTTCTGTTATTATATAATAATATTATTTTGTGTTTTTTATTCAACTAATGATGTTATTATAATGATTTCCGTTTTGTAGACAATGAAAAAAAAACTACAATTTGTGTAATAAACTATTCAAGAGTTTATAAAATTAATTTAAATATTTGTTTTTCAAAATATTTAAAATAATATTCTACTTGAAAATTTAGATAAGTAGTTTTTAACATTCATTTTGGAAATGAAATGCAGCACTTGAAAAAAAAAAATTTATAATCCGAATGATATAGACTCATAGTTAATTTATAAGTATGAAATTGATACCAAAATTATTAAATTAATATAATAATTTGAATCAATTTGATATTTTCAAGTTAACTAAGGTGACTTTGCAAAATTATTGAAGTACTTGAGGATCATTTAATACTTGCTAGTTGAAAATAAAACGGAAGTAGCTTGAGAGTTGTAAAGTTGCACCCAGCACGAAGTCTTTGTGTCCTATTTAAGATAATTTAAAGTTCTGTACCAGGAACTTAAGCTCCACAGTTGCAGAAAATTAATATATATATATATTATTGTTTCTAAAATTATTATTGTGTCCTTCATGAAGAAACTGTTTCCAATTGTTTAATTTTGCAATTTACTAAAAATTGGATCTATTATCCGTTTGTTCTCAATATCTTTTTTTGAAAACTAATTCTTTTTTTTTCCTCGGGCAAATTAAGATGAGATTTTCTTTTTTTTAAGGGATTTTATTTCTAAAAGCAAAATTTAGAAAAATGAAAAAATAAATTTAACTTACAATAATTAAACCTGCTCCTGAGGGCTATTGAATTGTGTGTGATGAATATTTTCCCTAACATCTATTACAATTTCTGGTCTCGGTGGTATTCTCGGTGGCGGTGGTGGTGATATTCTTAAAGCGTTTTCCTTTTTCCGATGCTCTGCACTACTTGACGGATCTTCTTCCTGCAGGACAAATGTTGTCCTTTTTTGCAGATCCTGTTTATTTTTATTTTTCTCACTAAGACTAGATCTTCTTGGAAGATGATGGGAAATTGAAGGCTCGTGTATCCTTTCCGGTGAGTCTGAATATTTTATCTGTCTGATGAAAAAGAAAAAATTTGTTATATTTTTTTTTTTTTATAAAAAAAAATTATATTAATATATCTAATCAAGTATTTTTAAAATAACAAACAATTGTTTCATAATTACTTTAATTCGAGTGTTGAATTTGATGATGAATTCTTCAAATTTTCATGATGACTATCAATTTTCACAGCCTCTAGTGTTGCCCTCGATCCTTCACGTTGAATTTTTTTCTCCTCCTTTCCATGAAGACTTGGTCTTCTATTTTTTCTAAGACTTGAATTAATATCCTCGAGGACTTTATCGTAATTTTCTTCACCTTGTTCTGTTTGATTCTTTGAAATGTAGGAAGAATTTCTTCCAAAATTCACTGGTTCTGGTGTCTAAAAAAGTTTTGTGTGTATTTAAAAATAGTATTGTGGAAAATTCTATATGGTTTTTTTTTTTTTTTTTTTATTTTGTCATTAAGGAAATAATTGGTACCTCGTCATGAGTGTAAAATGTCGCAAGCTTTTGATCATTTGGATTGTTTATGCTTTCACGTCTCGATGGCGAGTCATCAGGGCCAGTAATCATTACTGGAATTGGTGTAGGTGGTGTAGGTGCATGCATATGTAAACCTCCAGTGGAAGATGCCAAACTTGATCCGGAAGCGGAAGTTAAAGAACTGCTTGAATTATCACGATAGGCTGGAAATGTTCCCGTGCTGACGTGCTCTAAAATAATAAAACAAAAAATCAATAATTATTTCGATTAAATAGTATAATTAAATTTTTCATTATTAATTATAAATTTGCGATTAACAATTAATTTTATGGTGTCAGGATGTATTTAAAAAAAAAAAAAAAAAAAAAGAATAAGAGAAATGTTTATATGTTTAAGGAACTATTTGAACGATATACTTTTGCTTTCCTTATGTGAAGTGCTGATTAAGTAATTGTCGCGTGTTTTAAGGAGAGTATACCCACAGATTCAATAAACTCAATTAAATGTAATTGAGGTCAATTAACCCATTTCTCAACCTTTTGCAAGCTCTGGTCAAACTAATAATTCTTCTTCTGAAATGTCAAACCCTCCCTCTTTTAATCAAATAATAAATCATATGAGAAAACAAGTAGTGCAATCATCAATTTCTTCAAAGATTGGCTATATTTTCTCATTTGAAAATTATTTTTTCTCACTTTTTTATTAGATGATAAGAAAATTGTTAAATTAGCTTTTCAATTGTTATTATATAGTCAATTAACAAAAAAAAAAGTTTTACTTTAAAATTATAAGAGTATATTATTATTTATCCCTTTTATATTAATTGGGAAATAAATAAAAATTAATTCAATTTTAATTATTTCAATTAATAAATTTAAACGAATTCGCGCGAGATTTTCTTGTAATTTGAATTGGCATTGTTTCTAAAAATTTGGCATCACCTCCTTTTGCATGATGTAGAGCTCTAACTTGATCCAATTGCAGTGCTGAACAAAGTGGAGTATCCACTTCATAAGTATTATTGAAAAGTGTATAATTCACTTCATATTCTCCAGTTTCTTTTCGAAAATGAATTATATTTTCAAATCTATGGCCCCACAAAATTTCTGACGGAAGATAGGAACTTCTTGCTTGAGTTGTCATACCTGTTGACTCAATCACACCTGAAATATATCAACCATTAGTATCATTTTTTTTTCTAAACAAAATTAATGACTTATTTTTTAAAATTGTTTCTCTTTGGCAACGTACGTAAAAAGCAATAAAAATAATATTATTCGAAGGTTATGTCGCGGTTTAATTATATTAAAATGATAGTAATTTTATCTTGTTGCATTCCATGAATATATATATGTATATATTCTCCTCATATGGGAAAGGAGATTATGCAAACTTTTAATCAATAGCAATTATTATTCTATAAAAATGATTCTAAGTAGACAATTAAATATTCCACGACGAGTTTTATTTAAATTTAATTATCATCTTTTTTTTTTTTACCTTCTAACATTACGACAATTTCAAATCTCTCATGAAGCATATCACTTGCTGAGAGTCTATAGAGAGGTGAATTTTCATCAATTTTATGAACTATCGTCGTTGGCCAAATGAAGAAAATTTTATCTTCCTCTCCATCTCCACCGACTTTCAATTCTGTTTGAAAAAATGGAAGTGTCTCTCCTTCTCTCGTTACCTGAAATGATAATTTTCAAAATTAAGGATTTTCCACGAGAACAATTTGAATATTTTTTCACGCACGGACAGAATTTATCGGTTTTCCATAGAAATGTCAATTAATTAGAAATTTTTTTTCTAAAATAGTTATTCACCTTCTTTCTGATCATTTGTGCTCTGACGTGAGCTTCTATAATGTGACTTTTCCTCATGTCACCAACTCGAAACATAAGACAGGGTTGCCCATCTCTTTGGCAAATAACAGCATTTCTTGAAAAAAGTAACGTTTGCGTTCGTTTTTTCGGTCTTGACAATTTAGCAAAAACAATGCCCACCATAAAAGCTTGTAGAATCACTCCAGTCATTGATTGAATGCACATAATAAAAATGGCCTCTGGACATTCTTCAGTCGTGTGTTTTGAACCATATCTGAAATACAGAGATTAATTTTTAAACTCAAAATTCTTTAAAATTTTTGGTATTTTTTTTTTTTTTTTTTTTTTTTTTTTTTTTTGAAAACTTACCCGATTGTATGTTGAGTTTCGACGGAAAATAAAAAACAACTAGTAAATCCATGAATATCAACCACACACGGTGTGAAAGAGATGTTGGGATTATTGTAATTCTTGGGGTCGAGATCACCATGAGTGTAAACGATGAGCCACCAAACGAGGGCAAAACCAAGCCATGACAGTAGAAAATTCATAGAAAATACCAAAAGAGTCCAGCGCCATTGTGCGTCTACCAATGTTGTGAAAATATCCTGACAATGTGTAATAATTTTTTTTTCATCCTCTAACATTTTTTAACAAAAAAAAAATTTCCAAATTGTTTTTTTTACAATTGTTTTTATTTCTACTTATTACACAGTAAAAATGATAGTCTATTTTGAATATAATCAGCTCATATTTAAGAATAAATAATTTTTTATTCTATATATAATTAGAATATAATATTCTGAAATTAAGAATACTATTTTTAAAATTAGAATATTTAAAAAATTTACAAATATATTCTAATTTTTAAAAGTAAAATACATTTTATATTTTTAAATAGTAGCCAAATATTCTTTTAAAATATTGTCTTTTTTCTGCGTAAAGAGTAGTAATTTTATTTTTAAATTTCATCTTTGAAATTTGATTATTTTTATATTGAAAAAAAAAAAAAATTGAAAATTTGTCCAAAAATTTTCAAACGTTTGATTAAATATTTATTAAATAAAATGTCTAGAATATATTTTAAAAATATTTATATTTTGCTCAAAGATTTAAAAAATAATTTTTATTTTTTTAATTTGTAACTTTTTTTTTAACAATTGTTTGAAAATTAATAATGTATTCTCATTTTGTGTTGAAACAATGCAAACTGCATTCATTACTCATGTTCTGACTTGAAGCCAAATAGAAGACACGTGTTGCACTTGTGCATAGATACTTAAAAGTAGACTAGGTGTTATTTGTTTCTTCAAGAATATGTTTTTAAATATTAAAAAAAAAAAAAAAAATTATGTATATAATTCTTATATATATATATTTTTTTTAAACACTTTTTAAAAATCTTTGATTTATCTTTATAAATAGTAGTAACGATTCTAGAATATTAATATACGGTTCAAATAATTTACATTGATTTAAAAATACCTGTAAATAGCGCCTTCGTCTTTTTGCAACATTTCCTTGAACAACATTACAGTCCCCGTGTTTAAATACCACCCTTTTACGAAGCCGTTTTGAGCTGAATTTTGCATGTTTGTATCTGAAAAGTATTGAATATATTAGTATTTTATAATTATTTAATTTAATTATTTATTATAATTTAATTATTTAGGATTTGACATTTTTTTCAATTTTAACAAATCTTACATTAAAAAAAATTTTTTTTTTTAATATTTTTTTTCTAAGTAATACTGATTATTCAGTACTAATTATAGTTACTAATTAAATTAGTTATTATCTAATTAAGTAACGCATAAATAAAATTATCACCATGTGTTTTTAATTAATATATATTAATAATTTTTGAAAATTTCTTGTTTACTATATTTCTATAAATATTGCGTCTCGAACAACAAAATTCACAGACATTTGAACGAAATGGTTAAAAGTCGTTTAAATTGGTAAAATTGTCTGTTAGAAAATATAATTGAGATAATGTCAAAAAGGAAAAGATATGAAAGATTTACAATCCAGACGTCTAGTTTTCTTGTCAAGACACAAAGCAAAACAGGGCAATTTGCCAAGTAACATTTGAGCGGAAAAACTATCGAGAAGCTGCCAGTAACCAAATCCTAGGTCAGGGACATTAGTGTTTGATTTTTATCTTCTAATTCGCTGTAGATCATTTCAAAGTGCATTTAACAATTGTTTAATTACTTTTGAAATTTAATCCCAACTTTCTAAATCTGAATTATTAAAAATTTTAAGTTATTTCAATTAGTGACTTATTTTACAATAAATTAGTCAAAATTTACTAATGAATTACCAAAAAACAAAAAAAAAATGTAGAGATTTTCTGAAATTTCGGTATATTTGAAAAAATCTAGTTTTTAAATAACTTATTGGACGTAAGATGAAAATTGCCATCTGGTATAAAGACATTATTTCATCTTTCTGCCAAAGACAAGATTTTTCTTTAGCAATTAGTGAATTTCAACTTGACATTTAAGTTATGCAGAAAGCATTAGCATTTTCTGAGAAAGAGAGAGATAAATGTTACTATATGAAACTTCATTCTTCAATTTCATTCAAGAAACATAGTAATATAAATTTTAGTGACATTTTATGAAAATGTTTATTTTTAAGTAATTTAAATCTTTATTTTTGTACATTTCTATTTCTAAATTTTTATTTCTTTGATTAATAGCTAGTTTATACAAAGAGTCTAAAAAGTGTCTTCAAATACTATTTTTGTACTCCTAATAAATTTGTCTAGCGATTATATAGAAATGTCAAATTTAAGAATGATTGGTTTGGAATAAAAAATAAAATTCACAAAAATAGCAATAATTTTAAAAATTGAGACAAATTAGTTTTTTAAAAAAAAAATTTTTATATCAGTTATATATTTTCTTTAAAATAGAAAAATTTACATTACATTCTCATAATTAACTTGACTAATCATGTAAGCCAATTAAATAAAAAATAATTTATTAACATAATATATTGAATTAAAATACAAATAGATGATGTATTGGTTGGTACGCGTTCCAAATCCACGTTTCGCATTCGTTGACCCTGACACGTTCATCTAAGTTGAAAATAGATTTAAATTTCTTTTAAAAAAAATTGTAAAATTGCATTTTAATTATTTTTTTTTTACAATACCGCAAACGATTTTTTTTTATGAGAAGAATTAAAAATTTTTAAAAATGTCAATTATTATAATAACAATAATTTTAATTAGAAAACCAAAATGGTTTATTAAAATTTAATTAGTTGTTCTTCTTCGCTCAAAAGGGAGAAAATTTTTTTAGTTTTTTGAAAAGCATTCATTAAAATTGAAATATTGTTAAATGTTTTTTGCATTCTAGGAAATTATTATTTATTTGCATTAGATTATTGATAGTCTTGTTAATTTATTTAAAGACGCACGCGATCCTATCAAACTTATTGAAACCTTACAATTTAGTGAATCATCATTGATAAGAACGTGAATGACGAAGTAAACGAGTACCAGTTTGTAGACATATACATATATAAAACTGTGTAATTATTCTTTTAAATAACATACATTACTTTACACTTTTTTTTTACGAACGATATAAAGAAAATTTTTTGAAAAAAATAAAATGATTTATGCTATAATAGGTTTTCAAGTTGAGAGAATTTTATTACTGGTCAATCACCTCAAATTTTAGTATTTTTATAATTATAATCGTATTTTTCTCTAGTTTTCTATAAAGTTTAAAAAAAAATGTAATAATCTTAAACAATTTTATATGAGCTTTCAATCATACTTTTGTGAAATATAAAAAAATGAGGTTTATTGACCTCCGAGAAAATGGATCCATAAAAATAATTAAATTTTTATGTATAATAACAAAAATAAATTATTTTATCATGAAAATCTAATATGACTGATAATATATGTATACATAAATATTATCTGATATTTTTGGTTTGCAATTTTGGGACAAACTTATAGTTATTGAAAATGAATGAAAATTAGAATAGAATGAAAATTTCTTATATATAATTATAGTGTTCTTAAGAACATGTTTAATTGAGGACAAATGAATAATCAATAATAACTCAATTTATTTGATATATAAACTTTCTATTAATATACACGTGATAAGTATTTCTGTAATCACTTTGATTGTACGAACTAATTTAATAGACACGATAGTTATTTTAAATTGAGCAAAAACTTAATTGTATTGATTCATAGCTTGACTTACAACGTGATCATGTGAGTCAGATCATTAGCGCATCCTTTTAATTATACGATTAATCAAGTGTATATGCACATTTTATATTCAATTTAATTTATTTAAAAAAAAACAATTAAAGAAATCTGAATTTTTATTTAATTTTTTAGTAAATTTATTAAAATAATTTTATACGTATGGATAATATTTTAGTATAACAATAATAAAACATTATGTAATAATTTGAAAACAAGTTCAACGCCTCCAAAAATAAAATTCATGACCCCGAGATATTTAATTTTGCTCCAGTCCATCGACTCTCTCAGACAAAATTCTAAATTTGATCTCAAGTTTTAGCTTGGGTCTAAAACACCCGTTATGAGTTGCTCGAAATATCACTCTACTTTGCTAATTTTAGTACTGCAAACTTGAACCAAGAAGTCTTCTTGGAGATGAAACAAAAACGTATAAAATTTTTTTTTTTTTTATCTAAACCACTAAAAATAATAAATTTTCTGTTATAGGCGGGAACTTGCGTACTTGATACATTCTTCGCGCCAAGCAGATTCCCCGGAAGTAGTGGCCTTCACCACAAGCATGGACACCTGGGAAATCGCTCTTCGAAGGCCAGAAAGTCCATCACCAAGGTGAGTACCCTTTGCAGTCTCTGACTGGCGTTCAATGACATCTCTTGCCATATGATCTTCCATTTTCAATTAAATAATCTATTTCATTTCTTTCTTTTTTTTTAAGGGGAAATCTTTTACGGAAATTGTCCTCGATAAATTGTTTTTTTCCCCCTTAAAAAAAAGCAGATGTTTTTGGACCACTTTATCTTAGCATGTGCATTTTATTTCTGTCAATTCTTGGAACGGATTGCTTTTTTCGTAAATGCAAATCTGGATCTTTTAATTTTTATTTAAAAAAAAAAAAAACGTTTTCACGCTTTTGAGACACTCGCGAATATTGTAAGAGTTCGAGTATAAAGACAGACTTTGATTTACTAATGGTCAAACCTCGATTCTCTAAAATTAGCGGTCCTCGCGGTTAGTAACAAAATGGCGGAAATGAGACCTCTTTAAGGAAGACTCGAGATAGGCGGCGATCACTTAAATTTAGATTAAATGCAAATATCCTCTTGTCTTCCATATTTTAATCTTTATTTCCATTGTTAGAGCCAAATATCGCAACGAGTCCATAGCCAAAGGAAAATCCAAATCAGTCGTTTGCACCACATTCGGCGTCTACAAACCCAACGCGATTTCTTTATTTATATTTCTCTTTCATTCAATTTCTTTTCTATTCTATTTTTAATATATATATTAAATTTTAACTATTTAATTATAAAATTTGAGAAATATTTTAAATCTTTTATCTTTCAAAATTTGACAAGATATATCAATAATTTTTAATTTTTCCTTTTGGAAGTGTTTCAATTTTTAAGAATCGGGGAAAATTCTTGCAAAGATGATTTGAAATTTACATAAGGAATGTTTTTTTTGTGTGTTCTTGATTTGAATATCTTGGAAATTTGTAAATAAATTTTTAATTGTTTCACTTATATTGATTTTTAAAGATTCATATTTTATAATTACAAAATTAAATTAAAGACGAATTAAATATTGATATAAATTTTGGAAATGTTCAGCATATCTTCACGAAAATTTAAAATATTTATAACCTTCAAAAAATTTATAATTCAAAACTAAAAGTATGTATACAGGACAAAATTTGACACTGCACTTTGATGTTCTTGATTCAGAAATAGAAATTACACTCAGTTAACGAAATTGGAAACAATCTTGGCTCCTAGTGAATTTTCAGAATTGAATTATAGCACTTGCAGATCAATTTAAATCGACGTAAAATCATTTTAAATTATATTGTTGTTTATTGCCCACACTCACTTGAAAGATATTTTATTAAAATTTTTTGTTTTCTTTTTTTTCTGGTCTACTGTTTACTAGATAAAATTTACTAACTATTAGAATTTATTTGAAATTATTAAAATTGAATTTGAACGCGACATTGATTTAGAGAAGGACATTTCTAACGAGCGCGTCGCTAATTAAACATTAACTAATGAACTAAAGTCTGCATGATTCTGTGTGATCCAATTTTGGCTTTTGGCTTACCACACGATTTTCTTTTATCAACTGTGCGTCATACTGGTATTTGAATCAGGGGATAAAATCATCTAGTTATACCAGATGGAGCTTTACAAATTTCGGGCATACATTTATTGTTTTGGTTGTAATTTTTAAGGAGCCATAATCAATTTTTATCTGATTGCGCATTTTCTTATTAATAGATTTTTTATCTGTTCTTAAAATTTTATTAGTTTAACTTCCTTTAGGAATTTGTTATTAACTATTACTAATATCGATTTAGATAACTTTTAATATTTTATCTAATTATGGATAATTTATTATTTAGAACAAATTTTTGTCTGGATATTAGAAAAAAATTATTTTGAGAATTAAAAGTCATAAAAATGAATTACTTCGATAAATGTATATTATATTTTGACAAAAAAAAAAATCCGACACATTATCGAGAATCTATTTTAGTGTGAAAATTCGAGTATTGTAATCCAGATAGTCATTGACGTCATAATTTTGTCTAGGAGTGTTGCTTAAGTTTTTCTATTTTTGATAATGAAGCGTTTAAAATTTTTTTGTAATATTTAGTTTTATTTTTTATGTCTCCTATTCTCAATTAATTTCATCTGAAATACGTTGTTTTTAAAACTTTTGTTAATATTTATTAGCGAATTTAGCTTTGAATGCATTTACTACAAGTATTATTGACAGAAGGTCTAATAAAATTGACTAAAGGAAGTGAATCTAAATTCTAACTTAAATATGCAATTTTGACATTGGAAATCAGTTTTCCGTTCATGTTTAGTCTACAAACGTAAACTTGACATTCCCCTCACAACGTTGTGTTTTAATATCTAAAATTTTCATTGGTTAAAAATATCTTTAATTTATACAATAATTTTGTTTATTAAAATCAACTATAAATAGTTCAATGTTTCCTTACATAAAATTCATATTAAAATTATACGATTCCTTTATTATATTAATTCCAGAGAAAAGTTTTGTTTGAAACAAAAATATTATAGCTAATAAAAGGCTTTATTATAGAACAGAAGATAATTTAATTCCGAAAGTATATTAAAAATAAACACAAAATTTGTTGCTTAAAGAAATATTAATTAATTTATTAGTATTAAATTAAACTTATTTTTTTGTTACTGAACTCGATCACATGATCCTTGATCTTCTTGATCTTATTATATTACAATAAAGGAAACATTTGCTTGGTATGCAAATTATTTAAAAACTTAAAAAACAATTAGTTAGAGAATTAATTTTAGTTTCTAAAAGATAATTATAATTACAGTTTTTACTTAATTAGTGGTTGCTTAATCTGATATATTTAAAGTCTAATCGTTAAATAAAACAATATAACTGAAATTTTAAAAAAAATATGATAGAACTAAAATTTAATGAGCCAAAAGTTTTGAACGTTCAAATGAACGAAATATTTTTTTTCAATCTATAAATTATTAAAAATTATGATGTCATTGTAAAATAAAAGAGTAAATTAAACAATTATTAAATTAAATAACTTCTTTTTAGATTTTTAAAACAATATTTTATAATAAAATTCGTACTTAAAGAAGTTGCAAAAAAAAATTTCGTTCATTTGAACGTTAAAAACTTTTGGCTCATAAAATTTAAAAAAATATTAATTTTAATTGAGGTAACAAAGCTGTATTAAAAATATTTTTTCTTTAATTTTTATTATAGTACAAATATCAAACTATTTTTACTTGTCAAATATACATCAAAAATGAAATATCTACTTTTATGCGGATTTATCCTACATTACGATTTATCGAAGGTCTAGATTTCTCGATATGTATAGTAGGAAGAATTAGAAATTATATAACTTTAACATAACATCAACACCTAAACACAATTAAATTGATATAATCATACTTCTGAGTTTACGATAGTTCTAATTTAGTATTATAAACTGAATAACTTAAGTGAAAAAAACAATGTCAGTATTTATAAAAACTTGTTAATCATTTGAGAATCAAATTTTACTTTTACTTGTAATTTTATTTTTTTGTTTTTTTTAAGCAGTCAATATTAAACATACAGTAAAAATGAAAATAAAGTTATAAAAATTATTATTTGTTTTCTAAGATAATTTGATAACTTTTTGAAAATTAAGTAGTTTATATAGAAAAAAAAATTGTCAATCATTTTATTTCTAAAATTAAATTGCATTTCTTACTGTAAAACATTTCTAGAAAAAAAAAGTATTTTATATTAAAGAAATTATTCAAAGTAGTACAAAAGATTTTTAGTATATTTTTAAAAAATTATTCTGTGTTGTAAATACTTTTATAATTTTTTAAATATTCACGATGCACTTTAAAAGAGAGAAAAATTTATTGAGAGAAATATGAATATAATTTTTTAACATTATCTCAGACTATTTAATTATTTTCGAGTATAAATAAACAAATATATAAAATTTACAACTTACAATTCTTCAATGCTTGCTCTAATTTTCCATGGCATTGCTTTTTTTTTTTTTTTTTTTTTATTCAGTTAAAAGTTAATGAACTGACTTTAATTTCACGGTCATGGTAAATTTTTTTTTTTTTTCCTACAAAACTACAAGTTTGTCCGACAAATGTCGATGACAACCTACACGTAATTATTCTTATCAGAGACTAACGTTTTTCTCTTTAAAATAGTGAAAATTAGTAAATCGACTTTAGAATACTTTTTATAACAAGCTTGTCCCTCCACTTTATGTGCGCCTAGTATAATATATTTATTTTTTATTTATTTATTTATTTATTTATTTAGAAATCATTTTTTTACACATATGTAAAATAAATATTTAATATTTAACTTAAGTTTTTAAAAAAATAAATAAAAATAATTATTTTTTCTAAAAGGAAAATAAATTTTTTTTAAGAGGTTAATAGTACTTTTCCTGACTTTGCGTGTGATTCTATTTAGTAGGCGGTGTAATTGGCTTTTAGACGTTTAGGTATAATCGGAAAAAGAGGAAATTATTTTCTACCACTTTTAATAATGAAAGTAGAACGAGTGTTCAAAAAAATTTTTGAACATCATTTCAAGCAAAACATCTGGAATATAATATATTTTTTTCTTCATTCAAAAATTCTTTTTTTAATTAATTAGAAGGAGAAGAAAAATTGCTTTTACTTTTCAAATATGAATAAGGAATTAATTTAATTTGTGAAAAATCTTTAAATTAAGTTACTTCATTTACTTATAAATGTCTTTTGAGAATTTTTTTTATTTACTCTATGTATTTAAATAACATATATATTTTAAAAGGTTAGTAGTAGTTATTTTAAAAATAATTTTTTGCTACGTAATTTACTATGCGAAATTGTATATTCTGTTATTATCTTTATTTTACGATAAGATTCACGCCTTTAGTCACTATCAACGTTTATAAAAAATCTTTATCCGAAGTTCCATATGTTTTACTTTTATAAAAGAGTTGTCCCCAATTTTTGAAGGCCAATTTGTCATTGTGTTTATTATAAATATTCAATTGGGAAAATTTTTACTTTGCATTTTATTTTAATTTGTTGAATATTGCAATGAGTATTAGTAAAAAAATTTTTCTAAAATGGTAATAAATTCTTAACGAATTTTTATAATAAACCTTTTATTAAGATCCTTTGAAAATTGAAGATAATTAAATTTCCCTTGTAAAATGGAATATTTTTAAAAAGATAAAAAAAAATCTTTAATATTGTCACTGACAGTAAATTAATATTTTTCTATTTTGAAGAAAATAAAAATTATATTTACTTTGCTAATAATGGACCACCTTCGCCCTTAAAGCTGAGTCTGCTAAATGTTCTTCTTTGAAAGCTATTGAACACTCCAAGTTTATTCTTATCATTAGAATCCTTTATTGTTTCATCAGGTGAATCTTCGCACAATTTGACGGCAACTGCTGTCGCAGGAACTGTCGAATTCGCTAATAATTCATTCCATGGTGATGGTGACTTTTCATGTACCTCGTCTTCATTTATTTTTTTATTAATGCTTGACGAGGATCTTTTTTGCGAAATCGGCATCTCCTGTGCAAACTTATTGAATTTTCTATATATTCTAATCTCACTGACTCATTTTATTTCCGCTCGTTTTTATTTGATTTCTGATATATTTTTACTCTCCCTACTCCTATTAAAACTCTTTCATCTGCGCGCGAACTTTACCAATTTTTTTTTTTTTTATTATTATTTCTCAATTTCGAGGAAATAACATTTTTCGCTTTGATTTAATTGATCTTTCTTTGCATCAATAATCAATTTTTTTGTCTATTTTGGTTTTTAAAATTCTTTGCAAAATTTTTTTTTTTTTATTATTATATCTACTAATTATAAATTATATACTTTGGTATAATTATCAATTCAATAATTATAGGAACTTGAAAAGAAATTCTGAGGTACTCGAGTAACGCAAATTTATTAGAATAAATTATAGTCTTAGCTTAAAATTGCATTTGATATGTAATCAAATTGCAATTATTCAAATATTGGTATTTTAATATTGAATATAAATATTAAATATCACTATTATAGTATCACTATTAAATATTAATGTTAAACATTAATATTATTATTTCTTAAAGTATTCATATATTATTTCCGTGCATTCGAGTAATTATCATTTCCTTGTATTTGAATAATTAATAATTCTTTCCTAGTATTCAAATAATTAAATATTTCTTTCTAATATTAAAATAAACATGAAATATCGCTTATTAATATTCAATTAATCAACAATAATCAATCAATATTAATCATTAATATATATATATATCAATGATTAATTATTAAATATTAATCACTGTTTTATGGCTTTAAAAATGAAAAAAAAATATTCTATATCCTCAATCCATTGGCTAAATATTGCAAATCTTTAAAATATTCCATATGACCAATAAGTTATCAACTTCGGAGAAAACTTCCGTTTTAATCATTCAGACGATATCCTTATCTTTAGCAAGAAGATAATTGCGATTCAAAGTGTAAAATTTCTCTTAATCAATTTTGTCTGATGATATATTTTTTTTTTGTTTTTATTGCAACTTGTATTGAAATGATAATCTTTATAGATTCATAAAAATGCCTCCGTGTTCTTGACCTCGTAATTGCCTTTTGTATTCCTGAAGTTTCGTATTCCTGAATACTCAATCACATTTTCCGGTTCGATTATTTCGTGATACAATATATACTCCATGATCAATTGTAATAAAATCACACTTTGACACCAATTGTTTTTTTTTTTAAATAAATATTCATTCATTCATTCATTAACTTCTAGTCTATTGACTTTTGATGATGATAATGTTTTTGTACAGCTCCGAACAAACAAGTATATAAAAACGTAGAATTTAATAACTTTTGGAATGCTTCACTGATTATTTAAATAAAAATATACGCCATTTTCTTCACATAAATAAAGAAAACAATTTATTGCACGATATGTTTTTATTACGTAAGATTATTATTCTTTCAAGTTCATACCACGATGTCGCAGATTTGTTATTTATTAAAATTTTCTTCTTATCGTTTTTTTTTTTTTTAAATATATTAAATTAAAATTTATTGGAAATCGATTTCATTAAAATTTCTTTTTTAATCACTTATTGCCTTTTATTCACTTGAAATTTAATAATCGCGATTTAGAAAAATTATATTTTGTTTGGTTTATATAGTTGATTTTTTGTCACTTTGGGAGAGTTTTTTTGTAACTTGAAATTTTTTTTTGCGAATTGAATGTAAAATTATATAAACTAAATTGAAAAATAATTGAAAAAGCACTATTATTTTTTTTTTTTTTGAGAAATTAAAGTTTCCTCGTGTTTCGGACGAGTGTTCGAAACCTGTCAACGCGAGAGCTACTTCTGAGATTGCGGACGCCGGTATAAGCGAAAATAATCTACACACATTATAACGTACACGAGCGTTTTCACACCCACATGATGCAAAAAGACACTCTTGACACAAACACATGGAAAAATTCCCCACTCAAGTAAAGTCTTTCACACACTATTATAAAATAATACAGATATATATATACGCGTGCAGAAAACAATTTGAGTCAAAGTTTCATTTTAAAAGAGAATATAAAATTATTTTTAAATAAAAATACACATTTAGAAAAAAAATTATTTTTTAACACAATTTCAAAGTGTTCGCAGTGTGATCTATATTTCATTCTTGTTTTCTAGAAGTTTTTCGCTAATAATATACTTTTAGTTGATAACATGGGATATAGAACTTTTCTTTTTTATTTTGCCGTTTGTAATATTAATTATTGAAATAATATTTTTTATAGTGAAATTAAATTTTCATAAATCAAAAAAAAAAAAATCAGCACTTAATTAACATTTAATTGTGATCCATTTCTTTTTATTTGTTTGAAATAAAAAATTCTTTGCTGTTAAGAACAAAGAAACAATTTTTTTAAATTAAAAAAATAATTATTTGGATAAATTTATATATCCATCGTGTATTATATTACAAAAAGTTTATACAATTTTTGATTTTACTAAAATTGTAAACAAACAATGAATAGCAAGTTTTGCAAGTCAATAATGTGGAGGAAATTTTCAAAATTTAAAAAAAAAAACAATAAATAATTCAAAAATTTTACTTTCAATATCAATTGATTTAAAAATAGTCAAATCATTAGAATATACTACTATCTATATGTAAATGACTAATTCAAAAACACGTTTATTGCATTGTTTATGCAATTCCTTTAATCTTCACTTTTTTATGTTTCCGTATTTGATATTATGCCAAGATATATTGCGAATACATTTTCTTTCTCTGATTATAATTTTCTTTTACTAGAAATTATTTTATAAAAGTTAAAAAAAAAATTTTAACAGTAATACAAATAATTAATTATTAATATAATTAATAAAATATTTTTAATTTAATGACAAATTGTTATTAAAAGAAAATTGAGACAAAAAAAAATGAGTCTTATTGAAAAATATTTTATTATATTATATCAATTATTTACATATATATATATATGTACAAACTTATGTAAATGTAACATAATTTATATTTGTGAAATTTACAATTTTCTCTAAAATTTTTTAATATTCTTTCATTTTTTTGAAAGATCACGACATCGTAGTTCCATTTCAAGAAAAGCCCTCATATTTGGATCTTGCACTTTTTCCATAATAATTTCTTTAAAATTCTTATCACTTTCATTTAAAAGTTGACTCACTTTTTCCGCGTACTGTATCCATACACAATTTGCACAACCAGACATGCAGCATGTTGTTGGAACTTCAATTTCCTCCCATGATGAAAATGAATGCGATTGCAAATATTCTAATTCTTCTTCTTTTGTTCTTTTTGGTTTTTGTGTATCATTATCATTTTTATCGGAGAAATTTAATCGATTCAATTGGAGCAATTGTTTTTGACAAGTGTATAATTGTTTTTCCAAAAACAATCGTCGAAAAGCAATCCAGTTTGTCATTATGTTACAATTGTTATAATTACAATTGAAATTTTAAATAAAAACAAAAAGTTATCAATGTTATTGACAAATGTCACCTGCTTCTAGTCCACGTGATGATCATGCCAAAAATCTGTCATCTACAATGTTTATCTCCTAAATCTTTGATAAATTAGGTTTATATTAATTATAATTATTAATTACCGTTTGAGTCGAAGATATTGTGATTGATCGCAATTTTTTTTAAATACTGCACAAATTGATAATATCATTTTTAACTACAGTGTTTTTTAACCTTGTTGATGTTTTCAAGATCACATTTTTTTATAGAACGGTGAGTGACATTAGACACTTTTCAAGATCACAAAAGCGCTTGCGCAACATTGATCTTTCGTCTCTGAGAGGCAAATTTTAAATTTCCAAGAACACTTATTATTACTGTTTTCAAAAAATTATTTTTTATATTAAGAAACTCTATTAAAAGATTAGAAAAAATCAATAGAGGAAATTGTTTCTCATTTGAATTATTTTTCCATTATATTATTATAAACCATATTATAATAATTAACGATATTTTTAAACACGCGGAATAAATTTTAACACATTCGACTTTTAAATGAATAAAAAATACATTCTAACTTTTTGTTACAATTGATACGAAATTGTTACAGAAAATTTGAATTTAAATATTTTCGCGCGTTTCAGATGAGCGCCGCCAATGTCAGAAAGTCTAACTATAGTCGCGCGCGCATCACACTTCCGTCAGTTTATATTTTGATCTCAAGTGAAAAGCATGTGTTTATCAAAATATTCTTATTGAAATTTATAAAAATAAAAGTTTACAATAAAAAATGGGTCGTAAAATACCTGGAAAGAAACATCATGGAGTGAAAGACCCATTGAAGCAACAGGCAAAACGCTTAGATGAGTAAGTATCGATTTAAACTTTTATAGGTTAAGTCTCACGTGTTTTGCATTACATTTTTTGAATTTTCAGTAAATTCTTTTACTATTTACAGATTAAAAACAAAAATAAATGCACCTCCCAAAAATGACGATGAACAAGGATTACCTAAAAGTCTTTTACGTGTTATTGATTTAAAAAATAAAGTCAAGAATGGTAAAATAGTGAAAAAGAAGAAAAAAAAATCAAATCGTGGTTTGATTACTCTTGGAGCACAAAATAATAAATTACCACATCCCAAAGCAAGACCCGAGAAAGCAATTCCTATATTTAATCAAAAATATGGTGAAACTCCTGAGGCTTTTCTAAGACGAGTTAATCGGGAAACGGAGAATTTTTTACATGAAACTCAATTTGAAAATAAATATAATGTTCAAGTTAAACGAAATACGGAAACAGGAGTAATTGAAGGTATTGAAAAAAGGCCTAAAGATGAAATTGAGGAAATATTGAAACTTAAATCGAAACATAAAAATATAAAAAAGAAAAAGAAAGTCAAGAAACCCGAAGATGAGGTTAAGTTAACAAAAAATCAAAAAAGGAAGAAGAAACTCGAAATGAAAAAAGACAAGAAGTTGCAGGATGATATAGATGAATTTAAAACATTTCGAGATAATGTTGCATTTGGTGAAGTTGCACATGCACCGCCAGAATTAAAAATTCATCCAAAGAAGATTAATAAAAGCGATAGTGTCAGGGTAAGAATTCTTTATTGATATGTAAAGCAATAATATAAAATTTTAATTAAAAAAACTTTAGAGGCATTTAAGATTTAAATTGACTTTTTCAGCCTGGTAGGAAAGATTTGTTATTAAATTCCATGCTTGATGCAAATAAAAATCAACAATCAGAGCTTGTTAAGAAAAATATCAATAGAACCGGTAAGAGAAAAGATTTGCCAGTAGGAGAGAGAGTTCGATTGGAGAAACAACAAAATGATGCAGTTGCTGCTTACAGATTATTAAAGTCTCGTAAACAAATTTAAAACCTTAGGAAATTGGTAACTAAATTTATATATTAAATAATAGAAATAAAACATTTAAACATTAATAAAAAAAAAAATAATAAAACCGATATTTTCAAACAATGATTTATTTTTATTTTACAATAATTTAAAAATAAACTAGAAATAATGAATAAAATTAATGTTTGTACCTTTTAATATCTTTTATATTGAAAGTTACTATTTTGCAAAATAATTTAAATAAACATTTTAATAAGACTAATATTTTACATTAAATAGAAACAGTCTTGAGGAATTTAGTGTTTTGAAATTAAAAGAAAAATATGAAACACTATAAAAATGAACTTTTATCCTGTTGTCCAGACGAAAGGTTCCAGCCTCTCTTCAATTGGTAGCAAATTATTTAACGTCTCTAAACTCTCAAGCGTCTGATTAAGTTGCATATGGCACTTTGTGAGTTGTCTACTGAGCTCATGAATTTTTCCCAATTGTTCAGCGAATTTTGCAAATTTCTTTTGTCTCTCAGTTGCAATTCCCAAAAGTCGCGTCACTTCTCCATCAACACTTGTGCACAATGCAAGTTGTTCACTTGCAACATATTGAGCACTATTATTTAAATGATGTTGATATCTTGCACATAAATTAAACAGTCCAATTGGATCTAATCTTTCCAATACTTCTGGATCACGAACTCCCGGTGGTAAATTAAGTGTACCTCTCATAATTGGTAGAAACATGGGTATTTTTAAAAGTTTCACCAAATCTGGATCCTTATCGGCTGTTGGATCAGATATTGCCGGTTTAACGACAACAATATTATGCACTTTTCTGTGTCCTATGCCACTAGTTACATTTGATTTTCGTCTTGTTACTTCTTGACCGACACTTTTTCCACGAGAAAGTTGTGCTTGCTTGTTGGTCATCTTTGGTGAATCGCCTATTGGTCTGTTCACTGTGTATGATATGTAAGGCAAATCAGAATCCGAACAAATACTAGGACCGGGACTTGTACATCTTGGTGGTGTATCCTCGGGAACTGTTTCCCTATTTGGAACACTTTTACCCCGTCGAAGTTGAGCTATTCTTGCTCTTGTTCCTTCTGCTCCCTGAGCACCACCTGCCTGGGCACTTTGCTCCGATCCCATTTCTTTTTTTTTTTTTTTTTTGTTGATTTTAATTCGTTTCACTGAAAAACATTAAATTTGATAAAATATAATTCGATATAGAAATGTAGGAAAATAAAAATAATTTCTGATATTAAAATGTTTTTGTTATTACTAAAAGAAATTTTATCTAAATTGTAAAATTTTTTTTAATTGATAGATAAGCTTTTTGTTTTCTGATTTTCGTGGTATTCACCATATTCAAATGGCTATTGATTCTTGAACAAATATGATTTTATGAATTTCATGATAAGGAGTAATTAAATAATAATGATTTAAGAATACTATTATCTGATAAAGGTCTGCTTACCTTCTTCTTGTGTTAAGCTGGATTCTAGGAAAGATTAATTTTATGATATATTATATGTACTAAGTTTTCCAGTTTGATTTGTGTCTGGAGATTTTGGTGCTTAATTTTGATTATTAGTTAAGTTATTCCTTTAGCGAATATCATTTTATTTGCTTTTGAGTTAGTAAACCCATTTTGTGGAACAAAAAAAAAGACTTTTTACTATTATTAAAAAAAAAAGAGAGAGAACTTGAGTTTATGTGCAATGTCAATAGTATACTTTTCTTTAAGCTGTCATTTCACATCAGCTGATTGAACTGTCAAAAGAAAGAGTGATATCTGGCGTGAATTTCTCGAAAGTCTGACGACGTTTTTGTCGGTAGCTTATCGATTCAAGTAGAATTCAACTTTATCATTTTATTTTTCTTTTTTAAAAGAAAATTTTTTTAAATCATCTCTTTTTTTAATTAAAAAAATATATATCTAACAAAAATTTATTTATTTATAATATTATACCTAATATATTAATAATTGATATTATTATTGTTGTTATATTTTTGGCATTATTTATGTATATAATTATAATAACATAATATTTGTTTATTCAATGAATTTTTTTTTTTGTTTCAGATATTATAAAATGTTTATCGAAGAAAATGGCAAAAATTCGTGTCTTCTACTTTCTAAAGAAACGAGTTACTCCATACATAAAAGGCGATGAACAACAGCGATTCGTGTAATTTCTTTTGAAGATTATCTTGATATGTGACGGGTCAAAGGAGATTTGGATTTAATCCCCTAATAATAGGAGTGACAAGTTTTTCTCAACAATAAGTAAGTCTTTTTCACATAATTAATGATTATTATTTTTTGCAAAAATTTCATATAGAAATTTTCGCATAATACTAAATAATTAAGTAATGAAGGCCTATTAAACTAAAAACCACAAATTTATTTTAATGGAAAAATTATTTTATATAACAATATCTATTAATAATATTTGTTAGTTTTAATTTTTTTGCATTATTTTTTTATTTACTTAATATTTCTTTTAGTTCAGTTTTTTTACGTGACAACGTCTTAGTCTAAGGTGTACATATTAGTACAGCGTTGACAGTATTTTAATTTTTCTTTTTGCAGATTCTATCCTCAATGATTTGTGGTGTCAAGTATTAAAGGACACAGAATTCATACAGACTTTTTAGAACTCGGTCTATTTTTACGGTTATTTTTCACATTTTCCAAATGGAAATTTAACTTGAAAGTATAGGGATCTCCGAGGGCTATTTAGTTTGAAAGAATACCTCTTTGAAGTTGAAAATTCGTTATTAAGGTAAATATTTTAATTTATTGGAAAAATTTTATTACAAAAAATTTAGTTGTATTTTTTAACGTGACAACGTCTTACTCCGAGGTTTAGGGAGTCAGAAATTTTTTTTTTATTTGATATATCTGCTAAATTTGTGAAAAAAAGTGATCGGTATATATAATACACTATTATATATTGCATCGTTTTGAATGCAGAGAATCGATCTGAACTTCACACGTGATTTTGTTCTGTATACCCGAACCATGTCTGTAAACTGACACGATAGGTACTCTCTATTTCCCAGGCATCAGATGCCATCGTTACATATACTCGCTACAGATAGACAGACCTTTCTCACTCATCCAACTCGAAGTTCACACGATAGTATCTATTTAAATTTACATTGTTTTGTTCCTCACGATGTGTCCTCTCAGTCTTAAATTCAATATTTGATTGTGACAATTCCAGGCTAAATTTTATCCCATCATTTTTCTCTTTTATTTTCATTTATTACATGTGAAAATTCATATATATTTTTCCGTCAGATCAATTTAAATTGTGAATTAAAATCGTGATACGAGTTAAAATGGAGTTTATTCAACTGAGAAAAGATCAAATTCTTTCATGGTGATTAGAGGGGCTGTCAGTTTCTCGTTTTCTTCGTTTCAAGCTGAAATAATTCTTTCGTAATCGCAAACTTTCTTTGCAAAAGAGAGATGTTACTAAGCAAGATTTAAGAGTTGTTTCAAATCAAAGTTGAGTTCTTAATGCATTTATGAATTTATCAACATTAAAGAAAAATAAAATAAAATAAGTTTGAAAAGGAAATGAATTTTTTCAAGAAAGTTTAGAATAATGCAATTAGAATAAAAAATGTATTAAAATATATAAAAATGATCTAAATTTTAAAAAGTGAAAGTCTAAAGTTTTTTATGACGAAAGTTTATTTTATATGAAGATTATTAAATGTGATTGAAGCGCTGAAAGGAGGGTCAATTTAAATTATGAATATCGACACAAAATTCAAGGAGAAACTGATAGAGTACCTGGAGAATTCTGATGCGATACTGCAGCCTCTCTTTCTCTCTCTCTCTCAGTAAGGCATGCAGATATAAATTTTCCATGATTTGCTTATATTTCGAGTTCATATTGAACAATATGGCTCAATTCCAATATTCCCGATATGCTTAGAATCTCGGATAATAAGAGAAATTCCAGAATTTTTTTTTTTTTTTTTCTTCTAGAGAAAATATTAAGGGCGCGTTCGAGTATAATACGTAAGCATATTTTAGATATCTTTTGACGCCCCCTCCCTTAAACATTAGTAATATTTTTTGTAGAAAATATAATATATTACGTAAGGTAATCTTTTATCCCTTCATATTATTCATATTCAGTAATAGAAGACAGTTGCAGTCAGACAAAACTCTCGCATTCTTGAAAAAGTATATCAGTGGTAAAAGTTTATTTCACTCACAAATCAGACAGAATATTTCAAAATATCTTTTAATATTAATATCAGTAGTAAAAATCAATTTTTTAAATACTTAAAAATCAATCACAAGAAAAACAGTACAATTCATTATTTATTATAATATTTATAACTAATAATTATTTATATTTTTTGTTGACATTTTTTATAAAAAAAAAAAAAAAAAATCACAATGATATATTGTAGCTTTTGATCTAGAAAATAAAAACAAAATTTGTTTTTAAAGTTAAAAATATAGGTCAAGAAATTTTTATTCTCATACATTTTTAAAACTTGAATCTTTAAAAGTAAAAGCATTGTTTTGTAATAGGGTGCTTATTCATATTTTATAACTAATAAATTTTTTATTTTTCAGTCTGTGTCCAAATAATAACTTGAAGAACAAGAAGGATGAGAACTAAGAAAAGCAGTCCCAGTATACTTCAATGCAACCATTGGTCCGACGTGGGATTCAACGATCGGTGAGTCCTTTTCTATTTAACCACATCCTTATTTGAGACAATTTATAAGTCATTTAAAATCAATTAGATTAAATTGATAATTAATTTTTTAACTATCATTCATAACTTATGAATTGATTTATATGAATCTAGAAATTAGGCAAAAATCAGGGATTTTTAAATAAAAATCTTCAAATATTAGGGAATGTTTATTAATTGACGTTTTATAAAATCAGGTCAAAGGAAATTATTAATCAATCCAAAATAATAATGAACTTATTTCTCATTTGATATTCAATATATTCGCCTAATTAACTGCTCAGAACGTTTAATGTTGCATAGTCAATCATCGTATGACTCTGTGACATCAAAATTCTACCAATTATCGCAAAAGATATGGTCTAATGAAAATGACATTATTGAAAATCAATTATTATTAGAATTTAAAAAGTTTGAAAATCATTTTAAGAAAATTGATTTTCTTTCTCATAAATAAAAGACATTAAAAAAGAAATAAATAACAGAATTAAAGGAATGTAGAATATAAAATAGATAGAAATTCAGAAATAAAAGAAAAAATAGCAATCGAATACAAAAATTTAATTATTTCGATTAGATTTTGAGAAGAATTTTGCACACAAAGTTTTTTTTTTTTTTTTGACTTTTTTCTTCTTTTTTTTGCAAAGACTGGAATAAAAGACTCTGGTCGTACCTTTGAAGTAGCAATCTGTTGATAAAAATCATCATCAAACACATTGAAAGCGCAGCGTCGTTGCATTAAATTTAAATTGCTCATATACTGCCGTAAAGCAGACTTACATACGTTTAATATGAGTACACTCAAAGTTTAGACTTTCATCATCAAAAATGATTCTGAGATTTCTTACGTTGTATTTTATCAATCCTCACATTGCGAAAAATATACGTAATACTAATATTGCTCAATCTATTTCCTCGAAAAACAAAAGTAGTTCATTAATATTTCAATTGATTTAGTTATTATTTAAATTAATTTTTTTTTAAATTAAAAATAATCTATTAAAACAATTCTAATCTTTGTAGAAGATTATTGAAAACAAACCTTATTTACTTAAAATTTGAAATTAGTTACTTTAAATTAAATTTATTTCAATGAATAATGAAAAATCAAATTTAAAAGAAACTTATTTTCCATAAAGAATTCTTCGTAAAATCTAAAATTGATTATTCATAACGTAATTATTTAAAAAATATTGAATCTTAGAAGTATGAAAATAAAATTATAAAATTGAATTTCAACAATTTTCATTTTATACATTATATAAAATTAATGATCAACCTGGAAATTTCGTTTTTAACCTTTCAAAGAAGTGAACCGGAAAGGAAAGATAAAATTTAGTAATTGAGTTATTTAATTACTATTATATGAAAATTTAAAGACTTACACTCTATGTTCACTTTTAGAAATGCAATTCTACAATGTAAAAAATCAAAAATTTTTTAATACTTTTGTAGTTTTTTAAAATATATTTGTATTAATAATTTTTAAACATTTTGATTAAATTTCTCTTATTGAAACAAATAAAAAGAAACGTAGGTAGTATAGAATTTAAAATTAACTTAACATATTCAGTATGCAGAGTTCGTTTCTCAAATATTGAAATTTTATATAAAAATGCTCGAAATTGTATAGTATTTACTTATTTTTCAAAACATTCCCTCCTTTTTTATAATTCTTTAATTTTTAATATAAAATAATTTTGCTTTTAGTTAAAATTTTTTATATTTAATTGCTTTGAAATTTTTGTTTTACTTAATTTAAATGAAAAAATTGTATTAAATATTATTATTGACAGTCGTAGTGTAGACTTAAAGTATTTTTTTTTTATGAAGTTTAGATCTTTTTTCATTTTATTTGGTTTTTCATTATTCGAGTGCAGCATATATTATGTAATTACTCATTACCGTATATGTTTTTGTTTTTTTTTCTTTTTTTTTTTTGATTCCATGAATGTTTCTATTTTCTCGTGAGAAAAAAGTTAATAATGGTAACGAGTAATTAACTAATTTTGCTTTTAATTATAAAATAGAGA